TGTTTGCGGAACTATGAGTCACATTTTTTCAGACATTTGCGGAATTATGGGTCCAAAGTCTTAACCAAAATGGCACGTCCCCGTCCAAAATTAGGCATAGTTTACCCCCCGAGGGGAAAACACAAACTTTAATTATTTTTCTCAATGTGAATGAAATGATTAAATGGAAAACGAACATAAGATAAACAAAAATTTAAGAGAAATATTTCTGCTTAGTGTTACTCTTCATTGTCACTTTGATCTTCATTGCTATTGGTTTAGTCACCCACGCTTTCTTCATTCTCAGAATCACTATTCTGGTCACTTTCTTCCTCATTCTGCACAATTTCAATACTTCTAGGAGCAACATTGCCTTGATAACACCGTATATGAAAGGTGTCATCACCAGGAGTTAGTCTCTCGTGTTCTCGCAACTCTTGTTCAGTGGAGGTCAACCATCTTCTAGCAATAAAAGCAGTCATGTTGACTAACTTATGTCTGCAGTTTTGTTGACCTTTGTTGACCAGGGGCTCCGGGACCAACACAGATCGACATGAGGACAAGCACAAACATTCATTCTTTTTACTTCTGTTATGTCTGCATCATCCCGTCATGGCTTGTTCTTATCCAAGAAAATTTGTAGGCATGCCTCATTGATGTTATTTAGTTTGGACTGTCCATGTATGGCACAAGCAAATTTTTCTATGGATTGGACCAGTGGTGTCGCCACGGAGTAGGCCGGGGTTTCCGTTGAAAAACCTTTTTCGGGGGGGGGGCGGCTTGTCAGGTGGGCTGATCAGATCGATTTTGATTTTCGCACTTGTAAAAAAGCCACCATTACGAAAAAAGCTGCTTGAGAAAGTTGCTTGCTCAAAGGTAGAAAAAATATAAACTACTTTACTAAATTGCGAAATAAATAAAAAAATGCCAAAAACCTTTCCAAGAGTTAGAAGGGCGTGGCCGAGAAAATTTGTTTTCGTCCACCCCAGTTGTTTGAGCTGGCGACGCCACTGACTGGATTACACTATCTGTTATCCCGTCTGCAGATCTCAACTTGCAGAATGTTTGCCGGGTATCTTTCCTTTTTTTGAAATTTTAAAAGATCTTATTTTTCCTTTTCTGTGTAAAGCAGCCGTGTAATCACACTCAGTGAATGCATGATATGCAAGTACAGCCGTGGAAAGGGAACGTTCCAGACTGGTATAAAGTTGATCAACAATAACGCATTTCAAGGTGTTGTTGGACTGCTACCCCAGTTCTAACCAAATGTGTACTGACTAATTCATCTCAGACTTTGTTCCGATTGCCATTACTTGTTAGGGAGACGAGCGAGCGAAAGTCTTCAAATGAGTGAGGCAACCCCCCGTCCTGGATTCAGGGAGCATGCGTAATAATAACTTCGTTCTGTGCGCATGCTCTTTGACTCCATGACGGAGGGTTGCCTCACTTTTTAAAAAACTTTCTCTTGCTCATCTCCCCAACAATTACCAAGCATCGTATCGCACCAATATCAGTGAAAATTCTCTCATCAGCTTCGTCTCTTTTTGTACTAAGGTGTTCAATCTCTGTTCTTTCAGCATTTCCTTCAATGACAGCGTATCGATAGCAATTGTCTCCATAATTGGCATAAAGAACTTTTTGACTAAGGCTGTGTTCACATTGCTCCGTATTTGTTTTTATCCGTTTTCATATCGATTCGTTTTGCCTGTTCACACTGCTCCGGGTACATCTGAAAACGGTATGAAAACGATGACGCGTTCACATTGCTCTGCTCTGGATAAAAAGGAAAACGCCACGAACTGGTTTACAGCACTCGCGACTGCTAAACAATTTTTTAAACAACTCACTGCCACTAATATTCCTCCGAGTAATGTACTAACATCGAGTGAGTCAGCCATGTTAAGAATAGTTGTTCTAAGCATCTTGCTGTATTGTTGTTGTTGTTAGCGTTTTCAAAAGTATTCGTTTTCGGTGTTCACACTGCGTTTTTGCGTTTTCAAAAGACTCCGTTTTCAAAAGTATCCGTTTTCAAAGTGCGTTTTCAAAAGTCTCCGTTTTCAAGGTGGAGCAGTGTAAGCGCAAGGCACAAACGGATACTTTTTCATCCGTTTTCATTTGAATCCGGAGCAATGTGAACGGGGCCTAAGTATCGCGGCAAACCTATGATTATCCCAAAACGATGTCAGAAATTGAATCAGTGCCCCCTCAACGATGTCAGAAATTGAATCAATGTTTCTCTCAAATTTCAAATCTTTCTCGCTGTGCAAGGCATTCTTTCAAAAACTTTTTGCGACCTGCTTCTCCGTTCTCTTTGACGAACAGTAGAAAATTTTGCGAGCATTCCCTTGCAGCTTTTCCAGTGCCAATGTTGTACAGATGATGCAGGTTTAGGTTTGGTTCAAAAGGATTCAGTGTCTGTTGTCTTTCTTGATTCTCTATTGTTTCAAGCCAAGGATGACGCCTTCAATAGCTTTCATACAAAGAGAATCTAAACCTTTGATATCACTATGTCCTCAAGAAATGAGACTGAGTCCAACGTTGCCATGCTGAATCGAATTTGTCATTGATGCAATTCCTGTTTTCGGACAAGCAGCATCAGCATTGATCGTTTGCTCAAAGGTTTTCTCAATTTGGCTTCTTGAAAAAGATTTCTCAGTGAGTTTGATGTCAAACTTTTCTTTCATGAAGTCCTGATTAGTGGCGGTAACAGCAACTGAGAGTGGGAGGGTAATGGGCGTGGCGTGTGAGATCACGCCCCTTTTCCTTGTTTCAGTGATTTGTACCATGCTAACTATCCTAAGGAAATATGATCTACCCCTACCTAGCGCTTTTTAATCCGTTTTTCGAAGAAATATGTAGACCATGTTTTGACAAAAGAAAGGGGGGTGATTAACCCTCATACCTCCCTTGGCGTTGTCACTGGTCCTGACACACTTCTGGGTGGGTTTCTGGGCGACTGAAGTCGTGGTACGAATGGATCATGTCAACGTATGAACATCAAAATTGTGCATTCCTATGTAACTTTTGGGGTGAAAAATATTCTTAAAGGAAACCACTTCAATTTTTGTTATTTTCTCCAACATTGGTGTTTCCGTTGAGTGTGGTACATTTTCAGACCTGTAGCTTTTAAAATAAAAAAATTCTTCTGGGGCAACTTTTGAGAGGCTGTGGTACCCAGAACCCCCAGGATTGGTTGAGCTGACCAACATTTTTTCACCCAAGCACGGATACAAAGGAATAAAATGGGGTAAAACCTGTAAAAATAGGATGAAATCTGTTGTGGTTGGCTCCAGGACTTAAAGTATTTCTCAAAAATTCAAAAACTCTGGTACCTTGAGTATGTAATCTTCCTCTGTACTGAAAAGTGCTGAAATTCTCTCCTGGCTTAAAGTTAAAACAGCAACATTTTAGTTGTTCTGATGTCAACCACTGCATGCTATGTGGCTGACGTGCTCATGATCGCATGCGAAGCCGAACGGATAGAATCTCTCTGATCAATCTTTTTTTCAAAAAAGCATGGAAATGAAGATCAATATTCGTAATATTTTATTTGGACAATAGAAGATTCTTAGTGCCAGATATATTTTCAGTTGTTGTATAATTTTGCTTGTGATCAAAGTTGAAAACTGCACCAACCAAAAAAATATTTGGCGCGAGTTTAAGATTGCTCAAAATAAAGAATTATTTCAACTTCAAACATACAAGAGGTAAGCCTTGATTGAAATTTATACATACTGGAAAAAGGGCTCATCAACCCCTTTCTGTAAGTTTTAGAACTAGGGTGAAGGCCCCTTATCCCCAGTGGCGTACCGGAGGCATCTGGGACCCGAAGAAAAAACACTAAGACTTGGCCCCTATTTTGGGCCTGCAGAAAATCCCATCAAACGCTGAAGAGCATGTCAAACATAAAAGGAAAATATGAAATGAAGAAATGTTTCTAAGATGAAGAAGTATAGAAATTTCTAAAGTAATTTCATTTTCGGCCCCTTGAACGTAGCATGGATTGGCAGGGTATATTTTAACTGATAGCCAATTTGTGCCGCAATAAATCGTTATTGTGCAATGATAAACTCAGTATTTGAGTTTGTTCAGTATCTGTAAGCCATCGAGATTTTTCATAATCCAGTTTGTTCGATGAGTGTGGTCATGAAAATTTTCAAAAGGTGGCACCAAAATTTTCAACAATTTTGAATACACTCTTTTTTTTATAAGAACCAGCAGTAAAATTAAGTTCAGGCTGACTGTTCCTAATTTTTTCGAAAATCTGAGGCTGGATTGTTCTTAACTTGAGCACAATTTTTAGCGATGTGAGGGTGTTAGCAGTGCTATTGCTAGCTTTTTCGCTCGAAGGAGGTGTTCAGGCCTCATTTGCCAACAAAGTGAGTGAGACAGCCTTAATTTGCTGACAAATTTGAATATTCACCGAAAAAGCACCCACACATCGCTAAAAATCCTCGATTTTGAGAGAAACGTTGTTCAAAATTGCATTTTGCAGAAGCTCAGCCTCAGCTTGTTCTTAATTTGTTCTTAACTTTTGACCAGTTTTGAGGCTCATGTTCTTATAAAATTGTTCTTATAAAGAAAGAGTGTATATGCAGTGATAAAAATTCCTTGAAATAAACTCTGTGGATTGGTAAATTCGGAAGTTTGTTTGTGTGAGGAAATTTTTTTCTTGCAACTAAAATTATTAAGCAATCAAAACTTTCTGAGAAATGAAATTCTTTTGAAATTTTAGCTTCTTTCCTTTATCGATATTTTATTACGAACCAAAAGGCTTCCTTGATCTCACCCTAGGCTCCTGAATTTGATGACAACACGCAGCATCGCAGCTGTGACCCGCGAAGATATCGGAAATCGCTTATCAAAACTTCATCTCGATTGGCTTATTTCAACCAATCAGGGCTCTTCAAGGGTCAGCTGAACACTCAATTGTGTGTTGGCCTCGGAGCACATGTAAACTGTTGTGCATATGCAAATGAGGACGGAAAATACTCCCATTACTCGCCGCAAGTTGCAATAAATCGGGGAATGTCCGTAACAATAAAATTTTATCAGTAGGTCGTTTTTGGTGTAGAATGAATGATAAGTTGGATTTTTTCCTTTGAACCATTTATCATTGTCCGGTAATTCGAATCTAAAGAGAGAGACTCCTGTCTTTTCATCCTTTGCGCATATGCAAATGATTGCAAGATCTTCTAGCTTTATGAATTCACTGCCTTTATTTTGTGGTTTATGAGGGATTATAATCGGCGAAACTGTTCTTACGATAATTGAACAACAGAAAAAGTTCAGATAGGAGTCAGGCGCTGGTGACCCTAAAGGGTCGCAGTGAAATATTGCTGCTTGGACTTAGTTTTATTGAGAGTAAGGTCGCTATTCCACCGTGTTGTCGAATGTAGAGAGCGGAAGTGCAGTTGGCGTGTTTTACGGCCTAAAGACAAGTGTTGAAAATCCGGGGGACCCGTGCATGACACGGAAGAATTGTTATTATTCTTAAACTAAGATATCTTGTTAAAAAAATAGGAAAAAAATAATTCATAGTCGTTTAATGATTGTATAATGCCTTATGAAAAAGACCTTGGGTGACAGGCTGTTTGAAACTGGGCTTCTAGAGCAGTGTTTCGCTGCTAAAGCCAACGTTACGGTTCGTGTCACCCGTATCTTCGAAGTGAATCATTAATAGGCATAGCAGCCGAAGGGCCTGGTTCGAGTCAATTTAGTTTTGCATTACAACGGAGAGCTCCATCTTGGATTTGAAGCCAACCTTCGGAAAATTGATAATAAACACGGATAGCAGTCCTTCGTCAGTACCAAATGTGGCTTTTTAAAGTCTCAAGTCCTTTTAAAACTATTAAACAGTATCCTTGACTGCATCTGTGGTATATTTCACCTGTAAAGAGTTGATTGTTGAGCGGAATTCGTTGTGTGGTGAGGACACGAAGAGTTTGCTTTGTTATGGCGATCTGTATTTAGCTGTTGGAATATGGACAAAAATTGCACGCCAGCGCTGCAAATTATGACCGAATGATGCTTAAATTGAGGAATGGAACCAAACAGTCCTTTCCAAATGCAGTTCTATGATCAAGGGCATGGAAATTCAAACGGCTTTCTTCCAAGTTACTCACAAAGTCCGGGCATGTCATCCCCGAACAACAACCTACCTAGTCAAACACCTCCATTCGGTTATCGGGGAATGGAGAACGGAATGTCACGTTTCATGCCCGAGCCGTTTGAAACACAGAACTTTCCTCAACATGCAAACCAATATTATCAGCAGCAACAGAATTTAAGACGCAATGATGCGAACTTTAATTATAAGAACCAACTCGGTTCTCAAGGCTATCCAAACCAGCAAGGAAACTTCGTTGGCAATCGTGAAAACTTCTCAGGTAGCAATTACAATTCGTTTGCACCGTCAAGTATGAAGGGAAGGATGCCATCTGACAGCGATATGTTTGCAAGTTCTGCTCAAAATTTCTCTCAAGGAAGGCAGAGTTTTACGAACAGTGTGTCGAGGGTAAGTTCATGTGTCTTCACTATCACCGGTAAACCGCGCGAACCATCTAAAGGCGACCACATTGTCGGGCGTTTAACCGAAATATTGGATGGTTTCCATTTTTTACACACATGTGATAGGGAAAAGAGTATTTTTATTTGGTTCGTTGCAAACTAGAAACCAATAGAAACGCTATTAATGATGGTTTCTTCCTATGAACAAAGCGCTCGTTTTCGTCTGATCATTCAAAGTTTTGGCCGTCAATAAGGTTGTTTTTAGCGAGATTCTGTTCTGTTTTGCCATGATATGAGGGACACACAGCATTCAGAGTATTTATATTCAACACAGCCCGTTCAGTGCTGAAAAGTCAGCTGCAAATGTTTTAACGAAGTAACACATTGCTTAGGCCAGGAGTTCTTAGGCCAATAATTTTGCTGTCGAGCACGTTTAGAATTTGCTTTGCACCCGCGCAGCTATTGATTTCCGACGCTTATTGTAGCTAGCCGAGCCGTCTTGTTTTAGCACAGAAGTATTTTTACATGAATGAAAAAAACTTTACAGCTAGCTCTTTTCAAAATAATGTTAGTCAGTTATGGTGGCTTGTTGCTATCATGTGCTTATTTTGGCAGGGCTTCCTCCCAGCTCAACAGTGAATGTGACGCGGTAGGTTAGGCCAATATCGCGTGTTTAATTTTGTTTCCAGTCACTTTCTACTACTTGAGTTTTCTTCTGTTTGTTGATATCATTTCGAATGAAAAATAGAATAAACAGTTATTTTTTTTATTTTCTGTCTTTTTATATTTTTAATAAAATGAAATCATTTGCGTTCAAATTTGAGTTTGACCGTTAGCTCCTCAAACGAAATAACAAATGCAACCGAATCGATTTCAAGTGCAGTTGTGTAAAGAACTTTTGTAATTTTTCTTTTATGATTTAAAAAAATACTATTTATGAAATATGAATATTTTCAGGGAAAGGGAATGAATTATCCGATATTCCACCAGGAAATATCCAGTGTTTCTGTTTGAAATGATACAATAGATACAATTTTCGCTCCTCCACAGATAAGGCTATTGTTAACAGTTTTCCTTGATTAGCTACTTTCCATTTTGTTTTGGTAGTTTTCCTTTAACTTCAAAGCAAACATAAGATCTGGGAAGGAGGATATTTAGACATATCAAATCAGAGTATTGTTTTATACATAAGTCCAACTGATTTTCGTTTTTGTGCTTTTATTTCTCCACTTTTGAATTAGAGCAATTATTTATTTTATGCCCAAAAATGAAGAAATTTCAAAGGGTTGTTACAGCTTCTACTAGTTTTGTCAGTTTAATTCTCTTTTAATTGTCATAATAAAGTTATGTTTATTGTTGTTTGGTGGTCTTTCCTTTTTGTTCTGAAGTAGAATGTTAATCTTATATAAAACTATGTTAATTCTATTAGCCAGCCACAAATGTGTCACGTTAAAGCTTGTTTTACTCAACTTTCTGTTTTTGGATCAGTTTATTGGAAAATTTTGGAAAGAGTTTAGGTACCTTTTCATTTTACTCGGTTTTTAAGCTTCATAGGCTGCCTTGTCTTTTAAAGATTTTCTTTAATCTCTTGTGACACTTGACCTCTGGTCTCATGTTTCTTGGAATTATAACCTCTTGTTGATTTATTTATCAATGAATACATTGTTTTTTGTGAACAACAGGTGCAAATAGATTAAGTATGCCTAAAGTATTTTCTATTGTCTGTTAACAGGGAAGTAGGTCTAGCCATTGAATTGAGAGGGCAACAATGCATTCTTTTGTGTATTTTATTTACTTCAACCAGACTTGTGAATAAGTAGCTTGTTGAGTCTTTGTAAGCCTCAAAGATGAAAATATGTAAGAACTAAATTTCTATTAACCTTTGTCTATATTATCAGTGGTTATCTGTAACAATGCATTTTTCGCCCTTGAAAGATGAATATTTTCTAACATATATATTCATTTATTAGTTATTTTAACATTAATATATAAGATATTAGTCATTTCATTTTCATTATCCTATTTTTATTTACTATGGGCTTTGAAGGTAATTTAGTGAATTTTTCATTTTCTTAGATGTAACTGTAATGTAATTTTTGTGCCAGCCACAAGAAAGGACAACTAAAAATTCCAATGTCAATTTCAATTTTACAGGGAGATTTGATTTAAAAAGTTAATTGGCTTTTGTTTTACTGATTGAATGTCAGCTAGCGAAGGGTTTTGAAATAAAATATCAGGCAAAGAAGCCAGGTTTTCCTTATCAGGTTTCAAGTAAATATTTCAATGAAGTGAATTTTGAATCAAACTTATTCACTCATCTTGGCCCGTATTATGTTTTTATTGTTTATGTTCTGTTTTCATGTTTTTTCATTTGCTCAGCCTGTTAGATTTGTATTTTTTGCTAGTAATGTGTAATCCTAGTGCAGTAGAATTAAGACAAATGGTACTTTTAGTGGTACTTTTGGTATGAGGATGGCTCATCTTCAGCATTATTCTTTAAGAATGTAAACCCTGGTAGTACCACTTGTCACATAAATATATATGATTTAAAATGTGACTTTTAATTGGCTTTAGTTTTTTATTTGAAGTTTATACAGAGAACTAGCAGTTAAAAATAATTCTAATCAGAAGCAGACTAGATGTTATCAGATGGTCATGTGTTTGTCTGGAATGAGACTCCTTCAAATCAATGTTTGTCTTTCCTCTAAGAAAGACTCTTTGGTGCAGGAAATGAGCTAAAAATGTAACCATTTCTTTATATAGATGGCATTGATACAAAATATGTTCAATGCTAAAATTGTCAAGGAGTAGACTTTTTTATTTCAAATCAGTGAGTTGAAATAACACACTTTATTTTTGTTTTCATCTATTTTGAAATGTATTTTCAGCATGATTTTACAAGTAAATGAAGCAATGTAAAGAATTAATTTATTCTCTGGTACTGTACTTGTTTGCAATTAAGTTTTAAAACCTTTGAGTGACACAAAAATCAATAGGTTTGAGCCATTGTAGTCATCCAGAGTGTAGGTTTACTGCTGTTTCATGTTTCAAATAGACAAATACATTATTTGTAATCAGTGGATCAAGTTTTAAAGGTCTGGGTTATAGACACAGGAATTGAAAATGTATTCGCTGAAAAATACTGTTTCTAAATATTATGATTTTTGCTAATAGAAACCAAGGTCACACTATTTTGATTAGCATAATCATATGGAAAACTAAAAATTCCTAAAACATGTTTCAGTTTTATGAGTCATCTCATCGATTATGGTTTCCATGTATACATTCTGTTCCCAATAATTTCATACAAATACACCTTGTATTCCAAAAAGGAAATGTAGGTATAGAGTTGTCAAGTGATGACGTCACAAAAATCTATTTTTAGAATTTTTGAATTTTTTTCCCATAACCTGAAAGAGTATTGAGAAATACCTCTAAATCTTCAAAGTCAGTTGAAGGTATTACAAATTGGCTGATATATGTCCAGATGAGCACAAGCTCTGGCCCCATCAAACTTCTGAAATTTGGTCTTAGTTTATAACTTTATGAACTGAGCCAAAATAATAGTATTCCATTAGTGAATTTTAAATCTTCTATTTACCATAGCTCACCCATTTTTTGACAAATTTAACTGATTTTGCATACATGGAAGTATTTTATTAATAGTGTTCTTTCATGTTATGTGGTCAAAATTCGAAAATTCTAAAAGTAGTTTTTTGTGACGTCACACTTGAGAACTCTATTGTAGCAAATCAGTAACACCACAACGTGACGAGAATGAACAAGAACAAAGACTCATAAATCAGTAATGGCTAATATTTTGCCCCGGCATACTGGGCTTCATCAAAGCAAAAGTGATTCAGATTTTATTCAAAGTCTTTTGCCCTCATGAAGCCCTGTATGCCGGGAAAATATTAGCCCTTACTGATTTATGAGTCTTTGTTGTTGTTAATTCTTGTCATGATGCAGTGTTACTTATATACTACATTTTATCAATTTTTTGCCGCAAGATGTCCATCAGGGTCCGACTTGTATGTATATTTCATCATCATCATCATAATCAACATAACCATCCTCCTGACAAATCCTTTTTATAAACAAGGAACCCATCCTCTTTATGAATAAGGAACCCATGCGCTTATTAAATATTTTGGGGGCACTAATAAAAGAGGGTGCTAATTTGAGGATTTGCAGTATTTGTTGTAACTCTTTAGTGAAACGTTGAATAGAGAGTGGTTATGTGAATATAAAAAACAAAATATTTGCAGCTAGTCACCATCAAATTGCATTGCTTTATAGCTATTTAAAGCTATTTGCTAAAGAATTGATTCTCGCATTCAAATAGGATCATTTTGGTAATCAAATGCCGATGGGTATGATGGAGGGAGGAATGTCTCAGCAAAGTCCAATCGGCCCACATATGGCCAATCAGACATCAGAATTCCCACCACAGTATCAGCAATTTCAGAATCGACAAGAATTTAGTAATAATCAGTACTTTGGTCCAGATGCTGGATTCAGAAGTAATGGAATGAGACCTGAAGGCTTCAATCATCCCTTATCACAGTCAGCTAGTCCACAGGTAAAAATAAAAGCCGTTTTACAGGATAAAAGTTCTTTGCTTTTTGAGAACTCGGGTCAAAATCACTTTCTCAAATATTGTCAGTGCTTTTTATTGTAGACAGAAGTCGTCTTAATTTATCTGACATTTTGTGATAAACTATCGTTTTAAAAACTGAAAATTTTTCAAAGTCAAAAATTGTATCATTAGAGAAAGATGGCTGTTAATTTTATGTCTGATGTGAAAAACATCTTTCAGATTTTTATGACTATAAATAAGGTAATGATTTGTTAAAAAACCAAATGTCACGTAAAGATTATTATAGCTTTTATCCAGAAATTAATTGTAACAAAACATGCAAAATAACACATCTTTTACCTTTCTCGAGAAATTAAATACACAATTGTCAATTAGCACTTCTAATGGGCTTTGTTTATTGTGGTTTTTATTTTCAATAATACACAAAATGTGAACAATAGTTGTTGGCAAATTTGTTTTGCAAGAGTGATCAAGTTATCACTTTTTTGTTAATTCTGCTTGAAGTTTTGAGAATTAAATTGCAAGGCTTTGGTTATACATCTGTTAGAGTATCCACCAAAAACTGAGGCAGGGTTAGGGTCATAAAGACCAGTTTACCCCTCCCATGCAGACACTTTCATTAAATTTTATTTTTTGGATGTTGTATTGATACCCACTTAAAGATAGTGATGTTGTTTGAAATGTGCTTACATATAAATTAATTGGATTCTCAAAAGTATTATCAGCACTTTGTTTGCTAATGCCCATTTAACTGGCATTCTTTCTCTTTCCTAGTGTGATATCTCAAGTTCAAATCTGCCAGTTAATACTTTTCTTGCAAACAAGGTGTAACAAGTTAACTAGCAAGTAACAGCTATTCAATCATTGGAAAAATCAATTTTTCAATAAAAACCAAGCCTCGTACACCAATTCCATCTACTTTTTGGAAATTACTCCCAAATTCAGTAAAAAACTTTTTTGAGCTCAAGTAAAGATCAACATGCCATTTATCTGGATGTTGTTTTTCCTATTGTGTGTGTTTTTACTATAGTTTTTAAGATGATAGAAAGTTTGATAACAGATTTGAGCAAAAAGGAGCTGTTCATAAAATCCCTTGAAGAATTTTCAACCTGACATTTTCAATCAATTTCGCATGTAATTGCATCATGGTGACTTGCATATAGACTGAAAGAACAGTCTGTAATCTGAATCTAAAGTCAAAATTAATTGCAGAAGTGTACAAAAGTATTTCAAAAACGATTTCATAATTGAATAGGTGTGATCTGCCTTCTTCTGTTTTTCTCTGCTTCTTTTCTATATTTATTATACAGTTCTTTGCAATAATGTATTGTGTTGTATAATGATATTATAAGTAGTATGAATTGTGTGGGACTTTTAGGGATTATGTGGGACTTTTAGGGATTGTGTGGGACTTTTATGGATTGTGTGGGACAGATTCAAGATTTTAAATGTTTAGTATTTTAGGTTTAAGGTTAAGTATGTTTTCATAGATTTAAGGGAATTTGTTCCAGGTTTATGCATAAAATAGCCTTTGCAAAAAAATAGCCAATAGCTAAAGAGGGATTGCTTAGAAACATTGTTTATGCTGTACCAAAGCCATTTTTAATCATTTTAAAAACTGAAGAAAACTTTTTTGAATTTGACAAACTGCAAGGCATAAGCTAAATATGACCTGTCTCCCACAACACACAATTCTTCTTTTTTTATTCTCTTATACCATTACCAGACTAAGGAATGTACATGTTTATTTTGCTTGTTGATCAAAAATGGTGATTCAGATTTCTATTCAAAGTCTGGTCCAACTTTTACTTTGATTCTGTAACAGAATTTTTTAATTTTTATATTTTAAGTCTGCAAGAGTTTTTTTAGTCATGATTTGGCTACTTATAACTTGTCATTGTTGCATTTTAATGTTTCTTGACATGTATGAAAGTTTCATTGATTGTTCTTATTATTATTATTTTCACTGAAAATCTTTTGTCTCTTGGCTGTAATAGTTGTTTGAAAGCCTTGCACCAGGAAGATTAGCTTCCGTGCAAACAGTCACTCTGCTAAGTTTGTTTTAAATTTGCCAGCATTGCCACCAGCGGTATTAAGTATTTGACTGAGGTTTTGACCCACTTTGTTTATGCTGTTTGCACTGTGCTAACACAATCAAAATGGCAATTTCCCAATCTGCATTAAATTCTGAAGATCCATCTTCTCCAGCATAAATCAACACACAGTTCTGTGTTATTGACAGTCCTTTTAGAAACTCAAACATATGCATTTGTTGTTACAGTGGAATGTCTGTTTAGCTTATCAATGCTGTATTGGTTCATGTAGTTCATTGATCATTGGAATTGTCACAATCAATACAGTATTGTATTTTAAATTTCTGGTTATATTGAATATCATAAATTGTATTGAGCTTATTCCAAATCGTTGATCAAGTACAAGAAAACTGAGTCTGTTTATTTAACGCAAAGTGGTAATTTTTAGGTTTTGGTACACTCGAATGTATGAATTAAGTTAGATTTGACAGTGAGAAAGAGTGATGAATGTTCTATCCCTTTTAAATTAAAACGTAGCTTTTAAGTCCAATGAACTTTCAATCAACCTTTTAAATGCAGTTTTGATTTGCAGTTTCTGAAACATCAAAGACATACTGCATATTTTCTTTTGGGCGACTCATTTCAAGTAATATTTGATCTATGTTTTTGTTGTGATTAAGTTTGAAGTATTTATTAGTATGTAAATGAATGTTTTTATTAATTAAGTTAGATATTGGTTGAATTTATTTTTATTTGTTAACAAATAACCCTCATAAGCATTTTTTTTTATTTAAGTAAGTTATATTTTTTATATCAATCTGTTCATTTTCTATTTAGACACCAACTCAAGGTCCAGTTGATCAACGACAGACAAGTATGTACAGCCCTGTTGGACCAGGTTTTCCTGTCAACCAAGCAAAAAGTGAGTGTCTTTTGAATACTACAACATAAAGTCTGTCACTTTCCAGTAGATTTTGTCTAATGCATAGCACAGAAGAAGCAAATAATAGATTTAATAGATTTATTTATAGATTTATTTAAGTGTTTAGAGAGTAAATAATAGATTTATTTATATTATGTTTTGTCGTATTTTATAAATTCTTACTTTACTTTTACATACTAAGCTATTCCAATTTTCTTTTATGAAATGTAATATAATAGACACAGTAATTAGGTACTGTGATTGCAGAAAGTTAAAGAGCTACTTTTGAGTTTGCTATTGAGTTGCTATTTAGTGTTTGGCGTTTGACTGCACTAGTCTTGTAGTTAATGACTGTTTTGTTCTCTAACCCTGTTGAAAAAGCCCAGCCTGTAACATTTTTCAAGAGACAGGCAAAACCATAGGTTGAACTGTGTTTGTGTATGCTTCACACTTTGATTTGTGGAGAAGGACAGTTAAAAGTTGCCACTCAGAGTTTCTCACTTAAAGTTGTGATTGCTTGATAGTTTCATCAAAAATGCAACTTGGTATTGCATCTTAAAACCGTTTTTTACACATGATAGCCTTTAACACCCTGCCTATACAACATTAAACTATACATAACAGATGATTTGGGAATTATTTTCATAAATATGAATTATATTCAAATAGAAGATGTTTTGCATTCCAGGTATGAACAATACAGTACAAATCCCAACAGAAAACCAAAGACAGGCTGCAATTATTGCAGCAGCAGCTGCAGTACGAGCAGCAGCAGCAAGCAGTCGTCCTGGGCGAGATTTCCCTCCTGGCACTGGCTACCCAAATGCCTACCAGTATGGGCCTAGAGGATTTGTATCACCTGATGTAATGGGATCCCCCTTCAATAACACAGGCAATGGTATTCAATCACCACAGGGCAAAGACTTTCCATCAGCATCACCACTAGGTCCAAATTTGCCGCGACAAACAGCTAATTTTGCAGATTCTCCAATGAGTCAAGGACGAGCCAGTGCTAATTCAAACAGGTTTTCTCCAAGCGTTGAACAGACCGCCTTTGGAAGTCCGGGGTTTGGAAACCAGGCAAAGGTGCAAAATGCATCTCCAGGAGTCATGAAGAAATCTCCTCAAAGTGAAGGTGCAAAGTCAAGTGTATCCCCAGCCAGCTCCGCAAGTAACGGTGGGGAAGTTAGCATTAAACAGGAACCGAGTGCTCTTGAAAATTGTTCTGCAGCACAAAACGAAAAAAGTGAGTTGAATCTCTGTGTGGTATCATGATATGTTATGTAAATGATAGGGGATGCTCTATTCACCAGGATAAAAAAGCCAGAGTATTTCATCTATGTTTGCAGTGGTCTTTTTTCGTTTATGGCTATGGCAAAATGGGTCCTGGCTGACAGCTTAACCTTTTCTAAGAGCATTTTGATAAAATATTCGATGCTTGAGGCTTTCACCTCCAGAAACCAAATTACTATAAATAATCTTTTTCGTCTTCATCAAAACAACTAGCTTGTCAATGCTTGGATTCTTAAGGAAGAGCTTTGAAGTAACAAATAGAGAAAAAACATGAAATGATGTTGGTGAATCAGTTTGCCCATAAGACCTTAATTCTGTTTGAATGTGACAAACCAAGTAATGTTTTGGGATCATCGTAGGTTTGACTACAAATTAAAGATCCAAAGAACTATAGATCGAGTAAGATTGTGATGATAGCATGATACTTTATGTTAACTGTAATTTAACTTTGTTTATATCTCCTACGTAGACAATGGTGAAAACGAAATTGATGAAGATTCAGTAAATGATGCCGAAGAACTAATGGGTGCTGCGAAGGAAAAACCTATCATTGAAGAGAATCCCAGTGTTAAAAAAGAAGCTGACCCAGATGATTCGAAAACTGCTGCGAACGAGCAAGCTGTAGATGGTAAGCAAAGAGTTTTGTGATGTCATTTATGATGTCATTTAAATCTCTCCGTATTACTGTTTTGTGGTAGTCAATACCAGGATTCATTACATGATTGCTACTTATATCTTGCAACTTATACTTAAACGGATTGTTACTAGTACCTAAAAGATATGTACATCAATACATTTTTCCTCACTCGAAATTTAAAATATCTCCCTGTTGCACGTTTTCCAGCACGCATGCCTTTCATTTTTGTGAATACTCATAAAACGTTGTTGACGCTAGTTAAAGACCAGTTAAGTAACAAAATTCGATAATTGTTGCTGTATTGAAACAACCTTTACTGCCCGATAGTCTGAAGCATGTCTTAAAAACGATGAAGAATTCCATTGTTGAAAACAGCCATCCTTTTGCTTTTCTAGAAAAACCGCAGGACGAGCCGGACAAGAACCTTCTCGCTGCCCCGTCTACCAAGTCATCCGCCCCGCCAACCCCCTTGTCTGGGATATCTGGTGTTTCACCAGCCTCGTCTCCGTTTCCTGAAGACCTCGATAGCATCAGTCCTTCGTGGCCAAACACACCCACATCACCGGTACGATCAAATGATTTTTTAAAGTGACTCAGCCATTGGAAAAACAATCTTTGCCTCTAATGACCTCAATATTTCCAGTCAAAAAGCAGTTTATTTGAGCGATATTTCAAAGATAAAGAGGATAATGATGCTCTTTTTTAGCTACAGTTGCGTAATCTGTAGATGAGTAGACTTCAAAGCCAGGCTCTTTATTGTCGTTAAGGACCTACCCAACTGCCCCAAACCTGCTTACAGTCCTTATCTGCCAAAATTGACATCAGACTCTTACTAATCTATGACATCATGGCTTATTGATCCTGCCTTACTATCAGCGCTCAGTAAACGTAGCAATCACCTGGTCAGCTACTGCAGGGAAGCCAGTCAAAGCAAAAAGTACCACACACAAACCCAGCCTTATTTCCCTTGCTTTCTAGAAAGGGTTGTCAAATCTTGAGAAAAATGTCTGGATGAGTAATGAACACATTTTTATGGACTTTGTTTACTTTTTCCTCGTCTGATTTTGTGTTGCTCTTGCAAGTGCCAACCGTAGCTTGCTAAACAACAGATGTAAAAACATTATCGAGAAAGCAGCAGAACCAATTTGATTTCCATCAAGTATGATCTGATTTTTTTTTATTTAGACAACAAAGAGACTGCTGCAATCAAGGTCGCCTGCCAGATTCGATCAGGTATGTATCTCCCACGCATTTCTAATTTTCATTTGTAATTAATGGCCTGCAAGATCCTATCTCCTTAGCACCATTGCCAGTATAAAATCTTTGATACAGCGAAGAAGAGTTTCATTCTCTTTATGTTCCCAAGAACGAAAGAATCGTCGATGGCGACCAGGTCACGTCTTTTGACAAAAATTCACGAAATCACTTTTGAATCAGAATCGAAGGTGTCACTTCGAATGTTTTAAACGAATCTTCAAAGGTGCAAGATTTCGGTAGGAAATCCTTATCATTTCCACGCAAGATGTTATTACAAAAAAGTTCAGCAGTTTTTTACAATTGCTGTTTGCTTTGTTTATCGCGGTGGCTGTCTTCGGCTTTCCAGCTTTCTACCATAAAATAGCTGATAAAAACATGTCATTGTTCCTTGTCATTGCTGTTGGATTTGATGATGTTTTGAAAATGGGTATCTTGATGCAATTTTCATTAAGCGATAATTTTAGTGCATGTTAAGAATCATCAATGTATAAAATAAAGTCGAGGAATTTTTTTACGATCTAGTGTAATTTAAGTTAAGTTTAAGTTTGAGTTTAATTGACAATCGTAAAAATCGTGAAATATGTAGAATTTAGAGGAATCTTTTGCTAACGGCCGTGAGGGCAAAATCCTGTTTGGAGTTTACTTGTGGGTTTCTTTGCCAAAGTACCTTGACTTAACATTAATTGGTAACATTTCTTCACCCTGTTAAAGGCAGTAGGCCCCCATTGTTTTCAAAATCTCTTTTCATGGCCACGATATTCATGCATCGTTGATTGAATGCACAAATAAACAATCAGAATGAAGAACCACAATAGCGTAATTTGCCTGAGCATCACGAAGGGGACAGACTGCCTTTAATAACGTTAGAATTTTGTTTGAATACCAATTCATCGCGAGAATTACAAAATTTATCTTAGAATCCACCAAGAAGCTATGTTTTGATTTGAATGAAAATAACTGTTTACCAGTCTGTCCGAAAGTGCTGGATGCCGTATAGACAGCGTGGGACATTTTTCTGATGAATAGAACAAGACTGCTCTAAGTTGCTACTCTGAGTTTCACGCTATTAGATTATCAGGTCTTCTGCCGCATAATGTTTAAACGCGATGTCGCCTCGTACCGCGCGGCGGATTGACTGTGGTCATATTGATTTTGTCCAGTGCTAAAAGATTTGGATCTTTCAAATATGCCGCTTCTCTAAGATAGATTCTTATGCCTATGATTGATAGATTCTCTTTATTGTAATCCCTGCTTTAAAGCGGAAAAAAATTTGGTGATTAACGGCTAATCAATGTTTACAGCTGCGATTTTCTCCTGAATTTCCTAGAAATCAACCCGTCTTCTCACTGATAAACCAGATGGAATTAAGTATCCCAGGAATTTAACAGGATGTCTTTGTCTCACGCGACAATGCGTTAAATATTTAATATGATATTTTGACAAAGCGTTTCTTTCCTGTTGAAACGTTTCGATTTTCGCTTCAATATTTTATGATATATAATTGCCCGCGGGTATTTATGATATAGACAATAGCCCCCGGGATTTATGATATAGACAATAGCCCGCGGGTGCTTATGATATAGACAATAGCCCGCTGGTATTTAATTTCGATTAGCTGAAGTGGATCAGTGCTACGGACACCTGTGAAGACATTAAAAAAACATTAAAACATGTTTAAAAAACAGTGTAAAACAAGATAAAAGTTTTTATAACTATTAAGGCTTGAATTTGCTTATGAATATTGATAAATCTTAAAATTAAAAAGTATATATTCTTAAAAGTAAATTAAGATTTGTAGCCGGGCTCAAAGTTCGCCAAAAGTATGTTTTTTTCATTTTTTCGCAGGCTTTTCACATTTTTTTAAAGATTACCTATTAAAAACGGGCCTTATTTTCTTATTTAATTAACTGACCTTATGTGAGTTCTGGGCAAAATTTCAAATTTATGTATAAATATTTTGTTTTCCAATGCGATTGTACTAAATATTAAATCTTTTCTCCGTCCTTACATAAGCTAGCATGACACGCTTTTTTGAATTGCCTTAGCTCTCAAAGCTGTATGATTTGTCAGAAGACGAAGAAAGGCGGAACTTCCTCGACAAGTACCTGGCATTTATGAGTGTCAATGGTGAGTCAGTTTCCCACTTATATCAATTGATGTGTGTGAACGAACGGTTCAGTTGTGTGTCTATTTGAATGTCATTTTTAGTTTCCTGGTTCTATTTATAGACCAACAACCATGATCTCGTCAGGGGGGGGGGAGCTCATCAGCAAAAGGCCACACGTTTCGCGTTTAATTTTAGATGCAGTTTGTGTCCAAACTCAGTTAGTTGTGGCAGGAGCTGAAATTTGGAAAATTGCTAGATAAAACGAAGTTTTTAGTGCTTTTTCCGGTATAATTTGTCATTTGTCAAAGTTTTCGCGGGTGAATTCGCTAACTTCTAGAGATTCGCCCCACTCTTTGTCGTGGGCATTCGAAATCGCAAATCTACTTATCTTTTTCGTAGTTTTTTTATATTTAATTAAATGCCCTTTACAAATATGTATCTATTTTTGCTCCAGACAACAGTCATATTGTTTTCGCGACAATGTTTTCTAAGGTCTATATTAGTCTATTTACTTTGTGCTAGAGCTTATGACAGTAAATCTTTATCTAATATATTTACTAATAATTTTTTCGTCAAAGGAACACCTGTGACGAAAGTCCCCATTGTCTGTAAACAACCGCTTGATCTTTATCGACTGTTTCGAGCTGTTCTCACAAGAGGAGGGCTTCAAGAGGTGAGATGTTTCATCCTATTGTCTAATGCGTACTTCTGACAACGTCCCTGGAATGTTTTCAGTTGGTTGTTGCCTATTGTTTGGTTGATATAATAAATTTTGTCAGCCATCAAAGAAAATGGTTCCATTAACACACGCGTACAATTCAGACAAGGTGATATTCCCTAGGCAGTGTATGCTTTGGTCACAATGACAACCCACCTGCTCATCCCTATAAAAGAGGAAAATTTTTGAGCAGACAAATTTGTTTTATGTACAATGTATGCCTGGTTTAGAGTGTCAGTTGTAATAGCATTAGTGACATAGAAAATTTATCTTTTTTGCGTAAAACCGCCTTGATATATATTAAAAAACTGAATTAGCTAACGATTTTCTAAAGATATTATGTAGATTCGTAGATTACAGACAAAGTTTTATTTAGCTTTCTGCCACTCTTAAATAGCTGCTGTAAATAGCCTAACGTTTGTGCAAACTATTGCAAGCCAAATGACTTTAATTTTTTGTCTCTTATCAGGTCATGAAAAGGAAGCAGTTCAGAGAAGTCTTGAAATCGATGGATTTGACATCAACAAGTGCTTCACTCGCCTATACTGTGAAGAACCAGTACACAAAATACCTACTGCAGTTCGAAAACAAAACTAGAGACTCTTTTCTGCGGGCATGGCAGAAGGAGGGCGCTAGCAAGCCCCCAGAAAAGCCAGTACCGACCATCGCTTTGGATGATACGCTACCTTCAGCTGCGAAGGAGCTTAGTCATGCATCACAGCAGATGAACAAGATGCAGTCTATGCCGTCATCTGGCATGGCGCAGGATTCTGGTTTGAGAGATTGGCAGATGCCTGTCCCAGATGGTGCCAATCAGAACCCGTATCAAGTAAACAACCAGATGCAAATGGCCATGAGTCAAAACAACCCCATGAGCAGTGCCATGAGCAGTAATCAAACTAGGCCAGTTTATCCTGGCAGAACGTCGTACGGTAATAACCCGGATGTGGGTTCTGGATACCAAATGAACTCCTTTATGCGCTTCCAACGACCAAACTTTCAGCGTGGCCAAGCCCAAGGCTTTGGTGGCCAGTCGTTTCCTGGTGGAATGCCACAGAACCCCATGCAGAACCCTCTATCGCCTTCATGGCCAAGAAATTTCCAGCAAAGGCCAGTGTCAGGACCCCCGGAGCTGTTTCCTGAAGGCCTCCAGAGAGCTCCTTGGAGTCAGCAGCAACAGGGGGCAATGAACAGAGCACAGCATCCACAAGCATTCATAAGCAAAGAACAACGATTAGCAAATAAGATGAAAGGATACCAAAGCAGTCTGAAAGACCAGAATTCTCCTTGGCCCACTAACAAAGGCCCAAACATCCCCCTGAAACCAAAGCGATCTTCTACCCCAGTGACTAGTGACCATGCCAACCAATCCCAGAAGTCATCGCTTCACCCTGCACTGAAACGAGAGCCACTTGTGTTTCCTCCTGATTCAGTAGAAAACACCAAGCCAGTTCTTAATAAACGACACAAGCTCACATCAAAGGAACTTGGTAAGCTCTTTCTTCTGTTTGTTTTTTTTCATTGAATTTGTTTCCGCTTAAAAACCTGTGATTTTCTGTAATATGCTGTACCGGCTCCTATGCTTTTATATAGTGGTTTCTCTATATTTTAAGTGCACAATTGAGTAAAAATCCGTTTAGGGGTCGCTCTTAATCTGCAGTTTCTTTTATGCAGTTTTTTACTTTATGATGTTCTTACTCTTGTCCAAGCATGGCATGACAAAATTACCAGGGAATCTTTTGGGAAGGATTTCATTTGCGTTTGCCTATCTATGTAGGGCTACAATGAAAATATAACTATTTCAGATTGCCAAGGTCAAAAGTTTGTGCCCCCCCACACTCCTTATTCCAACCCCCTGTTCCATCGTCGAAGACGTTAAGTTAAAACATAATTTCGCTTCAAAAAAGGTCGATTCGCTCCCCCGTTTTTTAAAACCTGTTTATTTAAATTTGGGTCTTGACTATGAGCCCTCCCCCTCCCTCTTGACCAGTCTATTTTTGACCCCAGAGTATTTTTGTGCATATCGTGTGCATTAATTATTTCTCATGTTAGATATATATGTATTCTTATTTTTTTTGTTTTTAAACAATTTTACTTCGTAATAGGCTTGAATTAGCTTTTATTTTGTAGCTATTTTTATACGCCTACTTTAAATAAACAGATAATAATAATAATAATAATGATTATGATTATAATAATAATGGAAACTTTTCGTTTTGAATTCCAGTTAAAACTACAATTACAAATCTCACTATTACAAGGTAATTTGTAACTGGCTAGCCTGTGTTTACAAAATAAAAACTATTACAATCGTAGTAATGAGAAAAGAAGAAGAAAATGTTAAAAGGGGATATATTATAATAATAATTAAAATAATAATAGTCACAGAGGCTGTTTAAAACATTCAGCGCCTGTGCTTTCCAAGACACGAATTCATTTAGTATTTATGTAACTAAAACTATTAAACCTCAAAAAGAATGTTGTACTTGATGATTTCTATAATCTTGATTAGGTCCTGTTGAGGCTTGGCGGATCATGATGTCGCTTAAATCAGGGCTGCTTGCCGAGTGCACTTGGGCCATCGACACCCTAAACATTCTCCTACATGATGATAAAACGATATCATATTTTCATTTACCACAACTTCCTGGTCTGTTAGACACGTTGATGGACCATTTTCGTCGTTGCTGTATGGATGCGTTCCATGTTTTAAGAGACGTCGAGGCGGCCATGCAATTCGAAAAGGAACTGACAAATTCACTTCCAGAAGAGGACGAAGAAGTCCCGAACAAAAAACGGACTAGAAAGGAAACGCTGAACGAACTATGGGTCGGTGTTGTCAAGCATGCAAAGTCGAGTTACTCTGCCACTGTTGCTTCGTATAGCGTCTGTGAAGGAGACGAGGACGTGTGTGATCTAACAGAGGCTATTTGGAAATCGGGAGGGGGTGATGACACTTCACATATACAGCTGTCACTACGGCCTAAGTTAAACGACCTAAGAACGTTTCAAAACAAAGTCACGGGATCTCTAGATAGAGAAGATGTTACGGCGAAGGAGATTCCACTACAAGAAGAAGTAAAAACACCAGATTGCGATGTTAACGAGGTTGCATCACAAGAGAACCTCTGTGAAGACATTTGCGATTCTCCAATGAATGAAAAGGAGAATGTTGAGATCACGGAAGAATTACCAAAAAATAACGTAAACGAAAATCATAGCAAGGAAAAAAGTGACGACAGTGCGTTTGATAAGAAATTTAATCACGTGCAGCCATTTTCTAAGAAAGCAATAATCGTAAATTCAGACGATAAGGTACTTAGCAAGGATCGTGAAGAAATCGTGAACGAGAAAGCGGAAATTAAGGTGAATGACGTCACGAGTGCAGCTACTGACAGCTTACAATCACCTGACACAAAGAAGGCTGTCGACGAAACCTCGAAATCTGCATCGGAATCAACTCAAGCGGCTGAGTCTTCCGAAGATGAGAAACTAAATGGCGGTAAGGTGAAAAATTGCCTGTTGGACGGAGAAAAGCTTTTTGATAACTCAGAGTTGAAGATGTCAGGCAATTTAGCAGCTTTTGAAAGTTTCAAAGCTATGGAGTTCTTAGAGAAAGGTCTTTTGCAGCCTAAGCCGTTATTAGATACTACTGTCGAAGAGCTTTGCGGTGTGCTGGAGTTAGATACAGACTATACAAAGCAATACTTAGACACATCAAAGGAGTTTATAGGGTACTTGAAATGTCGTTTGACTGCAGAGAACCGTGGCAGAGTACCGAGTCAAGAGGCTTTCGCTCCTGAGAACTCTCCGTTTTGTTTACGAGGCGATAGCGATGAATCGATATTTGGTCGTCTTGTAGCCGTATCAAACATTTTCAGGTCACTGTCGTTTGTTTCAGGTAATGATAACGATCTAGCAAATCATCCTGGCTTGTTGCTGCTAATGGGCAAGCTCTTGCTTCTCAAACACGAGCACCCTGTCACTGATCACTCGGAGTTTCGACTCACTCAGGAGGATTCTGACATGGGTACGGCTGAAGCCCAACAGGATAGATATAGCGAGCTCTGTCTGGAAGGCCTTAAAGCTGTTCGTGAAAACATTCTTGTCATCTTAGCGAATGTCGCTGGACAAATGGACCTGTCTCGATACCCAGAACACATCATTCTTCCCCTTCTTGATGGCCTTCTACATTGGGTTGTGTGCCAGTCTTCAGAGGCACGCGATCCAATGCCCACTGCACCTAGCAAATACGCACTGTCACCGAAGCGACTGGCCCTTGAGACCCTGGCAAAGCTGAGTATCACTGATAACAATGTTGATCTGATACTAGCAACACCTCCAGCAAGTCGTCTAAAACTGTTGTTCAAAGAGCTAGTCAAGGCTATTGGTATTAAGTCGTCAGTGCCTGTAAGGGAATTCGCAGTTGTCGTTTTAGACAATTTATCGCACGGGGACAACATCATACCGACCATTGTCGAACAAAAATCGTGCATAGGGAATGTTCTTTTGTTTTTAGAAGAGGCAGAGAAAAATACCTCTTCATATGTGTCGGGCGGTGGCGTCGTGCAACCAGGACTGAGTGCGGAAGACGTTTGTGGTACCAGTGTGAACATGTTACGGAGAGCGGCGGATATTCTTCTCTGCTTGGCTCGCGGCATTATAGACAGATCCCCATTTTTACCATACGTTCACAGAATACTATCCCTAGCCACTTCACAAATGATGGACACCAGTGTGCTGAAGATTTTATCAGAAATTATGTACGAACTAAGGTAGAAGATATCCAGAGAAACTTATCTTTTCTAATGTCATTCTAGGTGACAGAGCGGACTTAGATCCACGTTCCCGCCCTTACGCGGCTTTTAGCTTAACTTGCCTGTGCCCAGTTTTAAACGAGTCCTCGCTTTGAAAACCCCCTCGTTTCGATGTAAGCTTATTGATGTCATGTTTGGTTTGCTGTAATCAGTGGGTTGCTTATGAAAAGAGAGGCAAAAACGTGTATTCTTATTTTGGTAGGCAGGGAGGCTTGCATGTGCTAGTATTAAGATTTTTAATCGTTTCAGGCAGTGAAAACAAAACCAGGAGAGGAAATTACCAATTTGAATGTTAATAGGCCTATGACAAGTGATTCGTGATACATACCCATCGCAAACGATTGTTTGCGATGGGCTACAATATTTTTTGCTTTCTTACAAAGCAGAATGTTTTTGACATTTGTGGTAAACATTTTCTGAGGCTTATTTACGAATTCAGAGGGGTCATCAGCGTTTCCTAAGACAGATAATTTAGTATATCAATCAAACATTAAATTGTGCAACCAATTTGCTATTTTAGTTATTATCAATTACTTTCTAATTAGATATTATTCGCAGTCTTTGTAAAGGAAAAAGAAACGCTTTGTGATAGTTAATTTATTTTCAATAATGCTTCTTATCGATTTGTCCATTTGGTAAAAACCGAAATTTTGATTCTAAGCAATCTTGGTTAGGATAGTGTGTTAGGTGGATTGAAATAAGATGTTCCACCCTTTTCCCGCAAAGCCAGTAAATTTATTTGTGGAACCCCAGGCTGTTTGTAAACATCTTGCATTTTCGTTATTCAATTTTACTAACTAGATTAAATTTTTACTGGTTTTGTTGTTAGGGATTTTGTTTCGGTATTTGGGCTTACTGTTATTTTGGACCAGTTGAGACAATTCCAAGCATTTACCAAGAATTATTATGAAGTTGAATATTATGAGAAAATCTTTGGCTTAGGGTAATAGGTTAAGTGTAACTCGGCACTTTATCGCAGTGGTCCCTTTATCGGTAATAGATCGAGTTCAGCTGTCTTTAGGAACGCTGTTTAAATGGCCTCTTGTGGGAACATGCAACCTCAACCTAAGTCGTGTGGGATATTGTGAGAAAGTACACAGCCTGTAGTTCATGTCACATTCTATATATAAATAAATATATATGTTGTGGTCGTCATGTTGTTAGCCCCATTTTCTATAAATGTAAACGGAATTTATTACATGCTTCACTTTTTTTTCTTAACTCTAAGTTTGCTGTCGATAAGTTATCAATGCAGCTTGGCATACCACAATCGGCACTCCAAATTTCGTACTGAAAATGAAGTAGGAAATCAAATTTCCTATAATTATTCGATTAAAATACATACAAAATAGGACTTGATGTTTTCCACCATTTAATTTCCTGGTTGCCTTTTTGATTAAGCTAGCAAAGCTGTGAATGAATTCACACAGAGTTAGGTACCTTTCATCAGTCAGTGTTTTACTACTACGCCATGATAATGTTGTTTGTTCCGTCAAGTAAGATAACTCTGTGAGGTAGGATAAACGTTGAAGTCTCCTTTACATCAACATCATAGCTGTCTGCGGCTTTGCTTGTTACGTAAATTTTAACTAATATTTGCAATTTTGGCTTCTTTGCATAAGAAATACAAATGGTTTTATAAATATAGCTCAAATGATTGTAAAAATAGAAGTTGTTTTTCAGGAGTTAATCTATCAGTGTTGCAATGATTTGCATTTCTGTTAGCTCTGGTAATGTAATGAAACTGGAGAAGTGAACATTTCTAGAAGGAACTGTTCAATTTCTAGAAGGAACTAGAGAGACAAAACGGCAAAAATGAAGAGCAGGGGGGCCGGGAACTGAACACCGGGAAAATCATTTGGGAGCACACAGGTCCAATGAGTTCTTTTCGGAACCAAATTAAGTTCAAATTGGGACCGTTCAACTCAGAAACACGGCAAAAGGTTTTTTTTGATCAATCGAATGTATTTTCAAATTTTTCGTGTGAAGAAAGCGTCTGTTGTAGTAGATATTTTTGGCTTCATATTAATTTTTAATAAAGTAGGCAAGAAAAGGAATAATCAGTTAGGTAGTATTAAAGAACTCTCAGCAGTAATAATCTTTACGGAAAGTAATTGAAGCTGTCAATAGTCTACAGACTAGGTCCCAGTCCTTAGCTTTGAGAAACATCATGGGAAAGTAAAAGCTTACCTTGCATGAAGTCTGAAAGGGGGGTGTGGGGCAAGTGGGTAAATTTCCCAAGGGTCTAGGGGGCCGCATAAAGTGATGAATTCCATTTCAAGGATGGAATTAATCAAACGCAGCAAAAGTATGCTGAAAAATAGAAAAAGTTTAAAACGATTGCATGAAACGACTGCAAGAATTATTCTAAAATGCGTTTTGAGCTAATCTGAAAGGCGTGGTCCCGAAAAGTTGCTCGCTTGCAGCGGACCCTTTCTCTTGGTTTTTCCCCAAAGCCTCTAGGAACATTTCGGCGGCCCTAACTAGTTAACTCATTATCAAATGATGGAACTTCACCCCTTTCGCCCCTTTCGCCCCTTTCGCCCCTTTCGCCACCTGTCCTCTTCTAATTGTACAGGAATTCTTGTTCTCTCGTGAACTCTTATTTTTTAGCTACACTACAGCCAATGTATTTTGGAATTGGAAGTGTTACTTCACACTTCTACACTGGCTATAGCAAAGACTGAGATACAGCTTTTTGTTTGGGGGGGGGGGCACCCCTGATAAATAAGTGTAACAACAGCCATATGTATTTTAAAAAATAAAATTATTTCAGCGTATGCTATTTATGTTTTTTGAGGGCCCCCTGAAAGATATAGTGTTTACTCTTTTTTAAACCTATGTTAATTACTTGTGCCCCCTTGTGGAATTCCTACTCCTTACCAGTGATGTGTCTAGACAGCTTTGTTTGGGGGGGGGGGGCGTTCAGAAAAAAAGTGACCAACTTTAATTTTTTGAGCGATTATTTCTCCATAGAAAATTTATTAACAATGAAATAGATGATAATATACACACTTAATGATAACAAGTAAGAGCAAATGATGGCATGAAAGTATAAGGAAATTAAGTTTGGGGAACTTATATTCCTGGAGTTCGCATTTTTGGGCGACTCCATGAGCATCTTTTTGCAAAAAGCCATTTTTAAGGAAATCTGCAAAAATCAATTGCAGCTTTCTTTTCAGCTCCTCATAACAATAATTTCAGCTTGTAACATGTCAAGGGAAAATATGGCTGGAAGGCCGCCGAGAGGTTTGAGAGGATCTGTGGCAAAACGGAGCAAAGACGGTGCCCCTGCGAGCAGAATATTTTTGCAATCATACCCTTCAGATCATATTAGCTTAAAATTCATCTCAGAAAACTTCTTGCAGTTATTTCTTGCAGTCATTCTTATAGCCGTTAGCTTGCCCCTTATAGCAAGTTATTTGCAATACACTCTTTTTTGTACGAACTAGTGAATTCGAGTTCGGGTTGATTGTTTTTTCAAAAATATGAAGGTGGATTGTTCTTAATTTGATCTTAAATTAATAGGTTGTAAGCAGTGCGATTGCTAGCGTTTTCGCTCAAGGGAGGTGTTCAGGCCTCATTTGCTAACGAAGTGAGTGAGACGTTGAATATTCAAAGGAAAAGAACCCACATATGGCTAAAGGTTCTCGTTTTTTTAGATAAAACGTTGTTCACAATTGCATTTTACAGTAGCTCAGCCTCAGCTTGTTCTTAATTTGTTTTTAACTTTTGACCAATTGGAGGCTCGTGTTCTTATAAAATTGTTTTTACAAAAAAGTGTATTACAAAAAAGAAAGTTGACTATGACCAACCATGACTACTAAAATGAATGAATTATAGGTTGAAATTTGGTCAAACTTCCTATTTAATGCTAAGGTTCCCGCTGCGTGACCGACTTTCTTGAAGTCTGCAGAGATTGGGGGCGTGACACCCCACGCCCTCCCCCCCCCCAATTGGCACATCCCTGCTCCTTATAATAATTTTCTACATGTACAGTACATATGTACATGTAAGTACCTTCATGTACCTAGTAGGTTATTTTGTCTCCACCATTTCATAAACTGCTCTTTTCGTCGCTATGCCAACGGCATGAAACTTGAAAGGTCAACCAATGAATGCAAAGGATGATTTTAAAGATGGCGCAAAATGAGCAACTGAGTGCAAGGTATGATGAAAGCTTTATTAATTCCTTTTGTTGGCAAAGTGTTTATAAATAGAGGTTCCCGGGAATATATGCCTTTTTCGTAAATTAACGCCAACCTGAATGTATCTGGGTGCATATATTTCCTTTATGAAACACTAGTTCAATAGTTGGGTTGTCCTCTTAGGCCAAAATAATATCTTGGCCAGCTAAGACAGAGTTTGACCCAGCAAGGTACAATTTAGTCTTAAACTTAAAACCGTGTATAAAAGCAAGATTTAATGCAAATGATAGATCGAATATATAATATTATGTCCCTATTCGCCAAGTTTTCTGTCAAAGGACCATCTTTTTTAACGTCCCGCCAAAACCATCGCCTTGTTTTTTGTGACAATGATTGTCACAAATGGTATCGCGAAAGTATGCAGAATAATTTTTAGATTTTCGAAGCTATTAATGAATTTCATAGATATGTTTCAATTTTGTCACGATGTGTGTCTTGGTTAAATGTGTAGCTTAAACTGTATAAATGTTCAACAGAGAGTCAAATCATTAAATAAATTCTTGTTTACATTTTCATATCTTTTGTTTCAAAAGCTACGTGTTAAAACTTCAACTGTAGCTTTAAAGTAACCTTGAAAAATTAGAAGGATTGTGTAATGTCATTAAATCTTTACTTAATAGAAGAAGGAAGACAAAAAATTTGAATCATTTTCTGCTAAAGTTTGTGGAGTTTATTGTATTGTGATTTTGTTTTTAAACCTTTGAACACATGTCGAGGCTTTGTAAGCTGGCTGGATTTGCTAAATATGTTTGCATGATGCTAAGTTTTGAATAGTTTTGAATAATGCTAGGTCAATAGTTTTGAATTAGGCTAGGGATGCAGCTGAAGTTTGTTATCATAATTGTTGGAAAGAAGCATATCAAGGTTTGTTAACTCTTAAAACACAGTATGTCATAAATGCTTCACAATCATTAATCACTGCAGGAAGCATATTTCATGAAATCTTACATTTAATTGCAAACATTTGGTGTAAAATGGTTTTGTAGATGTGCTATCTCCTGTTCATCAACTACTGACTTAACAAATTCGATTTGTGTTTTCAGTTGTAAGTGAATTTGGTATTTTGGTTTTCATGTTTCCAGCAGTTTCTTTAAGTAATTCAGGCACATCTCTTAAATGTATTCAGAATAAATTATTAAGCAGCCACTGTCCATGTCAGGTAATCAGATTAATCTATATTTTTGTTTTAGCCCAACTTTAAAGTCCACAGCTTTATGAAACATTGATTAGAATGGATGAAAGACATTGGTGGATAGCCACTAAGCTACAGCAGACTTTCAAATCAGATCAACTGAACACCTTATATGCAAACTTTGTTGAAGACTTCCTTGCAGATCAGGATATAGTTGAAAACATAAATGAGTTCATCAGCTCCTCTGGCAGCAACAAGCTGATTTTCTATTGTCAGAAACCAAATGAAAATGACCAAGAAGAGAACCACACAGATGCAAAGATTGCTGTTGCAACATCAGCCCTAAAGCTTAAAGACTTGGTCTTAGATAATTCAGTTTGTGTTGTCCTAATAAGAACAAATATTGGTCTTGAAATAGAACCAAATGCAGTGGAGAAAGAAATATTTGCTCTAGAGTTGAAGCAAAATACAATTTCTTCATTTTCCAATCTCTTGTCCAGTGCATTTTTGCCCTTCTTTCGTGCTCAGTCAGATTGGGGTGAATGCTATGAACATGATGTTGTTGAATTTCTCATGCAAGTGGACAAGTACTCTTCTACATTACAAGAGTATGCTGCTATTGTTACAGTTCCCCACCATCTCCTCAAGAGACCTAACATGCATACTGTCAACGAGCTTAAACAGAGTAGATTGTTAACTCTTAACCCTGCTCTTATAAATGAATACGAGTCACTGGTTCAAGAATGGATTCATACTATTGAAACACTGTTGTCAGAAACTCTCGATGAAAGGTATGATCATTATAAAGCTGTCCTTCTGAGTCCTTCACTTGTATGGATCGTTTGATGTTGTTGGTCAACATCAGTTTTTTTTAGAAATAGTGGTATGCCCTTTGTCATTCTTGCCCATTTGACATGCATTGTTTCGTTTCAATTAGAAGAGGCAAAGCAACAAGGATGTCAGCACTAGGGGGCACTAGGAACACATGCCCCTTTTCTAAGAAGTGCTTTCTTCATGACATTTGGAAAAGTGCCATTTTTTCTGAGACAGTGCCTGTGGAGTGCCTTGACAATCAACTTGTACTTTTTGTCGAATTCATTTTCTAAACCACTAGGGGCTAAAAAATATGCAACAATTTTTGCAGATTTTAGTGATTAACCATCTGATTGGGTATGTTGTGTATCAAGCATGAAATTCTTGAGTTTTATCAAATCTTTTCAGTAGAAGAATCTCCTGATAGGTTTGCTGTATTGTGTATCATTTTATAGATCGAGGCATCAATTATAGCATGGGCCTAGCTACTGGGGGTGGGGCAAATTCTCAGGAATAAAAAGTTCAGGCATTGGAAAAGTTTTTATTTCTGAATATAAAACTTAAGATCACATATGAATAACTTAAATATAGAATAATTATATTTGTTTATATGTATATATTTGTTTATATATAAATTTTTTAAACCCCCCCTTCCCCTACCAATACATGAGGTATCAATATGCTTCTGAATTTTATTTATCTAAGAAAGGTTAAATTTTGATATCATTTACAGACCTGATGTGTTCAGTGGACCCTTGTCTGAACTGGAAATATGGCAAAGAAGGCAGAAGATGTTGCTAAGTGTTGCAGACCAGTTAAAGAACAAAGAATGCAAAACTGTCATTGGCATTCTCATAACTGCAAAATCTAGGGTATTGAAGAAATGGAAAATAGTTGATGCAGGGTCAGTTTAGTTTTAATTTTCTTTTTGCAATTTAAGGGCCTATTGATGAAAGTATTTGGTTTTTAATGTGCAAGGGAAAGGGGACGATGACAAAGATTTTCAATCACCTTTTATCTGTTTACTATTTTTATTTCAGGTTAACTGATGCAATAAATGAGACAAAAGACAAAGTGAAATACCTTGAATCCTTGAGACGATATTTTGATCAGCTTTATGAAGACAATTCACCATCACATATAGCCAATAATGTTATACCATCTATCACAGCGGCTATTCGACAAATGGACAACATTTCAAAGTTTTATGCCAGATCTGGCTACCTTGGAATCGTTTTTGCTAAGGTATGCATCACATGAAACTCATACTTTCTAACACTTCTTTTCAACAGTGTCAGCTATTGTTATTCACTTGGTCATAAATTTATTGAAATATGTTGACCTAAAGATTTTTCCTGCTAGATGAAATATCAAACAAACACACAGTTTTTTGAGAGTTTCAAGTAACTTTTCATGTTTTTCCTTTTTTCATTTTGGTGTAGCTTAAACTGGCAGTTTTAGGTCGTTTATACATAGAAGGCTATTGCAAACTTTTGGTTACGTAAAGGCAGTTTTCAAAATCACAGGATTACATCACAAAAATACGTTACCAAAAATATTACCCCTCTCCTAACCAATCCTGCCAAAAAGTGGGGGGGGGGCACATCCCCCAACTCACCCCCCATGGCGCCGCTACTGCTTGAGGGATCTCTGTTGTTTGGAGGTTTTTTCTACAAGTGTTTGACCTCGGAAATAAGAGTTTGGCTTAAGATGATTTGCCCATTTAGAATTGTGCGTTAATGAGAGATGACCCAAATTGAGGTCGCACGGCAGGATTCCGAAAAAATTGATGAAATGTCATTTTTCTTCTTTCTTTCAAATTGATTTCAAGTTGGTTATTTCTACGTATTGATTCCACGATCTCATCCCCATTAGTTTGAGATTGCAGCTTCAAAGCTACCCCTGCTGCCGTTTGTTTGGGTATATGTTTCCTTCTTTGTCACCCTTTTTACCAACTAAAAGGTTAAGTGTGAATTGGCAGAAAAGTTTTACAATGATAAGATGCCAGGCTGCAATAATAGATATTGGTATTTAAGAAGACCGCCATGGCCTCTGAAAATCGTATGATTTGACAAAGCAGCTTGCATTGATGCTTGCTTTTTACCATATTTTCAGATAACAAACCAATTAGTGATGAGTTGCAGACGTGCAATTAATTCTTATCTCAAGCGGTTTACCCAACATGATGCTGCCGTTTCTGTTTGGAATGCAGTAGAAAGCGACATAGTAAATCCCAGCCACTCAGGTTTGGAATCCTCCATTAAATCCAAGAAGGGAACAGCCCAAGAAGGTTCAGCTAGCTGGGATTTCATCACAACGTTACGATCTTGTTTGCAACTTCATAAACAATATCGTGACCAGATAAGACACTTGAAGGATTCCCTTGGTGGTTCACATGCTCTACAGCATATCCCTGCATTGTCTTTCGGGAATACAATGAAGAAATATGCATCACCTAGTCTTGGTAACATAAGCACTGCTTCAAGCAAAGTAAATGCATCGAATATCTCGCCACCTTTATTGCGTAAGTTAGAGTTCATTAAATCAATAGATCTTTCCCCGCTCTTTAAATTCATTAAGCTCTGGACGTTAACAAAGCCCAAATTATGGTAGCTGCACTATAAGCGACCGCAAGAAAGACCAAAAATTTAAGTCCCACGCCAAAACCCACCTCGTTCTCATTCTCTTTCGAAGACGATTTTGCAGCTTAAGGATACTGTCCGGCGAAATGATGGATAATTTTCTAGACTCTTGCTATATAGGTAAATGAATCATAAATAAATATATATAATTATAAATACATATTTTATCTTGTAATTGAAAAGTAATTTTTATTTTTGTTTTAGTAGGTATCAAATAGCTGTAAAGTAGCTACATATACATTATACGCCTACTTTAAAGAAATTGATAATAATAATAATGATAATGATAATAACCAGGTGGAGAACGAGAATGCCTTGAGCTAATTTCTCTTAACATAAACGGTGTGTTAGGATGGCTTTTTGTGTTGACCAATCGAAGTTTTCGCATGCTTGAAGTGTACATAAGTAAAAAATTCATTATATCCACACAAATCTGATTTCTTTCTTTTTAAGGCTTTATAGGACGTGTTATGCCATTTTCCGTGCAGCCTTTAAAATGTTTTATGCCTAAATGAGATATTGCGAACTTTTAACTTAGGTTATAAACTCTCAGAAGAAAGGTTTTGTAAGAAATAATGATGTAAATGCGTTTAAGGTGAAAGAGTATGATATTGATATTATAAACTAAATGTAAGGCAAATAAATCTATTATTTTGATTGTAGCTTCTGAGAGAGGTCGAATTGGAACAGCATCAGTTGCATCGGGTATTCTCACTGGTATTGCCTTTACCGACGAAGAGGCAATAATCGGATACTTCGATCTCTTTGCGCATCGTGTACATAATCTTATTGATATTGTTGACACTGTAAAACAGTTTTCACAACTTCAAGTCACCGCCGGTGGGCTGCCGATACTGAGCCCAAAACAACGCCAGATAAAAGGAGAAAATGGCACTACCAGTGCACCAGGCAAACCGGAAAAGTCAGATCTATTTGATGAAGCTCCGATTGTTTTTGATAGCGAAGGTAAGGGGGAGGGAAGGGTCTGGTGAATTTTTTTAATATGCTTATTTTGATCTGAATAGTTCAGCAATGAAGCTTACTACTGAGGATCGCTTTTCTTTTGAAACTTTTGAATTTCCTTTATAGTAATAAAATGATAAACATTTTGTTTAAAATTGGCGTTACATTCCCTGCAAAAAGTCTTGGAGCACTAACGTTAGTTTTCGAAGGCAAATTAAGCCACCCCCACTTCCTCTAGGATCAATGTTGATTTACTATAGGAAAAAGAAATAAGTTATTGAGTACTTTTTTATATATTTTGTTATTAATATAATTTTTTTACGAAGATGGTGACGATACCTTGTTGAGTGAGGATGAATCGGGAATTCAGGAGTCAAACGATTCCCAGCCTGTGGAAAGTGTTTCAAAGATGCTTGCACAATATGTGGGCGGACTCAAGGAACTTTTAAAGAACAACCTGAAAGCAGATAATTGCCTGATAATTGATGGAAAAGGGAAAAACCAATTTGAAACCCTATATGCAGATTTCATTGTGAAAGTGGAAGTCATGGAGAATTTCATCATTAACTATATTAAGGTTTGTATTGTATTGTTTTAAGCTACCTTACGGTAGTAAAGCTAGTGTATGATCCAGCGTTCTTTTCAAAATGACCCAGCCTCTTTTTGAAGATCTGAATTTCAGTCAAAAGGGGGCGTTTACAACCAATACCCCCCTTGTCTACAGCCATGCCTACAACAAGGAAATATTTGATGTCATATTATTTTTTGCCTACAGAGCTTTTAGGTCATAATTATGTGAGAAATTTCGATATTGACATCTTATAATTAAGCCTTCCATATTTTGAAATTTGTAAGGGTTGAAAACGATTGTTAGAGTAAGTTTAATATTTTGGTGTCCTTTGTGAATTTTTGATTAGAATACTAAAGAAATTTCTACAGGAACTAAAAGCTATACTATCCCAGTTGATGTTTTGCTAACTATCATAATAATTAACCATCGTTATGTTGAAAGTGTTATGCAATAATGTAGATTATTTTGTATTTTCTTTGTAGGATGTCTTTAACATGAAATGGAAAACACAAAAAGCACTTGATATTTTGAAAAGGTTTGCTAAGTGCAACTTTTTATAAAGATTTGAAAAATTATCTTTGTTATCAAATTTCTTGATTTCAATTAAATAGAATTGTCTTGATTTGCTTAAAGTTGTGTTCGAAAGCAGAATTTACATGTCAATTCTTTTCTAAGGAGACTGTAAGTTGTCTTGCTTTTCGGAACTTTTAGCAAAGCCAAAATGTGGTTCAAAACCTATTCCATGTAAATTTTAATATGTTATTCCTGATATTGTCTGTTTTTTATAGCTTCAAACCAGTGATATCACGTTTAGGCCTTCGTCCTATCCTCTCTGAGAAGTATATCGAAGCTTTTATTGGATACGAAAAGGACCTTGATGAAGTGAAGGATACATACGAGCAGTTTAAGGTTAGTGGAACAGTTTATGTGTTTATGTTCCAGTACTGACTGTTGGCAATGATATAACGTTGGAACAGCAATAGCTTTCCTAAGGCTAACTGTTAGGGATAATGCAACGTAGCCAAACTGCGTTCAGTGAAATTCTGAGCCATTTGAAAACCCGCAGATTGCCAGAATTTCACATAGGGTAGCAGGATCGATATCCTGGTCACACAGCCATTTGACTACTTATGGACGACTTATTGATACAGGTAAGTGAATGTATCTTATTTTGAGCGTGTTGAGCCTTGCTTTTCAGGTTTCCTTTTTCAACACTGGTCATTTTTACCAAGAGTAGAATCAGTGGTGAAGTTAATTGTAGGAGGGGTGCAGATTCCCAGATTCGCTGAAGCTACAAAAATGGCGTTCCTAGGGTGGGACTGTTGCCAGTAATGAAACGTAGCCAAACTACGTTCATTGAAATTTTGAGCCATTTGAGAATGCACAGACCATTTTAGGCACAAATGAAGTGCATTCAATGGATGATTTTCTGTGTCGCTATTTATATATCTTAGAAGCTTCGGAGCAATATATGATAAACTTAGAACATAGGCATTTTATTTGATTTGCCGACAAACCAAATTTAGAGGGGGTTGGGGGAATGCGGGCCTACTTTAGCTACGCCCCTGGGTAGGATTATGTACAGACAAGTGTTCAGGGTAACTGAAGGCAGACCAAGATACACGGTATGGTGAAATTTATTATGTATTCGCCCATTTAATATTTGATTAGCGAATTTGGCAGTTTCCTATGTTCAAAAACTAATGGAGCATCAATTACCTGGTTTCTGATGTACATACTGATGACAGCGAAGATCATCATTGTGATGAGGTAAATCCGGTGAAAAGACCCACTCTGATTAAACGCCCATCTTGAATAGACACCCTTGTAAAGTAGTTTTGAACTGAATAAACGGTATTTTCTGCATACTCTCCTGCCCTTGAAGGAAAGTCCCAAACTGCTGAACCTACAAGCTGCTGAACTCTTTATGGAATTTATGATCCAAAAGGTGTTGCCATTCTCACTCAGCTACGTGTAGGCCTCAGTAAACTAAATTCACAAAAATTCAGTCGTAACTTCCGGGACACAGTCAATCCTATGTGCCTAGTTAACGACGGAATTGAGGATACTGAACACTTCTTGCTGCATTGCCATGCATGTGACGATCAAATGTGTGATCTCCTTGGTGCGATAAACATTACAACTAAATAGCATTTCAAACCTCTCAATTTAGACCCTTGTGCATATTATGTTGCATGGTGACAAAAGATTGTCACATAATGAAAATAAAATTTTTTTGGAATCAACGCTAAAATTCATCAATACATCAGAACGTTTCTTGTAGCACCAGAAAATACCACAATAGTTCAACTCATCTATAGCATTTCATCCTTCTCTATTTATCTTTTAGCATTTAAAGTATAGTAATGTAGAAACAGCACTAAAGACCACACCAAAATCTTGTCCTAATTTTATCTTTCTTTTCAAGTTGTAGCCTCTTTGTCTTTTGATTGAACCAGCTATCCGCACGGACTAAACAGGATTTTGGTATAGCCTTTGGTGCTACTGTATTGTTTTTTGTTAAGGTCAATGGTAGCCATGCCTGTCATGCTCCCATTGGCATCGTCTTTGCAATCTTGTTCTTGTAAAATGTTCTTTTTTAGACTGTTTATAAAAAACCTTCAAGCTGCCAAACGACCGTCTCTTTTGAACGACCAGTTACTGGAATTTTTACCATTAAGCCTTTGCGATGCTGAAATTCAAAATAATGCTAGAAGGCTGTGTTAACTATGCTTCATGCTCAAAGTATAAAAAATATTACAAATATGCAGTAGTAAACGCATCTTTTATGTAATTGGGAATCTTCCTCCTAGATCTTTCCTCCAAACTTTTTTGATGAATTTTAAGTCTTGGGTCCAGCTGTATATGCAGAGCCTTGGCTCAGGGTTTGATTACCGTGTATGAATCCACATCAAAGGATCCGTTAAAAATTCTCTTTTTATTCGGAACTATAATATGAAACAGAGAGCTATCTCTAACATTGTAGTAGAATTTACTAGCCTCCATCTTGCTTTCGATGTGTAGTGTTTAAAAGAGACTCGTTAAGCATGTCTACACAGGCATTTCAAGACGGTCTTTTTCGATCTTGTGGAAAGGATGTGGGCAATTTCTAGCAGCCCACAAATGAAACCACCAAGATAATACATAGTCTCCCATTCTTCCCCTTTTCTCTTAGCTTAATTGCCCTTTTTATTATCGTCGCAACCATCCAATGCTTTCGAAAGCCGTCTATAACCTAAATAGGAATTCAAATCTAGACCAGATCTAGTATTTTACCCACTAAGCACAAAAATGAGGAAACGTTAGTGTGGATTAGGCAAAGCCTGCGTCCGACCAGTGTTTGTCTGACTGCCTTGTAGAAGCTTTAAATCCTCGATGAGAACGGTATCTACTTAGCTTAATGCCTCATCTCGACGTTTTAGTGCCAACTAGGTAGTTTAGTGTTTGATGTTTGTCACCAATAACAATAACAGATATTCAATGTAGAAACAATGGTTCTTTAAAGAAATGCTGGAATTGTAAGAAGCATTTATCGACCCTTCTAACTCAGGTATTTGTGAATTTGGAAATTCGGCAGATCGTAGGGAGGGTGGGGCTGGCTTGACTTTCGGGAGACACTAGAAGGGCATTCAGTATGCCCTTCTCAGAATTGCTTATACCCTGATACCCTGAATAGAAACTTTCTAATCAACGTCTTCTTCAAATCAATATAGGTACTCTTTTAGCTTTTACTTGTTTTTATTCAACAGATGATTGCAAAAAGTATTCTCATATACCTCCAATGTTGCCATGTTCGTGGCTTTCAGCGCCGCAAGATAGATCTGTTTATAGATTGATCTAATGCAAATACTCAAAGCAAATCTCTTGCTCGTCTAAAGGAGGTGTATTTTGCCTACCCAGCGAATACTTGACGATTTAAAATTTTGCTCAGTTATCCAAGATAAGAGAATTGAGATGATAAGGCTCCGATATTGTGGAAAGTCTACAATATTTTTCAACGATTGTTCTGCATCAGGATTTTCGTTCATAGACATTGGCGTCAAAATTAAAACTTTTTGCTATAAGCTTGGGTTGAGGAAGATATTATTGCTCCAGGGGCGGAAGCCTGTGTCCATACATCGGGAAATTTCTGGCGCCATCTTCCAACCGTATGCTCTTCCTAAATTTAAGGGCATGTGTCGTGAACATTGGCTAATGCAATGCAATGATCCTTTTTGTTTAGTACAAATTGTTAATGCGATGTATGCCCTTTAAATCATAAAGGGGCTATTTTGTTTCCTTTTCTTAAAAACGGTGCATATTCCTTTATTTATTGATTCTGTTTAATGGCAAAATTATTGTATTCTTAGTCCTAGATATCAGTGTTCATAAAGGGTCGAAAGCCTCTAACTGAAATTAGAGTCAGGCCTGTTATAAAGATTATTTTGAAGGGGACTTCCTTATTAATTGGAAATATTTTGTAATGAAATTTTCATACGAACTGTTTTGTTTGTTAGGAAAATCCGCAGATTGCCAGAAATTCACCTAGGGTAGCAGGATCGATATTCTGGTCACGCAGCCTTCTTCGAAGAATTGAAGAGCCAATGAAAGTTTTTAAAGACGTCAAATTTGTATCAGCATTAAAGGTATCAGATTCTTTCATTTATACCCATTCTACTGTCTTCAGCTTTTCTCCAATGGCTGTCGTAATCAGTTGCATTTGGAATTGTGTTCAGTTGAGGATGGAAAAATGTGGGTCCACCTCCTTTTGAACGCCAAAAAAACCCTCTTTTAGAAATATTTTCGCCATTGATAAGGGGGGGGGGGCGTCCGCTGGAAGCTATTAAGGTAAAGGGGCTAGACAGCTGAAGTCGCCTCTCTCACTGCTGGTCTATTGATTGTGTGGCCCTTTTAAATAGGCTAAGGTTATTTTCTATAATGTAGATATTTTGGGACTTTATTGTTGATTTATTGTAGCATCAAAATTCCAATTTGATTATAGTTTTGAAAAAACAATGAATCTTGAATAGGTTTTGCTTTATAATTTATAATTCATCATTGAATAGAATTTGAAAAGGTTCATATTTCTTTAGAACATTAAATTTATCAAATATAAATATACGTCGATCGCATAATAGGAAGAAAAAATGTCATATGATGTAGAGTATGTTTAGAAAGAAGAATAAGAGGTATTGTAGCTAAAATTGCCACTCTTACTTGACATTCTTCTTCATTTGATAGGATTTCACCCGCGTGGTGAAGTATTACAATCGTTTGGCTGCAGTTTTGGTAAAATTCGAAGAACTGCTCTTGATTTCTTGGAAATCGCAAATCGATGTAGTTAAAGTCGGTCTGAAAGCGTCGCTCCTGCGACTCAATGAAGACAAAAAGGTCGAAGTCAACGTCGAGAAAAGGTCTCTCTACACAAAAGAATACTATTTCTTGTAAATAAAGGCAAACGTCGTTTAGAAACCATTGGTTTGACCACATGCTAGCTGAGATGTCTATATGCACATCTATCTATATCTAATTTAATCAAAGTTCTCAAAGCAAGCTGCTTTCACGGGCACTACGCTTTTAGAAGAACCAATACCGAAGCTTATTTTCTTACATTTGGTTCATTAGTTAATAGACCATAACCAAAGACTTTGTACCAATTTTACGCACAATAATGTCCCTAAATCTGGCCTACATTGGCCGGTGGACGCAGTTCTATACATCATCAGAATTTTTTTGCCTGATCATTCCAAAGCATGCTAGTTTTTAATCAAATGATTTTTCTTCTTAGCGTACTTGAAGTGATGAACGAAGTGAAGTGGATGAAAAGATTGAACTTGTCAATTCCTAATTCTGCAACTGAAGTTTCTCTGCAGGTACTAGCACGGAATGAATTTACCTTTAATAAATCTCTTCTACTAGGTTTAGCCTATATTTCGTTATTGTAAGTTAGAACAGAAAGTACAACACGAATTAAAACCTATTTGCAAACCGTAAATTCTCGAATAAGCCATCACCCTTTCGAATAAGCTCCCACCCTAAAGTAATTTTTGTGAAACATACCTCCTCGAATGAGCCCCCATTGTACTGCCTCTACAATAATAGGTTTATCTTTAAACATTCGTATAAGCATACCTAATATATATTCAATTTTAAACATACTGACCAGCCTCAAATAGAAGAAGAAAATTTACCCTGGTTATACTTTTGGCTGTTGTTAAATGAGCCCCCATCTTCGAATAAGCCCTCCCTCTCGAACAAGCTCACACCCGAAAATATATCTCTCGACAACTTTTTTTTAATATTTTCACATATCTTCTCCTGAATGCTACTATATCTGCTTTCCATCCCCTGGACTATGTGGATTATATCACGAAAGTTGCCCGAAAATGCCCTTTTGCCACCTACATCGGCCTTGAAAATTAACTTAAAGAAATTTGGTATTAACTATGTTCGACAGTATGCTCCAGACCTTTGGCTGTTCCAGAGGCTATTTTTTTAATGTTGCATAATTTTGCAGTACTGACACATAACTTATCTTTTACCTTTTCCAGGAAACTCGATTCAAGAATTATTACCACAAGCTTCACTGGATAATGCAGCTTTATAATGAAGTGTGCGAAAATGTCCCAGTTCCCTTACGAAAACTGATGACTCCGCTGACGGAATCCATTTTGTACTATTTACAACCTGGTTTGTCCACTCTCACATGGAGTTCACTCAACATCGATGCATATCTTCATCAGGTTTGCATCAGTTCCCTTTTTACTGTCAGAAAACCCCCTTTTACCAACAGGGAACTTCAATTTTACCCATTGGAAACGCCCATGACTAAACTTTTGGTTACGTAAAAGCAGTTTCAGAGTCATAGAATTGCACCACAAAGAATACGTTGCCAACTTATAACCCCCATCTCTTTTTCTCATCAAATTTTAACGAAAGAAAAAATTGTTCGTGCCGAGAAGTGGGTAGACGCCCCCCCCCCAAGTGTAAAACTAAAACGATCAAATAAAGTAGCATGATCGGAAGAGAAATGGTTGAGGTGTAAATAGGAGATAAGGTGACAAATGGCATATCAAAATAGGTTTTGGTTCCCACTGTTTGAAGTGGCCATTATATGGGCTTTTACATTAATAGACTGAATATTTGTCCAACCGTTTTTCTGGAAGTTGATTACGATTTGCTGTTAAAAAGGTTATTTATCAAGTTTATATCCCGTTTCAAAATGCTACAAATCCAACTTGATTGGAGAACTTTGTATTATTTATGTCATATTCGTGTCCTTTTCTTTCTCAGTTCTTTGCAGAAATGTTTTCTCTTTATTCCCCGTACTTTCTTCTTCTTTTCGTCATCCTAACCTTTTTATTCTTTCGTTTGTCTGTATCCATCCTCTTCGTGGTTTTTCTTTTCTTCTTCCAGTTTTTACTACCTTTTCTGTTTTCTTTTCTTCTTCTACTGGTTTTTCCTTTTTACTTCACAGTCATTCACGCTAAATGTTTTATCGACCCACTCTGTCTTTTAAAAGAACATAGCATTTCGATTCTATGATTTTTGCATCTCCTTACAGTGCCATGTCGTGATACAAAAATTGCAAAAGACAGTTGATAAAGTGCGCAAGTTAGTAAAAGAAGGCCTTGCTGATAACATAGAAAAGATTAAGCAGCTGAGCTTTTTTGACGAGAGCAAAGCAGTATCAAGAACTTGGACTACTAACGAGTTTGTTAATGAGCAGAAAGAATTTTCCGCCATTGTATCAAAGAGATTGTCAAAAACGATCTCGGGAATGGAGACAGCACTACAGGTAAATTGTTGGAATTGTTATTCAAATATTTTATAAAAACAATGCTTATCACTGTTTTTAAATCAAGATATTGCGTACTAATTACCTAAACCATTTGCTCATTGCTACACGGTAAGTAGCTTAGAAGTTGTATTATCAAGTTGTTGATTGCATGCTATGACGTCATACCAATCTTTGACGTCATGCTGTGACGTCATCGAAATTATCATTGTGTGCAGATGTAGCTATTCCTAACCTTTCTAACTCGTACTACTAACTACTAACTCGCATAACCTAACCAATTTTACCCCCTCACTCTTAGTTGATCAAAAACGATCATAAAGCATATCTAAGCAAGAAGAGTCGATAGAAAAGAGACAATACAGAGAGGCTTCTGATTTTATATTAGTATTTTAATGTAAGGTCTTTGGTTATTGATGCATTAATTTCTGGTAGAAAAACCTGCTACAAATCATAATCACTATTTGCCTTTCCAGTAAACAAAAAATGTCTTTTATCTCGCAAAGCTATGCTGAAATGAATGCTTGTGGACCCCATTAGTTGAGAAACAAAATTTATTTGTTGAACAAGTGCAGGATATAGTCAGTCATAAGGAAAGATGACTGTAGAAATCGGTAAATTTATCTCTTGCAGGTCTTGCAAGACTTACGTGACACCAATTGTATGCAAACAAACCCATGTCATTTAATTAAAACACCTACACCACTTTTTGTTATATTTACATTTGCTTTCAATTTCCGCTGTTTAGCCTGGCTCAAAGCTTGAAGATGTGCTCAAAGATTTAATATTTTGAAATATTACCATTCCACCCTAGCAAATTACATCTGTAATAGTGCAGCAAATGCTTTCGTCATCAACGCAAACCCCTCCTGCAACACCAGGGCTTCTCTACTCGACGTCAACCCCAACCAGGCTCCTGCAATCTGAATCCAGAACATCTTCATCAGATCCCTATGGCCTGCATAGAGGTAGCAGAAATCCAGTCTCGCCACCGTCAGGAATCCTTGATGACGCAAAAGTAGCCGAAGTTAAGGTGCATTATTGCAGCCAAGTCTACGAAGCAGTTGTAATTGCAATCAATGAATCACTAATGGCACTCAACCGAAACCTTGATTGGATGGATATAGGAAAGAGGTAGGCAGTAATCTTCAGTAGCCATTTCCACCAAACATACAGTGTTACATGGAATGGCCGGTCAAGATGACCAAACTCCTGGGTGACCATGTGACAAGATAAAGTTGATTGATGTCGCTTTTTGTTTATACTCTGTGCTTTTTGTGAAAAGTAGATCTTGTTAAATTTAGTTTTAATCTTTAATCATCGATGAGGTTACTGTTGATGAACAGAATTAGGAAAAGGTGCAATAGCCCCAGTTTTATTACCCTCTGATGCAGTTATGTTGTCTTCACTGATGTATGAAGATCATCCGCCGAAATGTCACATCGTTTTCTAGCTGGGTACAAACTACCTAGGATCTGTTGCATTGTTTTTTTGACTATCAATTTTGACAGCTTGCCAAAAATAAAACTGTAAATCTTGATTGCCTTCGAGATTTTGAGTCCAAACTCTAATTTGCCAAAAACTAAGAAATTGCCACCAATTCATAATTGTGTTTGTTTACGTAAGAATTCAGTCAAGATATGAGCTTACTTATGTTGCAAAACAAACGTTGCAAATCTGATGTCAAAAAGAACCTTTTTTCCATGAGTCACTCTAGGCCGCTTAAATTTGAATTTGTTGCCAACATCTAAAGTTGAAAATAACGACTTATCCTAGGTTTGCTTGTGCAATACTTTAAAAAGAGGTGTTAACATGAAGGTGTTAACCACCAACCCCCTATTTTTTCTATTTTCCCTTGTATTTTAACCCAACCAAGTTTTGTCAAACGGCTATACATGCAGTGGCCAATCGTATTTCATCAGTGGAGTCCTAAAAAGTGAGGTTGCTGATTAACCTATGTAAATGTTAATGTGAAGTAGAAGTTATAGCTTTCACATTATTGAATACAACAACAAGTAGAGTTATTCCCTAGTAGACATAGACACAGGAGATAATCTGTCTCAATTCGTACACCGTTTAATTTTGTTAGCGAATTTCATGGAAAAAGGGAACCAGGAAAGACTGAAATAAACTTTGATGTCCAAATCGAGTTTTTGCTACCAGACATGTGCGTTAAGCCATCTCTTTCGGACGTCCAAGGAGCTATCAAGATGGTAGCTGATGATATTGTAGATATCGGCAAAAACGTACATTGGTGGGCAAAAGATACCAGCAAGACTTTCTATTCATCAATATTAGCAGAGAAGAGCATTAAAATGTCATTAGAAAAAGTATCCGGCATCATAATGGGTAAGTTGGTTGGCAGCCTCTTTCTGTCAGGACTGATTATTGGTTCTGTACTATCTGTAAGTGTCTGAATAGAAAAGTTTAAGTGATAAACCGGAATCATGTGATGTAAACAAACTTTTAAATGGGTTGATGTTTCAATTTGTTAAAAGAAAAGGACCTGGGTATTTTTCTTTACCAACTGACGTTCTCGGTATTGAGTTATTTGCTATTAGCTTTGGGATTTTTAGGCCGCTAATTTAATCTCAACAAGAAGTAATTTTAAATCTAAAAGGACATTATTTTATGTTGGTAAACGGGCATAATGCATTTAAATCAATTCCGAAATAGTTAGCTTCTTGCAATTGCCTCTGCTCCAGCCCCCAAACTTTCAAGTATTTAAATGTAAGCTAATGTTCTCGGGAATTTTCGTTTTCTGCTCTACTAACCCCTCTACTTAAGAATATCAAACACGGCTTTTATGTGAATCTTCTTTATGTAAGGTGTTTTCTTGATCGTCAAAAATCACCCATTTTATAACCCGTGAAGGTAAAAATCAACTTTGAAGAGAATACTTAGCATTTCTAGAAGCAGCTACAGGTGCATGTTAGCTTGTATTCGTCAACAGAATGTTTTATGTATTTATCAATCTATTCCTAGGCTTGCAGAATACATTAGACGGTGTTCTTATGAGCTTCAAGCGATTTGATTTCCTTTGGCAAGATGATCTACAAGTCCTTTTCAAAGCGTTCTCGGATGCAAGTCCAGGACTACCGGCGTTTCACAGGGAGGTGGAGCGCCTGCAAAAAATCGAAAGAGATCTAGTGTCCACACCAGATAACCTAGAGCTAGGGCCTCTCGTTCTGAGTACTATCCCTATTAAAGATTGCTTGTACGGATTTGCTATTGCGTGGAAAATCTGCTATGCTCAACCTATACATGAGAGTGCCAAGGTATGATAATTTGCTATTTAACCGTATAGTTTAGCCGCTAGTTTTGGTACCTAGATCATTATCTAGACACGTTTCAACCTGTGACAAGAAGAGTCTATACCAAGCATGATAGTAAGTGTCAAATGAGACTGTCCTAATGAAACGCAAAGACAATAGTTATCGACTAATGTTTTGACATTCACATTATTCTCTTTTTGCCTTTTCCTCGGCTTTCGCTGCTAATTGCGCTTAGTGTACATAAAAGCTTTAATAAATATAGGAACGAAAGTTTTTAAATTGAGTATTAGATTAAGTACCAAAAGATTCGGTGCCAAAAATTTCGATGGATAATTTTCGGTGGAAAATATTTCGGTCATATATTTGAAATTTCTGTGAAAACTTGAAAATTTTCGGTGGAAAGAAAATGATTCGGTGAATAAAAAATGAAATACTTTCTGTAAGCTATTTCTATCTTCAACATAAAATTATCTGGAACGCAATCATGAAAGTTAAAAAAATCGATATTTTGATGCTAGACAAATAAAAAAAACTTAAGTGTAGGCAAGAATGTCTTAAACTCTTATTCAGAGGACTTCCTTTTCATTTAATTTTCTAACCCATGGCGGAAAATTTGTTGGAAGCTTTTACGGTTCGCCAATCGCAACGAGGGGATTAGAAATTCTGATCGATTCTGAGTTTAAAATTGTGGTTAAAACTAAAAGCACTGAAAAACTGAAAGAAATAATTGAGTGAAATTATGAATTACCAATATAAGCATCATTTCAACCCACAGAGAACCCAAATTTCTTGACTGTAGAGAGCGAAAGAGAAGAAAGTAAAGATGAGCTGGATATCTTTTTTGTTGATGTCAAGGAGAGTTAGAAACTGAAAATTAATATGTCCTGGATGTATAGTCATGCTAAAAAATATCAAGGAAAAATTGTTTTCATTATTTTGAAAGTCGATCGGTGGAAAACGAGATTTTTCTAGTGTTTGAAAATTTCGGTAAGAAAAAATTCGGTGGGATTAATCTTCGGTTGCCCTGACTCACCGAAAATAAATCCCACCGAAATATTTGGTACTTAATGTATCATAGAAATTACCCTTGTACGAGTTGATCTCTTCTCAGAATATAACAGCTCTACTGGGGTTTAGCAAATCGAAGAACTTTTTTATCGTAAGATTGTGTACTTAGATACAGAAGCCGAAACAAGTTCTTTGGAATAAAAAGGAATCAACTAGCTCCAATTTTGCAGAAATTGAACTGATCAAACATTCTCTTGCCTCTTAGTTCATCTCATTTGGTTATAGAATTGGGTCCACTTTTTGCAGCATTGGAAATTTCATTCTCTCAGGAAAAATTTCATTCAGTATGTTCTTAAATTTTAACTTATGGTTAAAATTCCTAGTTGCCATCTCTCTGTAGTAGTTCGTTTAACATTTTTCCCTTGAAATTTTAGGTCGAGTTAAAGAAGATAGTGGATAAAAGGGAGTCATTTCGCAGTCAGTTGACATCAGAAATCTCTTCTCTTGATCAACTGAACAAAGTTCTGAATCTTCTTCAAGAGCTGTATGACTTGGAAAACACTATCGATGATTTGTACTTGCCTGTTGAAACAACATACAAAAAGCTATTGTAAGTCAGTTTATATTTGTTACTTTTGTTTCATAGACTACTCCCAAAAGTGGCAGCTTAGTTTTTATGTAGTGGGTTTCATTAATCTCTTGACGCGTATTGCTACTCCTAAGTAATGACGGAATTTGCCCCTCGTCCATTCATTGTCTAGCTAGCTATCCTCATTCATTCATTGTGTGGCTAAATATATATCGTAAACTCATGAAGCTTGAAAAATATGCGATAAAAAAAATTACGGTTTGTTGTGTAGAGCATGAAACATCAGCAAACCTACCAATACCGTTCTGCATTTAGGGCATTGAGCACTTTATGACAAAATGGTATAACAGTTATTTTTGTAATAAGAAATATACACTTATTATCCATCTAGATTTAATATTGCTCAAAATTAATATCTCGAAGGGATTTTTCTAACATTATACTTAAAGTTACAATGATTCTCGGTGGTACTACTAAAGCATGTTGTAGTATTATGTGAACTTTTTTAGAAGAAGTTTCATTACATGATTTTTCAAAATGGCATTATGTTGCTTTTTCAGAGAGTATGACGTAAAAATTGCAAGAGATGAAGTGCAGGAAGTGAACGGCCTTCGGGAAAAGTGGTCAGAGCTTTTGTCATTTGCATCCGAGGTAAAGTGACTTAGCTATTTTTTCTTAAGGTAGTTTTTTTTCTTAAGACTGTCGCAGTTATTTGAATAAATAAGCAGATTTACAAGATGCATCTATTTTTTATACATTCCATTAAAAATTACAATATATGCTACAAGTTAGACTGCTAACAATAGCTGCCATACAACAATACGGGGAACTATACCCCGGGGAGCAAAAGAACTATCCCGGGGCCGTTACATAAGTTAAACTACAATTGACTGTGCCAAACCACATACCACGAGAATTTTTGCGATCGGAAATTTTTTTGCATCTATTTTATGTGTATCCCAACTATACTGATAGGTATTTCAGCAATGATGCAATCCTCATTACATTTAGGTGTACTGGATTTATTTGAATAAGTCTGTCGAAGCATCGCCTGTTACATCCCAAAATCATGATGAATTGAAACATTATGAAACATCTCAAGAAACAGTTGCTGCAAACATGTGACCACTTTTTTCTCTTCTGTTGTTTTTTAAAAGGCAGTTGTTCAATGTAATCTTGGTAATGACTTACGTTTTGCATGACTCGGGTCACGGAAAGAAAATAATGCGTTTTATTGATATTTTTACAGCTTCTAATCTGAATATTTATTCACTCCTGCACATGTCATTTGCATATTTAGATAAGATGGCAGCTGCTCCAGAAGAAAAGGACGGTTTTCGAGCAAGAACTTGATAAACAAGTAAAAGTAAGCATGATTAAATCGTATTTTTATCAATTGCTTGCTCCAATTTTCGTCGAAGAAAGTATTTATTCTGTTAACTGCAAACAATAATTATTTAGTTATTAATAAACTTTCAACCCATCTGCTTTGTACATTTATTTGAGAAAAGAAGGTTTATGTTAACTGCAGTTAAAATATTGCCACAGCAGTTACGAAAATGTGAACATATTCTTCATTTCGAGCTGTATCAGTTCATGCTTCAATTCAGTCTTTCAATTCAGTCATACGGTCTTGCTAACCAGGAGACAGCCATGATAAAGATATATATTCCAATCTGTTGCTCTACTAACGACCAACAACCAATTATTCGACTTTTATAGAAATTCGAGTGAATTATGATAATATATTATGAATTCGAATGAATCGGTTGATGAGTTATCGAAGAGAATTGACGCAGATTAAGTGCATGAAAATGACAGATCTCTCTAATTAAGCATAAAGTTGCTTCTCTGTGTATACGAATGCATAGATTTATAGATAGAGATTTCATTAAAGCTTCGAGCATAAAATGTTGAAACATGTAAATCTAGTCAGATCAAAACAAAGTTCTGCTTGTCTTCAAATATCATTGCTTGTACGTATAAAGACTTTCAAAGTCCAATCAAACATGTGCTTATTTAAGTATCCTACATTCTGTGGCGAATCTTTTCCTGCAATTTCTCTGCCTATTTTTATTCGATATTCCTTAAAGATGACTCTCTTTTTCATCTTTCTTAATATCTTTTTTTTAAATGCACTTATTTTTAAATCTTAATGTCAGACAATATGGTTTTCATGCCGACATTTACCTTTAATTTAGGCTGGTTATAATTCGAATTTTATTCTTAAGTTATATATTTGTTCATATTTTATAGCCAAATGTTTTTATCAATCACAGATTTCCAACTGTCTTATAGCGATTATACACTCTCTCGTAGACATTTGTCGTTGAAGTGATTCAGTTTAGAAACAGCTTTGACTCGCAAGGCCCTGGCGTTCCTGGTGTTATTCCATCAGAAGCAGTTAGACGTTTAAAGCTATTCCATGACAAATTCCGTCAACTGGACTACAGGAGGAAAGTTTTGGATGCCGTTCAGATTATATTTGGAATAGCACCTACCCCGTTTCCAGAGCTCAACAGAACTGGGGAGGTAAGATAGTCACTTTGGGAATTAAGCTAAACTTGAAAACGCTTGCAATATTGTTCCAGCCGTTAAGTTAGTTGTATGCGACAATAAGAGTTTATTTGCTATATCGGTTTATGTACTGAAGACTTATATAAAGTCTTATAATATTGGGTTTAGAAAAGTTCATATTACAGTATTTATATAAAGTGAAGGCTAAGGAATCATTGCCACTGCTTTGCCCTTTTTCATGCGTTAATCATATACGTATATGCGTAACATGTACTAAAATGGAAGTTTCTTACACCAACATATTTCAAAATTGTATCCTCAATCACTGCAATAAAACATGTCTTTAAAGTTTAAATATTGTGCTTTTCAGGAACTTGAAATGCTTGAAATGTTGTACGGGCTTTACCAGAAATTTATAAACTTTGATCAAAGGTAAGGAGAAAATCTTTTTCATGAAACTTGCCTTTAGATCATTATGACCTAAAATTGGTTACTAGTCTATTTCTTGTAAGTTTTCATCTCATGTCAGAGTTTTAAAATTGATATGATTGGAAACCAGTCATAGTTTTAGTAAATTCTACATTCTTTCAGATTTTTTAAGAAGAGAGTTAGCAAGTTTTTGATATCTTAATAACGAAGCTAAAAGTTTTGTTAAACCTTTCACAAGGGTCGGTTATCAAAATGAGCTACATGAAGGAGTTTTCATAACTACCAATTTTCTGGGAAGAGCCTGGAGAAAATAGAATAATTCGAAATCTGTTAACTCAAGTTTTATCTATGACCATGACAACAAACCAAAACTCAGATTTTGGGATAGTTAGAGGGTCGTGGTAGCCAACCTTGTGATAGAAGATGGTACCTGATGATGATGTTAATTCTAAACCCTATGTAAAGTGTGATGAGAAAGCGTATTAATTTGTGTGTATTACATCGGATTGCCTGAATACTATAACGTAATGATTTATTTTTCTCTGAATTTTAAAGCAACTTTCACTTTATTGTTTAGTTTTCGCGAGCAACTATGGGCTGAAGCAGATCTTCTCAAAGCAAATCAAGAGGTACTTTACGTAAATGATATTTCTTGATAATAGATCTGATATCTAAGTTTACATTAGCTCTTCTTAATAACGAACCATATTTTGAATATCATGGCAAAAAAGTATTTGAATAGATTTGTATTGTCAGTATAGTGGTGTATCTAACATGTAGCTTACGCTTTGGATGATAGAACAGTCCTAAGTTGCAACTCCAAGTTTCACGCTAATTATGGTTACGAGACATATGTTCAATACATCAAAGTGTGTACAGCTCTGCCTTTACGGCATTAAACCTATATGACCAAAGGGTAAAAAGTATAGCACATCCACTGTATGTATAAAGCGCTATTTAGCTTCAAATGCATTCTATATTCGCAATTTATCTAGGTCAACAAATATTGGAAAGACTGCACGAATCTGCCATCAGCAATTAGAAGCTGGACTGCTTACAAGGAAATGAGAGATGCAATAAGAAGTTACATTGATGTCTTTCCTCTTTTAAATAAGCTCGCTTCAAGGGTATGATTGCTAGTGTTTTTTGTTATTTTTAATATAATCTATGCACAGAGGTATGTTAAGCCTGGAATGTTATAGAAGAGAGTATCAGTAAGAAAGTCAATTTATCCCACCACAACAAAAGAACATTTTTGGTCTGGATAGAATATTAAAAAAAAACGAAAAAAGATAATCACATGTATAACAACTAACCTCTTAAACTGTTATACAGCACTTTGAGCATGCTCTGATAGGTGCTTTGTTTTTAGTATGAAGGCAGATAGAACCAATATCCCATCTTAGCCACCCATTGAAAAATAAAAATTCTATTTCATATGTAGAATTAACACAAGCGTTTCTCCTTGGCCGTATAATACACATTTCTTCTAAAGCCTATGTATTAGGATTTATTTCTTTGCAAACATTGACGTGAATTTAATCTTTAGAAAATGATCATTAGTTTCAAATCATTTTTGAGATATTACTCGCACACTTAGATTCGTATCATACCAAACTTTCTTACAGGAGATCAGAAACAGGCACTGGCTTGAAGTGATGGCGGTTACGGGAACATCATTTCAGCTGGAAGCGAATGTTTTCAAGTTGATGCATTTGCTGGATTCACAGCTTGCTAAGTACGTCTATTGGGGAATGTAGTTGACATTATCGTTCATAAAGGAATTCTAAATTGGTTAACATTTTAGAGTAAATATATATTTTGTCTCCTTACATAATATATTAAAGTTGGCAAAGACTAGAAAAAAGCTGGGAACTTCTGATTAATTGTAACCAGGTGATTACGTAATTCAACTATTTGCAATTCTTTGCTCTTCAACTAAGAGTCTGTGTTGTATCACTCTTGTTGATTGGCCAATTTTTATTGACAGATAGAAACGTTGAAACAACTATACAAATAATTAACCGAGGCTAGGCCCGTTCTGAACCATAGTCTGTCCATCAAACTTTCTCAGAGGCATATTGTCGCTATATATGCATTACTTAATATTCTCTTTTGACTAGACATAAAGAGGAGATTGAAGAAATTGTGCAGAATGCAGGCAAGGAGCTTGATCTGGAAATCAGAATAAGAGCTATTGAGGAAGAATGGACAGAGCAGGTTTGCTGCCATGGATAATTTCAATCTTGATCATTTTAATACTTCAATAATATGTTTATTTTGTATAATTTCAAAATCTTTCCAAAGAGGGATGCTTTGCCTTTTCCAGTGTCACCTTTTCTATTGCCTTGTACCTGTTCTTGCTACTGCCTAGAGAAAAGTCTAGCCAAGAACCACCGAGAGCTTGTTTCCCGTAATAAAATTTGGTATCGATACTAGATACTTCCTACACTATGCATGTATTAATTTTCAAGTGTCCTTTTTGGGTACCCCACCCTGGAATTTTCACTTCAAGCAACCCCCTTTCTATGTCACTGGTGTAGCAAACAGGACCACTTTTCAAAGGGAGTTTTTTGCCTTGCTTGCTTCTGTCTAGTCCAGGGCCGTCAAAAAATTATATGCAAGTAAGAAATATTCACGGACCTTTTCGGGACATAAAACTGGGGTTTTCTCCATAACAACCTCCTTTTAATACCACTGGATTAGCCAACAGTATCACTTAATTTGATAAACTAAATTCAAAACTTGTAAACATCTATTTTTACAGGTTTTGAATTTTGAGAGATTCAAAAATCGTGGCTTGGTTTGCATCGACAAAGAAAATACTGAGAAACTGTTAGAGATAGCAGAAGATGCCAAGTCTTCATTAGCAATCATGCTGACGTCAAAACACGTAGCTCCTTTGCGCGATGAAGCTGCCAGTTGGGCTGTTAAACTGAAAGAGGTTGGAGAGGTTCTTGATCAGGTGAGATTTTCCATTTGATTTTCAAGAATTTTGTTGTATTACCTGGCTCTTTGTACCGCTTAACTACAGCCAAAATCACCGTACACGTTTGAGTCACACCAAATTTGGCTCAAAACCGATGGCAGTAAGCAAAGTGTGACAGTAAGCGGAGCTTCATTGACTTGTAAAAGTGGCAGTGGAGTCTTTTCATAGTAGACTGCTTATTCCCTAACATTCCATTTTTGAATTTTCACGGCACCCATCTCAACCCAGGGCCGTTCCGTTGTCGAAAACTTGTAAATTAATCTAAATGTACATTTGGAAGACAGAGCAGCACTTTTTCTTGGCTCGAGATTCTATTATACAATTTCAACATGAGATTTGATGTTTAAGACAGAATGGTCCTGAGTTACCAATTCGAGTTTTTTCCAACATGATCACTATTCTGAAACAAAAGCTGTTGATATACGTTTTGTACAGTTCACTTTTCAATCTCTTCTGTCAAAGTTGTCATTTGATGGGATAAATCTCGTTGAAAATTTTCTTCTTTTAGAAATGTGTCTTAAATAGCTTTTCATCAGACACTATTCTAAGATTGTTGCTTTCTAATTTACTTCTAGTGGCTTTCAGTGCAAGAGCTGTGGCAATGCCTAGAGGAGGTATTCAGCAATTCTGCAACGGCAAAGGTAATCTTTTTATCATCTGAATGAATTAGATATAGCTTTTCAACTGTAATTTAGTATTTAAGAACAAATCAGTGACTCAATTCCATACTTCACTTTTATACAAAACAGTGAACAATACAAAGCTGATGTAATAATTGAAAAAAGTACAGTGGAAGCCCGACCATACAAACTCTGAAGGGAACTTAAAAATAGTTCGTTATATCGGGAGCTCGTTAAACTGGGAGAATTTGTAAGGAGTTTGTTAGGCATGATCCAAGGGGCCGGGCATTTAGTTCGATATACCGGGAATTTCGTTATACCCGGTTTTCGTTATATCGGGATTACACCGAACATTAAAAGGAAAGTGTTAATAGTTTGCTGACAATTGCCATCAAATATACAGATCGATACTCAGCAATTTTACACTTCTATTTTTCATAGGAGCTGCCCCAAGAGTCTTCAAGATTTGCACGCGTTGATCGGGGCTATATGAAGACGATGAAGAAGGCTGTAGAGATCAGAAATGTGATGCAGGTAAGGCGGAACCGATTTTTCTACTGATTGCGTATGCTGTTAGGAATATTATGACTGAATTGTTTTCACAATGAATTGGTTATATGAAAATTATCAAAGACAAATTCAAATCTGAGTGTCTTTATTACTACGCTGAAAATTTGGGAACTTTAAGTAGCATTCCAACTTTTACACCAGACAGTTTTTCAGAGCTTTGATGTTGTTCGGTCTCTATCTATCACTTTCTAAGGGCATAAGCTATCAAAAAATATAGAGTTTCTTTCGGGCTAACGCTATGGGGAACTACGCGAGAAAGGCAAAAACCTTTATGATTCATTTTCTGACTGCTTTTACAATCTTTTCAGTGACGTTGTGAAATGGTTGTTCTTTATTCAGACGTTTTAACACGATAAGAACAAGGATGCAAAATGTATTCTTTTGAATTTATCCTGAGTGTCGATTCTCTGTTGACTCATAAATCATGCTCGTATTCAATTCGATTTGCAGTGCTGTGTCGGTGGTGATGTACCAAAAAATCAGATGCTTAAGGGGCTTTATGAGGAGCTGGAAATCTGCTTTAAATCGCTGGCTGGATATTTAAACAAAAAGCGAAAGGTTTGCTAGCACTTTGAACATAGATAACTGTACTTACAGTTGCTACACTTCTTATATGTTTATATATATTTATATTGCCTGGTGATTACACAATAGACATAAAGCTCATAGCAGCAATTTTGCAAGGAAAATCCAAAAAATTAGGAACATGCAACTGTAAATAGGATGTATATAAATGTTAGTGCCATTTCATACATTCTTAGATCGAGTGGCGGCGCCAGCTGTGACCATGCCCCATTTGCGTCGTTCCAGTGATTCGTCCCTTTCCTTGGGAAATTTGATCTACCCCTACCCAGCGCTTTTTAATCCATTTTTAGAAGAAATATATAGACCATATTTTCAGAAAAGTGGGGAGGTAATTACCCCCCCATACCACCCCTTGGCGCCGCCACTTCTTAGATCTATTTTCTTGTATTCGTTTTACCTTGTATTTCTTTGGTTTTGTAGTAGGCCTTAGTAAGCTGTATATAAGCTCTGTTTCAACAGCCTACTGTAAATGAATTCATAATAATGAAAATAATAATAATGATAATGATAATAACGATCAAAATAAAGTCACCACCCTACTGTGCTCCTAAAGTATTTCGACTCTATAGGCCTCTCATGTCTTCATGGAGGAATCACTAATTTGATCCTTTGAAAGATGGGATTTGAGTATTCAACAATGTGAACTTTATGGTGGTAGAGTGTGTTTTATTGGCATAGGGACTGAAATTTAGTTGGACTTTTATAAGTTATTTTATATTAACATAAAACGTATTCGAACGTTACTTTAATAGTTTCTTCGTCTTTTTCCCACTTCACGTTCGATTCTAGGAGGTTTTAATACATGATATTACACGCAATATAACACACGATATTTATGAATATTTTAGCACGCATTAAATTTTCCTGTAATTTCAAATAACAATTTTATGCATCATTCTTAACAATGATTAGACGATTCTAATGTCCATTTCATTTTGTATAGGAATTTCCAAGATTTTATTTTGTAAACGATGCCTCACTTCTCAACATTCTAAGCAAGCCCTACAATTTGGATTCTGTGAGGCGTTATTTACCGTAAGTTATCTCTAACTCAAAAGTTTCTTTTTTGTGCAGTTTTTTGTATCTTTAAGGAAATGTCTCAAATTTCTCAATTTAACACTATTCTGCTTCATTTGTTATCTTCAAAAACCTACATGTATGTATTCTTCATAGAGAGGGCAAATTAAAACAAATTTTTTCTAAACTTTTGCCCATTGACTATCAGTGTACCAGAATTTAACAAATTGCTGAAGGGTATTTGATAAATCTATACAGGATCATGTAAACTTTTATGTTGTATAGTAATGGTTAGTATTTTGTCACTCTAGTGATATCAAGGCAGCACCATTTTTTCAAATCAAGGAGACTTTGTCATTTTAGGGCAATTTTCAGTGGGATTCATTCAATAGATGTTTTCGCAAAGCACGAAAGAAATGGAAAATCTAAACTTCTATCAACTAAAAATTTATCAACGGTAAATCATTGCTATATTTCAGCGTTGCGTATAAGGCATTGCTTGCTTAAAGTTGCTATCCCGATGGGAAAGTCAGCTGTTTTGCGGATATGGAGTGAACAGGAGCAGAAAGCGCAAGTTGCTAGATCGCTTGATGGCAGCGCTAAAGGTTGTCGATTCCAAAGGTCCACTTTTTGAGGTCTCGATCCTGTGGCAACACTAGGGAGGCTAATAGTATCGGGACTGGCCACCCTACTTCGTCATGCTGCTTGCCTCTTTAACTTGCACTTTTCTACCAACCAATGTATAGGGACAGTCCTTTACGCTTTTAAAAGACTCACTTCCCTTCGCGGAATCATTCACTCTTAGATAATCATTAAATACCTATTTTTTCGTCGTTGTGGAAAATCTTTTCAATTTTTGCTCATTACTTTATAATCCTTCTTTTACATTTCTCTTCTGTTCTTCGTTTTTAATTTCCCTGTTATGTTTGATTTTTTTGTTCTTAAAGAGTAATTTTTATTATGATATAATAAAAAGTTTTATCAAAATTGGTGTACTGAGGATGAAATTTCCAAAGAAAAATGTTTGACGTCTCAACAAAGAACAGAACAACAATAAATGCTTTGATTATTAGCAACATTTGTATCGTTTATCGGGTTTTCACTATCTCTAAAAGTACACTTGACTTGATGGTATACTTGACTCTTAGGCAAATATGAGGATGGCCAAAATAAATGCAAAGTTTTTTACTTTATCGGCTGCATGAAACACCTACTGTCAAAATCACATCTTTTTACCTAAATTATAGGATGTAGTAGAAAGACTCGTGTACACCCCAGACCGGAAGAGAAGTGGCAGTATGGATCGAATGTTATCTCCAATTATTGATGGGCAAGAGGAGAAACCTTTATCAAAGCAAGGCCGGACCTTTACTGACAAAGCTTCTTCGATTAACCTTGAGCAAACGACAAATTTGGAGGAGTGGAAAAATGATCTGCCTCATTTGAAAATGGTCGCTGTTTCAGATGCTGTCGGTGAGAAGATAAACTTAGATGTACAGGTATGGTATTTCTGATCGTCGCTTATAATGTATTGCACAAATACTGTTCAGCACTATCTTTCTTGATCTTGCAATGATTTTTGGAGTTGAGGGGTTTGAGAGCTACCTGTATAGTAGGGAATTTATAATTGAAAGTGACAACAAACCCTTAGAAGCCATTATGAAAAAAGTGTGTTGAGCGCATCAAAACGTCTACAAAGGATAATTCTTCGTTTATAGAGCTTTGCCTTTGCCATTGTCTATAAGAAGGGTTCTAAAATATTCTTGTGTTAAGCAGATGTGTTAAGTAGATCTAATGTCAAGTTTGACAATGCCACCTGATAGAATCATGTGCTACTACAGTCAGGTGACAAGACATCATAGCTTATAATGTATTGTACAATTACTGATCCATTTTGTCTATTTTAATTGATGCTGAAATCTTACGCCTATCAGTTTCTTGTTCAGCCCATCCAAAAATTGACCTAGCATTTTTAATTGCAACACTTACTCTTTCGGAACTACAAATGCCAATTTCCAACAGATGCCAACAACAGTTGCTATAAATTATTGTTTCCAAAGCAATGTGCGCAAGCGAAATAGCTCTAAAATAGCAGATTAGAATGAAAAAACAACTGATTAAAGTTAATCAATGTATTCTGGGAGGAGGGCGGATCAGCTTATAATTGATCCATGCGTGAATTCAGAGATATGCTAAAAGGTTTATCTAAGGCGATTTCACATGCACTTACACCCATGTTCTCTCAGACACATTTGAGATAAATATCATTTTTAATTCATATCTTCTGATTTATAGTTTCCTTGACATCTGCAGTTTTGTACGACAATTGGATCATTGAGGCCCTCGTTAAACTGAGACATTGAACTTTTTCATCTACATTGAAAATATCTTACACAGAAAAGGCATACAACTTAAAGTTCCTAATAATCATTTTGGGAGGAGGCCGTCGTAGATCCAGGGGAGGTTATTCTAAAGTTTTCAGCATCGGAAGAAAAAAAACTTTTTGCCCATTTGAAATTTTTGCCCAGCTGATATTTTGTTGGCGAGCTAAGATCTGTCTGAATATCATGTTGGCATTACGATAACATTTTTGAAAACGGTTCACCAGGTATTGTGAAACTAAGTCATTGAGGGACTTGAGGGCCAAAGTTTTTAACTCTTTTTGCTTTATTCTCTTTGTTGTGAAAATATTCAATTGTTTGGCAATAAATCATTATTGTATTCCTTGAACGACAGGTTCGTCTTGAAAATGGTGTCGAATGCTGGCTAAAATCGTTGCTCAGTCAAACTAAGTCTACACTGAAAAATTTGATGCAGCAATGCCGTGTTGACATCGAAAATGGGATGTCCATTGAAGACTGGACATTTAAGGTATTTAATCTTTTCACAGTCTCACTTTTTAGAATCAGATTTTATTCGAGATTCGAAATTCATAAAGACATCTGGCGATTCTTTTAGATCTTTAAAATATCGATTCGATTTAGTTCTCGAGATTTCTTGTTTTCTTGATGAAGGAACAGTGAAACAAAATTTGTTAGCGCGATCAGATTCATTTTTGCAAGCTCCAAAGCGGGAGATAAATCGCATTGAAGGAAATTTGAGAGAAACCTCAACTTTCTGAATTAATTTATCACACCGAAATGGGTAGATCACTTATTTTCTTAGAATGAAAACATATCTAATGTGTTATTATCGTTTTACTGTCTCGTTTATTAGTCCTTGCGTTTATCAAATAGGGTTGGAAGTTTTATCAAATTGTTAACTAATAGACTTAAATGTTCTTGACGCTATCCTGTTTATCGGTATCAAATAAATCAGTTATTCTCATTATTTTCAAAAGCCTCTTAAAAGATGGAGATAGCAATTGATATCTTTCCTTCTTACAGTATCCATCACAAGTCGTACTCATCAATCTTTTTCATATTTGGACATTGGAATGTGAATCGGTTGGTATTTTTTTGTATCCTTGGACTTCGTCGTGAATAAATTGTGGTTTATTAAATATATGCGCAAACAACATTCCTGTTTATCATGAAAATCCTCTTTGATTTATCTTGATATCCAAGTTGATCATTTTGCTTCTTTATTAATCTTATTGATTAATCATCATATTGGATTGATTAACAGTGATTTCCTTATTGATCTACTGCCAATTTGATCGACCCCTTTTCGCTTATTGTTATTGTTAAATTTTACCCAAATTTCAATTACTGCAATGTTTTTCTATAGGTATGCTCTTTATGGACATTTTTTTACAAAACATTGCTTTTTCGTGGTCTGAAGAGTGTTTCCCATATAGTTCGGTACTCTCGATTTCCAAATGGGCCCTCCCCCACCCCAAACGCCAATAAAACTTTGAATTTTCACTCCCCCAGGCGTTTTCAACTGCACTTTTTATTGTCATTCAAGCATTATTAAAATCTTTTAGAAAATCTTTCTAACATAAGTACATATGACGGTGAAATACTATACAGACTAGAAGAGAAGTTAATAAGAAATATCCTTTTCTTGTCATTATCATCCTGTTAAAGATATATACATTTTTCGTCAAAAGTAGTCGGAGCACCGCAAAAGTCATATTCAAAGTTAACAGCCCTAGGATTTAGCTAGCTACCTAAGCCATCAGCGATGTTGCTAAGTTCTTCCCTCTCCTCCATGCAATGTCGACTCTATCATTAGAAGTGTCTATGCGTCCAATCAAAGCTGTGAAGATTTTATGTAGGTCTTCCAACAATTTTGCCAAGGAGTGTAGGGCTCTTTCAAGATTGAATGAAAACGCGAAACTATATCACTCTTTCCGCTCTTTCTTGCAATTATAATGCTGAATGTTTTTAAATGCAATAAATATACTGTCTTTAGGTGCAGCTATTCTCACCTTAGTCTTTACTTTAATATCTCGTTCTGTCAATTACAGTTCTTGGTCATCTCTACTGAGTCATATGTTATGCATTTCAAATAAATGAAATGTTATCAATATCAATATGATTAATGAACCATCTGGCGAATCATATAATATATTGAATTATTCGACATGATATTATTTCAGGGAATATCCGAAATCCGCGTCGAAAGGAAAGCTTTGGCCATTGCCCTCAGGAGGTACACAACATTGTTTAATAAGATCCCACAGATCATAGCACGTGGTGCCTGGAGGAATTCCGATGTAGCACTAAGCGCTGTGCATCAGTCTCGCCTTGAATCACTGATAAGTGTGAGTTTCAGAAGTTTTTCTCAACTTCAAATTATTCATTCATGCCTGTTGTCTTGTGAGGGGGGGGGAGGGGGCAGTGGCAAGGGAGAACAAGGGCCTCCTTTCCTGCTCATCTCAGTGCCGTCAGAACGAAATTCATGTTGGGGGGTGTCTATTGTATTGCTTCCCATTTAGTACGCTATTATGGTGGAAATATAGTACAGCATGACAATTATTTGGGGGGGGCAGCTCCCCGCTTCTGACAGCCCTGCAGCTAAAGCATAGCGAAACAGCGGGGGGGGGGCTGAGTAGTAAATGAAAACCTAAATGCACTAATTCAGTGTCCGGGAACCATTGGCACTCGTGGAAGAGGGGGGGGGGGCAGTTATTGGGTGAACCATTTATCTGCAAGTCGATGCTTTCTACAGGCTTCACGATCGGGGGCTTTCTATGGTGCGGTGAAACCATTTGAAATGTAGCCTCCAGTGACAAACCGATAAGAACTTTACTCATTGAGATTTTATTGTAAAATTTGAGCGATTCGCTGACCCGCTTGTTGTATTCTTGTTTAATGAACCCGATGCATATAACTAAATAATTCACATCACGTGCACTATAACAAGAAGGTCTGAATCCGAGTTTGCTTAGCATGTGGCAGACTCGGAAATTTAAAAGAGGAGAGAAAATAGAGTCTGCGTAACAGAGTCGCTTTTCTTGTTCGCTGACATCAACATTTTATTCTAAGCACTATAACAACAACTCATTAGCGTGCAGTGTTTTTCTGTAATTTTAGTTGTTCAAAAGAACAAAAAGAACTATTCTATAAGCCTGATGTCAAACATTTATACTTCAGTTCGAAGGCGCCACTTTGAAAACTGAAAAAAGCAATTGAAATTCCCCCAACCAATCAATTTCGGTTCCTTGATTCTGAGGAACCTGTGAACAAGAAAATTGTCTCTACCTTTTCTCCTGTTTTCAATTTTGTCAACAGAGTCTGCACGCAGGCTAATTTTGCTTTGCTTAATGTGCGATTTCCTTTTTCTGTATAAGAAATTCTGCGTGTTGTAGCCATTAGTTGTTGTGAAATCCCTATCTGTATTAAAATTATCTATTGCGCAGAAATCCAAAGTTCAGGAAATTGCACTTGTTTTATCAGACAATATGCAGAAGCTTTAACAACCCTTCTCCACAAACAAATAGTTATATATTGTCTCCTTTTTCTGTTAGATTTGTCTATTATTTCTAGGTTGGCCTTTATTTACGTGATATTCTTGAAGATCTGGGACGACGAAAGCTGAGAGAGGCTTCTGATTTCGAATGGCAGCGAAATCTTCGTTTCTACTTTGAAAACAGTGAAAATGAGTCAGATGAACGTGAGGAATTCCATGTTGTTGAACATTAATTTCCGCCATTCAGCGTTTTCTAAGAAATAGATTTTTAAAAGAGAAGATGCTGGATAAGTTTACTCAGTTTGGCGGTCTCATTAACTCCTTCCTGAATACCATAAATTGAGTTTCATGAAAATGATCATTAGTCGAGATCTGTGAAACTTGTTAAAGCTAGGTTGACTTTGTGTTTAATGCTATGGACGTACCAACCATTGCGACCGGAGACATGTTTAAAGTTGGTTGCGAATCTTTACTCTGTCTTTTTTATTTCTAGTCTCGCTTGCCCTTCACGTCCTAAACACGAAATTCGACTATGGTTACGAATTCACCAATTGCAAGTTTCCAATCATCATGACCTCTTTGACAGAGCGGTGCTTTGTATCGCTCACCCAGGCAGTCAGCAGCAACTTTGGTGGCTGCTTGCAAGGCCCAGCCTCCACAGGAAAGACTCAGACAATCAAAGGCTTTGCTCACTTGCTTGGAAGGTTTCTCATATCAATCAGCTGTTTAAAAGACTTTGAAGTTAATTCAATAGGAAGAATTTTTACTGGTGTAGCTCAGGAAGCAGCATGGTGCCTTTTTGACGAGTTTCAGCAAGCATCGTCTATTACTGTTTCCGTGATAACCTACTATGCACAACATATTCTGAACGCCATTCGAAGCAAGCAGAATATCTGTTATTTGCTGGATTCGCAACAGGTGCATAAAATATGACTTTGATTGATGCTTAATATCGCAACATAATATCTAAAATCTGTGTTGCAAATTCCAATGCAAGCCAGTTTCTCTCGGATTACATCATGATGTTGATTATACACAAGCATGTTTGCCTATTCCTTTTTCAGTTGACTTCAATTGCTTTACCCGTAATTTCTGGAGACAATAACGCTTGTTTGCTACCTTATGAAAAAGAGCCTTGCACCCTCCCATTATCGACGCTTCTCCTAATAGGCCCTCTCCCTCCACTGACTCCTCCTCTATCATTGCCCGCCCTTCATCAGTCTATCCCCTCTCGGCCATTACCTCTCTTAAACCCCTATCAGCACCCTTCCTCCATCGAACTCTTTTATCTGTGAACCCCTTTCCTCCATAGACTCCCCCTCTATCCAGCCCCTCCCTCAGATGACGCACTGCCCCTATCTATTGCTGAAAATCTGCCATTTATCATATGAAGCACCTAAATGTAACATTCCCTCTACCCCCAGATCTCCGTGATGCCGTCTCTGGCCATTTTCACAACAGCTACCAGCACTGCTGAAGCAAGACTCTCTATTCCGCAGTCCACGCTCAATCTGTTTAGGGAAATCTGCCTAGTGAAGCCTGATTATTCTGTAATACTGCGAACACATCTGGCTGCTCAAGGCTTCAAGTCATACAAAATGCTTGCAGATAAGATACGAATGGTCGAAGAAGTCTGCTTGAACCAGCTGTGAGTAGTTTGTTTCTTTTATTTTATTAGATTTTTATATAAGATCTGTGTTTTTCCATTCAGTTTAATTTCAGTTTTGTACGAAAAGTGGTCCGTCCTTCAACAGAAGCTGCTTTTATTTTGACTTATTTGCTATTAAATCTTATTTGCTCAACGCTATACTGATTTAGATTCAGCAGGGAAGTACCTTGTTAGACACGACTGGGAGTCATCACACAGCCTCGTTACTCGAAATAGAGCAATTTTACCCGCATTTCTTTTACAAAAATCCATATCTTAAGACACGTTTATCATCAATCGATTTCAGGTGAAAATGTTTTCTTTTGCGAAAAAGTTATCAAATTTTTAAAAAAATTAAAGAAAGGTGAACAAGTTACAGTGAGGGGGAATTCAGATTTTTTGTTTGAATCGCAAATTTATGCATGGTACTGCAACAAAGAGAAACACACTTTAAGGTCACTTGAAAATAATCTCATCAAAAGGGATCACGCACATATCTATCTCAAGCTTGTCCTCTCCATGTCAAATTCTATTTTTTTTAATATTACAACAGTGAATCCCACTCAAAAATCACCTTTCCAGATTAAAAAGAGAGTGATCATTTAAGAATCACAAGGAAGTGGGCGAGATGATGTAAAACCTTTGATATTAAAAATAACAAATGAATATTTATAACTTCTAACGAATTATCACTGTAATGTTATTGTAAGCTCGTGTAGGTGTCCTCGATATCAGCTGATCCCCACCATGTTTGTTATTTGCTTCTTTCCTTGACGGTGATTGATTAGCGCCAGATACCCAATCGTGACTACGTCTTACTCTGTTCAAAATTCAGCAAAGCAGGCGCTCTTCGATGTCATATGCAAAATAACTACTGTGTCAAGATAAATTAAAACGCTAGAGGTATAATACGCCTCCACGCCTCCGTAAGGGAAATCTTAGGAATTTACAAAAAAACATCCTGATGTCAGGCACGAACCGGTTTAAAGAATAATATTTCGCAGTTTTTCAATATTTGAAATTAGATTCAAATGCTACCTAGCAAATGCTTAGGCATATTCGTTAACAGACGTGGCCGTTATTATAGGCTTTTTGGTTCGATGACTTTTTTGTGGACCAAAGTTAAAGAGAGAAAAAGCTGTAATTATTATATTATTATGTAGCTCTTCTAAATCAATCACCCCCTTTCCCATTTCAAGTCTTTTCTTCAATCATGCTTACCTATTTGTCGCATACCCAGTGTTGTCCAGGGCATCCCAGGAATCTGACCCCCAATCAAGTATCGATGATAACGAGCACATGCTCGAAATTTCGTGCTTTTAAGTATCAAAGCTAAATTTATTTCATTCGGGTACTCAAAATAATTAACTCACAATATTACCAATCAAATTTATTTGAATACAGTAGGTCCCCGCGTAAAAGCAAGGGATTTTTAAGAAACTTTAGAAAAAAGCATGTAAACGTCAGACAGCTTCATTTATTTTGCATGCAGTGGAACCTCTAAAAGCTGCAACTTTCGGGGAACAAGCTTAGTGGCCGTTTTTTTAGAGGTGACCGCTATGCGGCTATGGGGAGGTTTTTTCATATCTTCCTTCTGTCGAAAAAACTAGTCGGAACAAGGAGAAGGGATGATTAAAGCAATTTATACACTTGTTTTGTTGAATTAGGACTTGAAATACCTGCGATGTATCCAGGGGCGTAACTTGGCCAGTAGGTTTGGGGGGGGGGGGTGAAAAGGGTTTCTGCCCTGCAAAACTGAGTGGTGCCCTGCAGACCTCGTAGCAAAGGTTTGTCTATACTCTATAGGTTACTAGTGGAAGCTTCACCAGTGTACACTGGTCTTTACCAAGGAAAAACTTCTAAGCAATAAAAACAAACTTGACACTTCATTGCCTATGAAATATCTATTTCTCTACGTGAGCGTAAATTATATGTAAAATTTGGTTTTCCTTGATAATAAAGCTTCTATCTCGTAGCATATGATTTGGGGGTGCATTATATGGGCGGAGCAACAAAATTGAGCCCGGGGGGACTAAGAATCACGTTTAGTGTAATAGGAGGACCCACCATGGTTGGGTCCGACGTGAAGAAAATTGTTGAAATTATACCTTGTAATAGGGCTAAAAAGCATCTTTCAGACTGAAATTTAACAAAATACTATTGTGCTAAAAAACTGATTATTGTTTATTGGGAAAAATAGGGAGGGGCATGTCATGCTAAAACTCTAGTGATAGACGTTGTGGAAAGAAAGAAACGGTAACCTTTCGTTTCAGACTGCACATAGTTGTGAATGGCAGAGGAAGATGTTGTTTTAATTTGGGAGAATTTTTTCCTGAACAGAAATGTGCAGTTTCTTGTATCAAGAAGGCCATCCAAAATTAAAACATTGCAATGATACAGAAAGTGATTTACTGAATTAATGCAAATAAAAAAAAAAAAGAAAAAGATATGTGAAAAAGTCAGTAATTAGATAAAAAAATCGGCATCTTAACAGTTTACTCTCTTTTTATTTCATGCACTGTTAAAAATTAAAAGAAAAAATTATAAAAAAGTTCTTATCTTGACCAAAGTGAGGGCTTTCAGCCCCCTATTCCCCTCAGTGACGCCGTGCCTGTCATGAAAATAATTTACAACTTAAATTAATCTATATGGACTCAACCTTGCCCTCATAAACATATGCATCAATCATTGCATCCATTGGCTATGACTTTCGGTAAGACATGCTTTCGCTTTGCAAATAGCGGAGCTTTTCCTTACATACCTGTTCCGTTCTCGAAAATGCAATATCAGAAAAGTTGGTTCATAACAAATATGATATTTCCATTTCAAAATTCCTAAACGGCCCTTTACGAACTTCAGAGGTGACATTTCTGCGTGGCAACAAAGCTCTTCTTGGCGCCCTGCGAAATCTTCGATTGCCCTGCGAAATCGACTATTTTTTAGATTGGGGGGGTGTCACACCCCCCCCCACACCCCCCCGGTATTTTCGCCCCTGGATGTATCAAGCAAGATGAAGTGAAAAGGTTATAGTGTACAGTGGCCAGGGGGCGCCTACCCTGGAGGAGCTGCAGGGGCAGCAACCCCTCTTTCCCTCTTCCAGGAGGGGCAGAGGGGGCAAGCAGTGTCCTTAAATATTAACTTCTAAGATAAGATTATAGATTCTTGTAGAGAATTTATGGCTAGCTTAGCCACTCTAATTATGTTAATTTCAATAAGAAATTAAGCAACTATAGAAAAATATCCTTATTGCTGTGGGTCTTTCATATAGAAAAATTATATTTCAAAAAGCGATAATAAACTTAAAAAACCAACGGCGTCTTATAAGATACTGACTTTTTTGCCCATGTGTCAGAACGCCTATTTTATGCCTTGGTATATGCATAGAAACATGCTGAAGTAAACAATTATTTGATTTACCTCTGTTTCTTGTGATTATCATTTAAAATTCTACTATTTGCCCTCAGCACCAACACTTCCCCTCCTGTCTTAATCTTGTGCAGGCGTCCCTGACAGTTGCTGAAAAAAACTATCAATTCCACGCACATTACATCGTTGTATTAGAGTTTGACCATAATTTCGGCAGGGACTTTCTTCACTGGCCGCAGATCTCGAGGTGACCGTCGTTATAGGTTTCGCTGATAAGAAAATAGACAGTGTTATGAGAACCTGAGTTTCTTTTAACCGGGGACTAACTGTATAACTGTGACTGAATATTTGAGTTTACGAGCGCTAACAAAAGTATCCTAATAAGATGGTATGCCACAAACGTAAAGAAGAAACACTTCAGCACCGGAATGTTCGTTCTGCCATGAAAAGAAAGAGAGAAAGAAAAGAAGAAAATAATGGCGAAAGGAATGTAAGTTAAATAAAGATATGAAAATAGTAATAGTGATTGAACAAAAAGGAGGCGAGTTAGTGAAAGAAATTAGAAAGTGAAAAAGAAGAGTGAAAAGAACCAAAAATCCTACGCTTTTTTAACAATGAACATAATTCACCTTACGAAGATTTGCTTTGCAGATCACAAAAATGGATGTAATTCGGCTAGGGTTTCCTCGTTTTGAAATTTTCAAAACCTCTGACCGGCCTTCACTTTGTCCACATGACCTGCAGTGTTTTAGGCCCAACCAAACAATTTGAGGGCAAACAGATAACAAATTTGGCAAGGCTCGCTAGCTTACCAAAGGAAATGGAACTGCGGAAAACCTGATCCAGTGCAAAGATTAATTGAAACTGCAAAATATTCAACATCGTTACTTGTATTTTTGTAAATAATCAAATTACAAAGCTACTTTATTGTAGCGTAAAATTATTTTTGATTAAAGTAACAGAGACGGCGCCACAAAACTGAACTTCGAAGGGCTAAGAATCAATTTAGTTAAATTAGTGAGATCGTGGAGCGTTCAATTCTAGGTCAACCGGTAACAAAATGGTAGAAAAGCGAATTTTTTACCATCCAGTGCAAAATTTTTTCCTCTATAACATACTAAAAATCGCCCAAAATCGACCGTGGGGAAAAGTTTTTACTGAGGTTTATATGATATACGAGGCCACATTCGATAATAAAGTACTTGTAGCACAACTAAGGGCATCTGTTCAGAAAAGCAAGAAATCTGTTTTTTTTAAATTGTAGATTTACGTAAGGAACAATTCTCGTATTCAAGGCCTGAAAGATAAATAAGAGGGCTAATAAAGGAAGTAGTCATTTTTTCTGATTTCTCTAAAAGCATGTGCGGGATTTTTATAACCGACAGGCAGTTTTTGAATGCCAAAACAAAAAATTCGTTAACGCACCTTAAGCGTGGGACATTTATCATTATTTTAGGATACATAAAGTTATTCAATGCCTTAGCAATTTACTTGGGGGAGGGGCTATTTTGGGTATTGGGGACATGTCAGCCAAATATGTAATGTCCTTTTGTGATTTCGATGTAAACACAGGTCATTATATCCTGATAACTGGTACAAATGAACGGCTCACTTTCTGGTAGAAAAGTGTCGCAGACTTATAGGTTAATTTACTTCAAGGACTTCCTAAAAGTATACACAAATTTTTGTGAAATCTTCAAGAAAGGATAAAGAGCCTTCTAGCAGAATATATGGTTTGAAATTGTTTTACACTGCGTACACTCGTCACCAACTTCTGCAAATTTTTCAGCGTCCCTACTACCACCATCTCCTCCTTCAAATTTGCTCTGCAATTTGGTGGATTAAAACTCTGTGATACGCAAGCTAGTTTTTTAAAATGGAAAGGCAGTACACGTTATGAAAAAGGTGCCTCAAACATCATAAAGCACAGTGACAGACACGCAAGACTTGATTTAAACAATTATTATACAGAGAAAGTTAAAAAACTCCAATTTGTAACGTTTTAGTTCATCAAAACTGTCGTCGGGACTTTCTTTACCCAAGGAAGGCACCTCGAAAAAGTTAAGATGTTAGCGCAACACCTTGTTGCAAAAGACTGCAATCACGTTTTACTGAGTTTAGTTGGAAAAAATATTGCTTCCTTTGTGATAATGCTGCTACAAATGACTATATAACAATGATGCATCATTCCAGGTAAGGATTTCTCCCGTAAAGGCCCCATGATGTCATAAGTTGACTCACTTTTATTTGCCGCGTAACGCTGCATTCATACCTTCTTTGTATAAACGCAACCCCAGGCCATAGATTAGCGGGAAGCTTTTAGGAAAGATGGACATTTTAACCACGTTGCAAAACAAAATATATAGCCCATGCTAGCCTTCATTTTCAGAGCAAGGGTGTTGGACCTTCGCTGCAAATCGGGGAGTCGTGATGACTTTAGCTCCAAGGCCCGTCACGCCTAGCAGCGGCACTAGAAAACTGTGTCACAACGATACCAGTACAATAAAGGTTTTGGAAGGATGCGGCATTCATGGACAGGGCCGCCGAGAGGCGACCTGGGCCCTGGGGCAAAGTCCTGGTTGGGGCCCTAGAGTCGGAAAGAAAATTTTTTCGAGACCACGCCCTTTTGAAATGGGAAACGCCCATTATTTCCAAACGTTTGCGCACGCTATAGAATATGGTTAAAATATCTTTAAAAAGGAATAAAAAGCATTAATTCTAAGGGTAACCGATTTAAATACGCTCTTTGACTACACCCTTTTAGCTGATTAAAGAGGACTTCAAAATGTCTTCCTTCAATTCTGACTGTTTTTTTTCTGATGAGCCACGCAATATTAAAATTTAAAATGAAAGGAAACTCTTATTCTACGCACTTTTATTTAAAAAATCCCATGGAACTACGCTTTTCAGTTCTATTCTCCTTCAAAAGTTAATTTTTCTTGCTTTTCAGTTGCAAACTGATCAATAATATTGTCGTAATCAATTTGTCTTGCTAGTTCGTGCTCGATCGAAAGAGTCATGAGGCTTGAGTCATTGTTAAACGTAAGCGGTTCTTTATTGATGCTAGTTTGCCGAAAGGGGCCCCAAAAGTAAAATATAGCTTTATGCAACGAGTCTAAATGCAAACATAACTCACTTGAACGGGCTATAGATTAAAACAAGATTATATGGGTTACCTAATTTTTTATCAGGGCTCCCTTCCAATAAGTACGATTTTGCGAAACTCAGGGAAATTCAGCTTAAAAGACGAATCCGTAAAATATGTGATCTAAGGTTTATTCAGCTTTTTTCGGGGCCCTAGACTCAATAAATAAAGCTGATAGGCTTAAATTCATACAAGACTCAGTGTACGGACCCAATGAAATTACTGCCATCATTTTCGACATTAACAAATATATCTTTGAATGCATTTTCAGTTTCTCAAAAAAAGACATTTCAAAAAAATTTCAGAATAATTTTGGGGCCCCTTTCAGGCCGAGGCCCTGGGGCAAACTGCCCCCCCCTGCCCCCCCTGTCCCCCCTCTCTGCACCACTGTTCATGGACTGCAAATGTATAACCTTGTCTTCACGGCAGCATTGATCTTGTAGCAGCAGATGCAACATATAATCATATATCATGACAACTGCTTTTCACGTTTCATGCTTGGCAAATAATTCCAAATGGGGTCTTCAGACCTGCCTGAGTAAAGTCACAGACATACAAAAACACAGGGACAAAACAAAGAACAGTATATGTTACTGGGTCGTGCCATTTCGAAAATGTTCGATAGTTTCCTGCATCCTCTCTATTGCAAAATCTAACAATTTTCTAAATTCTACCAAATAAATAGGACTTGGAAAGAAAGGAAACTTAGTGGTACTTTACTTTACTTTTTGCTAATGCCTTCAAAAATTTCCCCAGCTGTGTGACCCTTTTCATCCTAAGTTGGACAATACTTTGGTTCTACAAGTTTCATATTGCAGGGCTAACGCAAGGCGCAAAAAAACAATTGTCACCGACATTTTGGATCTTACTTATTGTTTTACTTTTTTAAAATTTCTAGAAATTGTATTTTATGATAGTTTATTGTAATTAATGATTTCTTTTGCTGAGAAAGATTTTGGGTTTCAGTTGCCATTTTGAAATGAGTGAAACGGAAGTGAAATATGGATGTATTGAATAAATCGACACAATTGAGACGTGCCCGGCTAGCTCAGTCGGTAGAGCATGAGACTCTTAATCTCAGGGTCGTGGGTTCGAGCCCCACGTTGGGCGAATATTTTTCCCTTCAAGGAATTTTGTTTTTGGTGATGTTACAGTAGCCTCTTTAACCTAAAGATATGAAATCAAATTTTCTATAATATCAATTTTAACTTGAATTATATTTGTAAATTATAGCAAATGCTGTTGTTTAGGACACGTAAAAAGAACAACATAAATATTTTCCTCTTTTTTAAGTATCTCTTATGTTATATTTTCTTCTTCTTTTAGTATTTCTTTTGTTTTACATACGAACAGAGCATATTTAGAAAAAGTTAAGGCTTATAAAATTGACATTAGAATTTTAGGCAAAATTCCGGGAATATGGCATATTTTAGTATTTTGTTTGATTTTTCTCTTCTTGCTTTCAAGAGTCGTACAATCTTTTTTTTTCTGAGCTAAAATTTCTAAACTTGATCAAACCCAAAGAGTTCTTTATGGGTTTACGTGCCAGTGGTATTATGCCTTTGGCATTATTTACTAGAAAAACCCATGTTGTTCCAAAAACTTTATAAGTGACATCTTTCAGGAAATTGGCCGACTCCGATCATCGCGCCATCTATCAGTTTTATTTAGAACGATTTCTTTTAAAAATAAAAAAAATGATATTCTGTAGACCGATAGGGTTCGTTTGCACCTTTGGACTCCAAAACATTTTTTTTGTTTTTTGAACAATTTTATAAGAACACGAGCCTCAAAATTTGTCAAAAGTTATGAACAAATTAAGAAAAAGCTGAGACTGAGCTTCTGCAAAATGCAATTTTGAACAACGTTTTTTCTCAAAATCGAGGATTTTTATCGATGTGTGGGTGCTTTTTCGGTGAATATTCAAATTTGTCAGCAAATTAAGGCTGTCTCATTCATTTTGTTGGCAAATGAGGCCTGAACACTACCCTAGAGCTAAAAAGCTAGTACTCGCACTGCTTACACCCTATTAGATTAAGAACAAATTAAGAATAATCCAGCCTCAGATTTTCGAAAAAATTAAGAACAGTCAGCCTGAACTTAAATTTACTGGTTCTTATAAAAAAGAGTGTAAGCAAACGGCACTGATCGGACCATCTAAACATGCCCCCACGTTTCTGACTGGTCTATTTCTATCCAGAACATGGTATAGATATTTTTTATTAGACCAAACTTTTTGGGTCATTTTTCTATCGGTTTATTCATTGCTTCTCATTGGTTTTGTATCTCAAACATTATCTTGAAATTCGGTACAGTAAACCCAATTAACTTATTTTCTAGGAAAGCGAAAAGACACGTCCTTTTCAACATGGCAAGCTTGATTTCAATAACCAAAAGAGCAGGACAGAAGAGGAAGCTCGCCCAGACTAAAGTCAACGATACGGACGTAGAAACTACACGTGTTGGCAGCGCTGTCTCATCTGTAAACACATTCTCTACATCTGGACCAAGGGGAAAAGACCGGAAATTGGCAACTCCGGTAACAATGTCAGGGCCAGTGAAAACAGAACATTCGTTTGTACTGAAATCTTTGATTGAATGCATCGGATCAAGGATGTCACAAGAGGTACGCCTTTCCATTCTGTTTCTAAGTCCCTGACAGCTATCTCGAGCTGGTTTGCAATAAAGAATTAACCATACATAACGTACGTGGAGGTAGATTGATGTGTCCATATCACGATTCGCTGGATATCCTATACTTGGCATTCGTAGCTGTATTCTGCATAGTTTCTTTAGACAATTCCCCTTGTTTAGCAGTTGAAAAGCACCTTGGCTTAATTTTCCTTTCTAGGAACAAGTAATTTTCATGTCGACTATCAGGGATGTGTTTGCACATGCCTTGGAAGGCATCACTGCTCCCAGAAGTAAAGATGAGAAGGAAATAGAAGAAATTTTTACAAAGCTTGTAACGGAGAAGGGACTTGTTGCACACCCTCCATGGATGCTTAAGGCTATAGAACTGTATCAGCTGTCTACTGTTCACCATGGTAAGGAATTACAATTGTTTGTACTTAGAGAGGGTTGAGCTTCAATCATGCATCTCTCTGGTGCCTTTTAGCCTAGGGGTAAGGTTCTTCATAATTGAAGGTTACGATTGTTAAGTTGCTGGCAAAATATGTTTTTGGATAAGTTGTGTATCAGAATTAGAATTCTCAAAGTTCTTTCTGTAAATTTTTCATTCGGTTAATATTTGTTATGAAAATGCAAGACCTTCTATAAACTGTTTTTTCTTTTAAGGCATCATTGTATGTGGCAATGGTGGGAGTGGAAAAACAGCTTGCATTGAAAACCTAATCGAGGCTTTGAATGAGCATGCCTCAAGTAAAGTTTTGGTTGGTAGCAGCAAAACGAGGCTGCATAAATTAGAACGTATCAACGTGTTAGCTACCTCGGATATCAATTTAATGTTTGGCTTTATAAAGCCGTCAGGAGACTGGGCCGACGGTGTTTTTACGTCAATCTGGAAACGATCGAATAAACATACCGGCACTGCAACAACAACATGGCTTTGCTTCGATGCTCCTGTGCAAGATATCTGGTGCAGAAATTTGAAAAGTGTGTTGGATCGTGGAAAGGTAAGCATTCTAATGGCATTTGTATCTTCTGAAATGCACTTTTTTTATTGCAAACTGTCTTTTTACTTTAACAAAACTACTGCTATCTGTTGATAATGTCCTTATTGTGGAGGTAGAAGCAAGATTGTAAATACTGAACTGCCATGTTCTGCTATATACAAAAACAGGTACAAAACATAAGCTCGCTGCTCATTAGCACGAGTGTCTAGATGAAGTGGTTACAGTCAACCCTGTTCAAGATTTCTCTTGTCAGAGCTGGGCAATATGGTCGACAGAAGTAGTACCAATCGTTGTCTCTACACAGGCTATAATTGATAAAAAGCAAATTTTGAATGTTTTTATCTCAATATTTCAAATTTTAAGTACGTTTTGGCATGTTGGAAGAGAAGCTCTCTTACAGATTGTCAACGAAAGACTCAAGATTGCTGACTATTGTGAATGAAATCCCAGAATTTGATACAGTAATCTAGAAACCTACATGTTGCAATATATTTTCACTGGGTTTTGTGCAACCTTAGATTAGGGAGTGAAAGCCAAATGTCTATTACCAAATTTTCCCTTCTAGTACCTCACTTTACCAAACATGGAAAGAATGCAAGTAACTGGAAATTTGAAAGTTTTATTTGAAAGCTGTTCTCTTGAAGAGGCTGATCCATCTATTGTTTCACGCATGGGCCTCGTCTTCATGGACGACCGAGTGCTTGGATGGAGACCTCTGGCTGATGCATGGTTGGCGGGGAGGCCAACACAACATGTCCACATCTTGCAAAGAGCTTTCAGTAAAGTACTTGATCCTATACTTGCTTTCATGGAGCAAGAAGCCAAGCCATGTTTGAAGCTATCAGAGAATGTATTGTTTTCCTCTTGTTTGAGTATGCTAACGGCTCTTTTGCAAGAGCACACAGATCTAGGCGGTGATTTGCACGTAGAGAGGCTCTTTGTCTTTTCTTTGATCTGGACCTTCGGAGGCCTCTTGACACGAGAGCAAGATCAAAAGAGCTTCAGTCAGATCCTTCTTGCTGTAAGCACGGCGTAAGTACCCTCAATATCCCCTAATACTCTTACCTTTAGTTTGAGCAAACTCATTTGTTTAATCCAATTGCTATGGCTGATGATTGGTGCTTATGTAACATGCATCGAAAATCCGAGAAAAGAGATGTGTACTCTTGCGTTCTTGGTCTATCAGTAGCCTAACAGTAGAAGTACTTGGGCAAGTGATATAGAAAATCGACGTAACAGGTAGTGCGTTGTGATTCAAACGAATTGAAAATCGAAGTACCAGAAATCAGAATTACTGTCAGAGTTCTGGAAGAGGATTACAATTAGATCATGTGTGTTTAAAAGAACAAGGCTTTAAAGTATGGTGACAACATTAGTCAGTTTTTGCCATTTTTGACAAAAGGTAACTTGACAACTGCCTTCTCTTTAAGTCAACTGCATAAAATACAGCAGGACTATGGAACTGAAGCTTTTTTGCCACTTTTTGCAAAATTTTGAATGGTTTTTTCTCGATTTATAAAGCTTAAGGTGTGCATTGATTAGCAACGGCATTTTAAAGGAATTTTAAAAACTCTGTATTTAAAGATCCTTTGTCAAAAAATGGTTATTTTCCTGTTGATAAATACTGGAATAATGCCCCCTCCTGCAAGAAAATGCCAGGTCAGTGAACTAGCTCTAAGCCTTTAAGCTGATCCGCATTGTTTCAAAGAGGAGAAAGAGGTATCACTAGAAATATGGTAAAGTTCCCCATTGTTTGCTAAGAAATTTGGAAGGCACAGTATGTTTAATACTTGCTATAAACGATGCCAACCGTTCTTTATCGTTTTAGATTGCCTGATTATGACCACTATGTCTCTGTTTTCGACTACTATGTCGACGAATCTGGTGAATGGGACAACTGGGAAGTACGTCTTCCTGAAGTAACATACAATAGCTCGCTGGACCTTCTTGAAGATAATTTTGTCGAGACCGTGGATACAATGAGAGCGCGCTTTTTGATGGAGCTTGTCTCCTCTGTCGACAGGAATGTTCTTCTTATAGGACCGAAAGGTTGTGGCAAAACCTGTGTGATAAATGATTTTTATAGCAGTAGAGATGACAGGAATACCATCGTTAAACGCGTTGTTTATTCAGCTGGTACCACTGCCTCGACGCTGCAAAAGTTCATGGAAAGTGTTTTGTATCACAGACAAGGTTAGCTAGACTGTTTCTAAATATTTGTGTTACTTTTGGGTAAGATATTTGGTTGTATTAAAAATAGGCACAAAAGTTCGCCTGTATGTTTGGAGAAATATTAACAGATCGATTTTAATGGTTTCTTAAAGAATAAAGATCAATTTTACAGTATATTTGTGGACATTTTGAAGCAAATGTGACACTTAAAAACGATCGTAAATCGATAAACGTGAACATGTAAAAGAACCTTGATTTGCCTTTTAATACCTCTCGTAATGATTTTCGAATGAATGAAATGTGTCATGCCTCAACTTAGGTTTGACAATTGAAATGTGTAATCTCGCTGTGTAAAGCTGGCAGTCTATTCCTTCGACCTGCGGTGATGTTTACTGCTCCGGTTGTCTTTTAGACACGTCTCTTCACAATGCTTCTCATTAGAAAAATTGTGTGTTTGCAAAATTAGGTAGCCATACGAAACTGCCGCCTTGTTTAAACTTTTGTCTTGCTTTGTAGGGTTTGTTTATGGAGCTGAAGAAAACAAGAAAATGATTCTGTTTTGTGATGATCTACACGTGGCTACAACCAAGCCTGATGACCATGACTTCATATCTGCCAATGAGTTTCTTAGGCAGCTCTTGGATAACAAGATGATATTCAACTTGAAGAAACCATTTGATCGTAGATTCATCGAAGGCTTAGCTATAACTGCTTCGTTGTCACTGCCACTGAATCACAGCTCGTCTGACACTCCCAAAATATCAGATCGGCTTTTGGTAAGGTTTTTTTCGTTGTATCCGTCAATGTGATGCATCTTTTATCAAACGGTCGCAAATAGACTATCGCTGTGAACACTTTTTCGCATATCATGTGCTAACGACTCAGTTACGGATCTCTAGTAAAGTTTGACATTTTCAAGGTATCAATCTCTAATAATCCAAGATACAGGAACCAATCGAAATGTCAATCAAAACATGGATGTATTGATATCAACAGTGCCTGTCACTGATTTCTTGAAAGCGAAGATGGCGTAACTGCTTATTTTGCTATCAAATATGTAGCAGTTGACTTTCCTAGTTGTGGAATCCCTGCCAAATGTCCTTGGAATACTATCCTGCTAAAGTCTTTTTTAAAGATAGCATAAGAAGCGACACCATTTCAACAAATAGTGTTGGTGGTAGAGTACTATCATAAGTATCAATTAGGAATCAACTGGATGGCGCTGATGTTTTTAAAATTGTATGAAATGATGTTTCTTGGCAGGAGCGAGAGGGGTGTAGGCAGTTCGTCTTGAAAATCAATTGACTTTGTTACTGTAGAATTCACTCCTTTGTTGTCAATGATTGTATAGAGAAAGTAGATAAATTTTTATCAATTCCATTCAAGCTGACGTTAATGTGCTTTTCATTAACAGTTCTGTAATAGTGTACTTCGCAATTCGCAATTACGTTTGTAATAAAGAGGTTTAGGCTAAATCTTCCAGTATTATTTTTCTTACTGGGGACTGGGGTCTCACCCAAAGTCAGCTAATATCTTCCTTCAGTATGATTTTGTTTATACAATAAAGGCGTGTTAATGATAGTGCATAAGATAGTTAAATATTGATATTCCCTGCTATATTTCAGCGCCATTTCAACATCATACAGTTACCGGAGCCCACCCAGAACATAAGACAAACCATCGTAACAGCAATGCTTGAAGCGAACATGTGCGCAAATCAGTCTAATGGTCTTTCACAAGAAATACAGGAGCAGATTGTTGCTGCCTCGTGCAGCCTTCTTGAATCAGTCTGTGACGTGCTCAGGCCTAGCCCAATACCAGGTAGAAGAAGCTACCAGTTTAGTCTGAAAGACCTGCAAAGAATCTTTCAGTCATTGAAGAATTGTCCAGAAGAAATACGAGCAGACGATGAGAACTTCCTGATATCGTTCTGGCAGTATGAGGCAAGAAGGGTCTTCCAAGATCGCATCGCACAAGCTGCTGATCTAAACTGGTTTGAGGAAACGATAAAGGCAGTCACCAAACAGGTTTGTTCCTGTTACACAATTTAATGCCTGACTACATCAAGTACTTAGTTATACGCTTGCTTTGTAATGTTTCATAAAACAGTGTGTACACGTCTTACTCCGCTGCTACTCTGCTCATACAGAAAATCGTTTTGCTGATGCTTTGGTTTTATGCTCATAATCGTAGCTCACTCCTACAGCGAACATCTTTTCCTGTATTTTTGACGATGAAGGATTGTTCTCATCATATAAAATTTTCAGTTGAAGATGTCCTCATCTATTTTTTACCAAGTCACCCTCCATAATTTGCCAAGCTTTTTCATTTGCCACCTTTCTGGTATTTTCCTCGACCAGCAGTAAAAAGTATGATAAATGGATTTCTCCCAGCTTTGCATACTTTCTAGTGGTTCAGTTAAGATTTTTTTGTTTTGTATTGGTTTTTTTACTGTGCACTACGACAAAATCCATGCTGATTTCATGAAAATTCCACGACAAAGATCCATGCTCATTTAAATCAATGCAAAAATAGATCAGTTTTTTCAGAATCACTTTAGTGTTTACTTTTTGTCCGTGGGATAGGCTGGAAAATCTTTTCCACTAAAAGTAATCTTTTGCATATTCTCATTTTCGCAATCCTGAATGATGTCTATCTTGATTTCAAGGCAAAAATTTACAGGCCTTTATTGATTGCTTTATTGTCGGTAAATGCTTATGGTAACATCTATCTCATTTGACGTTGATGCCAAAATTTCTAATGGCCTTCAAGATATCTACCTGCTTAATGCCAATCGACAGATACTTGAGGGGCTTAAGTCATCCTTTAATAAAAAATTGACCAATCAGCGAGTGTGATTCGACTCACACGCTTATTGATTGGCTAATATTGATTGACAGGTGGCTTACGCCACTTTTATATCTGTCGATTGCCTTAAAGCAGGCTTTATTAGTATTAATTCTTTGAATTGATTTTGCAGCACTTTCCATCCATCCCCGCAAACACCCAGAACACCTTCTTCGCAACATTCGCCAGTGATTTCCATCTCCAAGCTCAAAGATCAGCAACACAAATCAGCAAAGGCTCTGGACGCAAAGTGGCACTTCAGTCATTTTCAAATATAGCTGAGGTATCGAGTTGTCTTAAGGTCTTCCTGACAAGATACAACGAACAATACAATAAAACACTGCCTATTGTTCTCTCCGACCATGCCATGAGACATTTAGTGAGGGTTCACAGAATCGTCAGTTTCAAAGCAAGGTACGTTGTGTTGACCTTAGAAGTGGTAATGCCAGAGAAGTATCCGGCATAGGTTGGGGAGTATCCGGTCCTAAGGGCCCCAAAGCCTTTAAAGGCCCGGATAGTTGTTATAAGAGATAGTAAATTACAGATTGCTGCCCTTTCAAGGATGCATAAGGGGTGACGATTTCACAAAGTGAAACTCGTGAGGCAGATTAACATTTTGAAGGAAAACTAAAAAAGAAGCATAACATACCACAGTTAAAGTGCTCTGCCCTCTAGAAGTGGTTGGGGTTTTGATGTATCATAAATACCATCCCTCACTTCTTTTTAAAAGGCTTTGAACATCGCAGTATGTTTCTTAGAGCTTTAATGTGCAAAATTTTTCAAGAATTGAGTCCATCCTGCGTTTAGCCTAAATCTTGAATTATCATCGTGGTATTTTAGTACAACTAAGCTCTTTGTCTTCTTTTCAGTGGTAACGCCCTATTGATCGGGTCTATTGGAACACATTTATCCTCTCTAATCAAGCTTGTGCTGTACATGCTCAATATCCCCATCCATCCTATTGATTACTCTAACAAGAGCTCATTTTTCGATGGCCTGAGATCTGCAGTAAGAACAGCCGGCTGCGAGGGAAAGCAGACAGCCGTCTTACTCGAGGTATGCGCTACGTTATTGTAATCTATAGTGTAATAACATAATTATAAAGAAAGTATATATGAAGCTTAAGGAAAGATAAACTGCATTATGATTCAGGTACAAATTCGATATACTTTGAATTTTTACGCGATAAATGTCAACAACCCCCACCCTCCTGTAAATTTGCTTCTGAATGTCATAAGAAAGATGTTTGTTTTTCTAGACAGATAAAGATGTAAAATGCAGTGTTAGATTTTTAATTATTTATCGAAACAAACCATTGGTCGTGCTAAGTTTCACTCACGGTGATCATATTCCTTTGCAGGAAACCGACCTTCGTGATAAATCATATTTGGACGCAGTTAATAATATTCTCAGCACTGGTAGCTGCCCACTTCTTTTTACTGAAGAGGAACTGCGGAGCCTAATCGCTGTAAGTGTGCAAGTCTTACAAGCAATGAGACATGGTTTTAATTGAATGATTGAACTAAACGCTCCTGCAAATAAGTCTCATAGGTTTGGTCATCAACAATTTACGAATTTCATTAATACTGTCTGATAAAAACGATGCCTTCATTTTATCCTTTACTTAAAGGCTCTTGCGCAACCAGCATGCTTAGCGGCAGTTCTCTTGAGAAGCTGATTGTGTTTTGTATTTTCATGCAGATATTAGGCCGGTCTTTTGAATGACAGTTGCAAAGCGTGCCGGTTGCGCCAGAGCCTTTAAACGAATTTTATCAGACTTCAACTTTTTGCAGAATATCTGATCGATGAAGACTTCATTGATTGTATGTAACTTTTACCACCAATTTTTCATCCATATTTTTGCCAAAAATTGGATACAAATATCCTGCTTTTAGGCCTTGCTTCCGTCGATCAAGAAAGAGTATTCCGGCTTTCTATCAGATCCTGTTAGATTTTTCGAAATTCGTGTCAAGCTCAACCTTCATATCATCATTTGCCTTCAACCTGGAAGTTCGATTTTTAGAAATATGTCAAGGTATTTCTTTAAAAAGTCTCTTTTCAACATTATGTCTCCTTCATTGTATGTTAAATCAACTATAGTTTGATATTTCAAATTAATCAAACCTTTCCTCTACTCGAAATTCTCAAGCTGGTTTCCGCATTATTTGTTATATTGTTCAAGTTAGTTCATTAACACCGAGAAATCCTTTATAAGTATAAGAATTAGTACAGTAACTATAGCACAATAGTGTTTCTCTCGGTATAATACAATGCTCCGCATCTTAGTTCACCATTCTCGCAAGAATTCGCCTGAATTCGCCGAGCCATGTTGATACATTGGAAATTTAAAACCATCATGGCCTTTTTGCAGAGATTATCCGGGAATAATATCAGGTTGTCAAATCAACTGGGTTATGGACTGGCCATTGGATGCTTTATCCGGTGAACTGTCGCAATATTTCGAAAAGTATAATCTTCTCAGCGATATCAATGCGAACATAAGGTTTGTAATTTGCAATATCTTTTCCGTTTGATTTGTTGCTATAAAAATGAGTTTGCAATCTCATGAAAACTGTGATGCACAAGTTAATATCGTTTCTGTAATCAGCATTCTGCAATTGACTACATTTTTTCCTGTAACTTCAGCGACAATCCTGCCAACAATCTGTGGGTAAGTATCATCAAATTATTTCGGGAACAGGCGCTAGGGTATGCATTTCCCCAACGCCATCACCCAAGTGCCACAAGCAACAACGAAAGCGATGCTGACGATAATGACAACAGCATCTTTAATACTTGGTGACTTATGCACGAATTGTATGCATTTTTGTTGATTAAAAATTGGCTGTACCGTTCAACATGAAGATACACCAATTGCCTTGCAGCCTAATTGCAGGCACAGCTTCTGCAATATCTTGTAATGGTTGTTCGCCGGAATTGGACGCAACGTTTGTTCTGCAATCACGACGCAAAGAATCCTATACCGTATCTTCTAACAAACTGCTCCTGTGTAAAATGTTTAACCACTTTTTAAAAAAGATATTGTAAGATTATAATCTTCGCTTTTTCTCAGAGAGAAGGTCATCCAGTCAATTTCAAGCATTCATTCTCGGATCCTTAAAGAAAGCAATCAAATTCCTTGGGCTGAAGACGCTTGTAGCGGGGATCATAAAGAGGCTGACCCAAATGCCGAAAACCTGCCTCGTTCAAAGCAAATCCTGTTACACCGAATCCTACACAAGGACGTTTCGTGGTCACGTGAGCCTGCAATGGGGGTATTTGTCGGACCGACAACCTTTCACAGATTCATGCATTGCTTTCGATATGTCTTCAACACCAAAGCAGCGGAGACAAGTGAGAAGGTTAACAAAAGAAGGTAAGTTGTCAGAAACCAAAGATGGATGATATTTTGTAAAAATGTAAAAATGTAAAAATTTCACTAAGTGATGCTTAGCATTGTTCAATTCATATAGGGCGATAAAATGATAACTTCATAAAAATATATTTTTGGAATTTTCAACTTTGACTATAAGATCTCTAATAACACTTTAGAAAACCTCTAAAAATGTGGAATTAAGTGTTGTAATGAAAATTTACTTGGATATGAACTATGAAAATTAGAAAGTTTTCTTATGAATTACCAGTATTTTGGCACGGTCTATGAAATTGGAGATTTTCAACTAAGCTTCAAAAAGCTGAATTTGATAGCGAAGTTGCATGATCTCAGTTGAATTTATCTCAGCCAGTTTTGGTTAGATTCGTAAGGCTTTGTAACGTTTGTGAGTGTAACGATATCCTTTTAGATAGGCTGGTCAAAATTTAAAAAATCTATAGAATTATTACTTAGACTTCAAAACTTTTCCATTATATTTGATGATGCTGAACGTTGCCATGTATACAAGGCTATTTAATTGACAAACCAAACTCTGTTTTGCATTTTGTTCTTTGACATCGTCGATCTGTTCCTTCTAAGAAAAGCGCTTTCTGCATTGCAACAAGCAAGAGCAAACGTCACCAGACTTAAAGAGATGATTTCTAAGCTCAAGGCGGAGCTAGGTGGCTCAGTTAAGAAAACCGAGCAACTTTTAGCTGCCTTGATATCCAAAGCAACATTACGAGAACGGCTGAAGGCAAAGCTTGACAAAGGGAGCAGCAGTCTAAAGGCTTTTATGGCCTTGATTGATAGTGAGATGGAAGATGGTTTGACAGAGTCAATGCTGCTTGATGATTATGATGAACTTGATGAGGAGTACGAAAGGTTGAAAATATCTCAACAGCTGATGCGAAAGTCAAGGACGTTGGAAGAGTTACTAAGTGATGCTGAAAAGGAAGTCGAGGAGACAAAAGCCGAATTGGAGAAATCGTCCGAGAAGGTATGTTAAATTCGCTAGATTTAGGATATCAACAGCTTCAATGCAATCATACGTTTTGTGGTCACAATGTCAACAGTATAATGTTATGAGTTGCTAAATGAAGTGGAAAAATCTTTGCCAAAAAGAGTTGGGAGGCCTTTCCCTGACAGAATTTCGACAGCTAAAGCAAGTCTAAAACTACCCTATCAATTTATAACTGTTGCTTCAAAAATTTTGACCCCTTCTCCCCGTACAATGCCGATTTATTTTCTCACTAGCGACGTACAGCTTTAAGTGAAAAATGTTTCCCTTCAGCATCAATCCGGCGAAATTGAACAGCATTATAATGGGAAGGGGGAGTAGGGGAAAGTAGGAGGGAGTAGGGGGAAATTTTCAAAAAAGCATTAGCTTTCCGTAAGTGTTCAAACAATTTTTGCAATGATTGTAGTGTTATAAAAATGATGAAATTTTGTAGTTGAAAGTACTTCCATTGGGTTGTAAGCGAAGGGCACATCCCTTCATAAAAATCTCGTACACCTTTGGCAATATCCTTTTGTTTTCGAGAAAAATCCCTAAAGATCCTATTGGTTTGAAAAGTCTGTTTGGAAAGAGTGATACCCCCTTAGTCGTACTGTAAATGGAACAGGGCTCATGAGCTACAGCTTGAAGCTCGCTTTGTGTTTATGTCCCCTCAGAAGACCATGCCTTAATATTACATTTATTTTCGTAAGTATGCATCTGTAATGTAATATGAATCTGTATTGGCGTTGGAAATGACCTGTAAAGTCACTAAAAAGAAAGGGTTGCTGAATTTGAAGTCAGTCTGAAAACGGCTCAAAAATCGTTGTTACGTTTGTGAGGTAGGATGCCCTAATGATTTCTCTGTGTGGAAACTTTCAAAATTTTCTTAAATTTCTAAGCCCCAAAAAGTACTTTTTTATGAACTTTTTTATTTCTGTTATCATTCCAAAACAACAATCTGCAATATCACGCATTTAATTTTACATATACTCTTGTTTCATTTCAAAGGTTGGCTTTCTTCAAAAGAAGATCGATCGCGGAACCATCGAGCGACTTCGAGCCTTCCAGAATCCGCCTCCTATGGTTGGAATGACAATGGTAATGCTAATGATACTTATAGGAAGGCCGGAATTCGCTTCGTATGTAGTATCCTCTCCTACCAAAGGAGAGAAAAAGCATGACGGCGTTTCACATTCCGATGAAGCATCAAGAATAAGCTCTGCAACTTCTAGGCGAAAACGCGATCAAACACACAAGCCTTCATACCAAAGTATGGGTAAGTATGTCATGCTTGAGTTTTCTTGTATTGCTTATAACCAGTATCTACTCAAGTTGCTTTGCATGTTCTAATTAAATGTACCTTAATAGTAATTGTGGTACCGAGAGTGATAAACGCATTTCTGACCCTATGAAATGATAGCAATATTTTGAAGTAAAGTGTAGTAGCACAAGGTAACATAAGGGCACACACGGTAACTTCGCAAGTAACATTTTAGCAGTGTCATGGCTTATACATATATCATTAGCGTTGAGGTTATTTCACGAATGACTTAGAGGTTTATGGTAATAATAAAAATAATAATAATAATAATAATAATAATTGAAGCTAATTCTCCGTTTGGGAGCAGTTACCTAACTACTGGGTATCACAAGCTGGTGCTATAATTTTAGCCAGTCTTTTTATTTCTATTTCATCCATTGGTAAGAAATTTTTGAAGGGTGTTGTTGATACTTTTCAGAATTTTTGAATTATTTGTAACTAAACAGGTCTTTTCCATCTTGGGTTTTTGATAAAAACTTGGGCAATCCCATAAGTGTTCAATATAGTCCTCATGGGCCCCACATCTTCTGCAAAGAGAATCAGAGTACTTTCCTTTGTAGTTCGCTCTTAAGTCAACCATGTTTAGTTTTAATTTCAGCAGGGATGACGCGTCTTCACACCCCAGATACTCTTTCATTTCAAATTTACTACCCTTGATAAATCTAAGTTTAGTCTTACTATTATTTCTAATGTTATTCTCTATGATTATGATCATTTTTTCTCTAACAACTTTTTTCCACTGTTCTTTGATTAAATTTTTGATCTGATTTTCTTTGAGGTTAATATCAATCATTTTTATGTCACTTATCACTTCTTTTTACCAACAGTTTGGGAAATTTAAATTTTATCTTGGTCAATCTACTTTCGTTTATGTTTAATACCTTATGGAAGTATATTAATCTTTTCTCTTTTATTCTAAATTCCATAGGCATCAGGCCACATTCAAGGACTACTCCATCATATGACATTGATTGGGGTAGAGAGTTAATTATTGTTACTGCATCTTTTTGCAATTTTTCTAAGCCTTTAAATTGTTTATTAGTTACGTTAGTCCATGTTTCACATGCGTGTAGCCCATTTGTGGATTACGTGTGAATTACATTGTTGTTATCTAGAATACACAGCATTGCTTAAGCTTGGCAAATGGCTGCCTCTGCCCGTCATGTTCTTGGCTTTATAATTACCTTTTATCATTTCATTTCCATATTAAATTCTTTTAGGATTAACTGCTGACGGTCGCAGTGTAGACAAAAATACATGGAAGACTATCCAAGTAATAATGAACGACACACAGAAATTTTCCGAAAACATAAACAATCTTGAATGGAATGATGGGATAGCAGATGACGTATTGAAGACGGTCTTGTCTTATTTTTCACCGGCAGAAGATAGTGTTAGGGGTCTGGTGCCTAGGGTGTCACATTCGTCAACACCGAGCATGAAGGCGTCAACAGCACCGCGGACATCTAGTCCAGGTAAAAAATCTTCCTTTTACAGGTAAAAAATCTACCATTGCATAGTTGTAGCCAATGCAGCCAGCGTACAACTGACTGACTTCTTCTCAAGTACTATGCACGTACTTTAGATACTTGTATAGTCAAATGGTGTACATACTTTGGATTACCTTTAGATATATTCGAATGTTGTTTCAGTTAATACCCTACACCTATGTACAAGCGTATTATTTTACTCATAGAAAAAAAGCAAACTGGAGTGACATTGGCTGCTGCGCGCTACTCTTCCGAGGACGCTGCGCAGGTTGTTGAATACATCCAGGCAGTGATTGACTACACTGTAAAAAGCAAGCCGTACAGAAAAGCAGTGCAGACTTTGAAGGAGCTTAAAAATGAAATGGAGATTATCGAGAGTAGGGAAGCAGAAAGAAAAATGACAAAAACAGATGAAGTAGAAGAAGAGGTATAAACAGATTCAAAGAACTTGAACGCTACTGCCTGTCTTGAATTTTCTCTCTTTTGTATGTCATGGTTTCTGGTATCACGGTTCTTTAGGGCATACAACTCTGCCCTAAAATATACGACTCTCGAGCCAATTCCAATATGGGGATTAAGTGTCATAAGTGTGATGGGGATTATGGGTAGGGTCTTGGGTTTCGTGTAGAAGTACTTTTACGCCATATAAGTATCGAATAAAAATATCTTGATGATATCCCAAGAAGGATAGTTATTCCTCATTAAAAAAAGTATCATTTACAACACATTTACGACAGGTAAACTATTCAAAGCAATGGCTACATGTGTATATCCTTTGTAGAAACAATGTTTGAACGGATTCTAACAGCGTAAAACTTTTTTAGCAACCTGTGCACGTGGATCCGACAGAGGGTTTGTCTGAGGAAGATCTACCTCGTCTTGACGCAGAGATTGAAGAACTGCAGAAGCAATTTGATGAAATCGCCATTCATAAATACAACTTGAGTCAGAAAATCAGCGAGTATTCGGAGAAACTCAAGAGCCTCACGGAGCTTCTTGACAGGTAGGCAGAATGAAATGATGGTAAAATATTTCATGCTGGTTCCTTGAATGAAAGAATGAAATTTGTAATGAAAGAACGTTTTTTATAGGTTATTGTTGCTTTGTTTCCTGCCATTGAAAGTTGTTATCGACGGAAAAATAACATTAATTCTCAGAAAGAAACCATTTAGCACAAAGTAATTTTCTTTACTATAAAGTTATTTGGTAATCATAAATGTGTCATCGGATACTTTTTTCAGCTTGAAGCCAGTGGAGGCCAACTGGAATTACTTCATGGAGGACCACACTGCCATGGATGTTCTGCTGACCAATTCAATCTGTGCAGCTGCTTTTCTCACTTACTGTGGCCCAATGGGAATTGACCAAAGGTGCGAAAGTTAGGTTGTCTGAATATGAGACAAAGGGGACAGGCCATAAGCTGTATCTAGATGACAGGCCCTAAAGCGTTCCTGGATGACAATATTCACCACAACATTTCTCTCTCTATGGTTTTTTAACGAACGATTGCTGAAGCAACTCTTAACGATGATAAGCATTCCAGTGTAAATTGAATAAAAAAATTAAGAATAAAGCACAAGTTATCACCCCAGGATACATGGCTTCTTCAGAGTGGATTTTCGACGGTACCAAGATACCCCCTCTAACTTTTGGCCTCTCCCAACTGGGAGTTTTGCCGAGTCAGTTGTGATTAACGTCTATGCTCTCTACAAACCTAAGGAAATAATAGCAGCTTGAGAGATATCAGAGCATTTTTTCGTGTATAGTTTTTAAACACTCAAATTAGTTGGTCATAATTGTATCTTAGAAAGCGACTGTCGCAGTTTTTCCTGAGCAACTGCAGAGAACATGGCGTTCCCACGGAGAAGAAGAAGATTTTTAAAGATATATCTCTTGCAAAGTTCCTGGTTGGAAAGGTATATGCTCTATGAATAATTGCAAACAAAAAATCAAGCTTTTTGAACCAATCAACGTAAATTATTCGTTGCTTCAAAATTAATGTTTATATTGGAATTTCGATCAATGTGCGCATTTCCCGGCCTTGTTCTCATCTTTTGTAAATTAAATACAAGAAACTTTCTCGTGTCTTGTAAAGTACACTTGAAAGATGCGAAAAGTTTTTTTCGCTGTTTGGCTAGTTTCTAAAGCTTTTCGCTTTAAATGTCGCTTTAAAATTGTCTTCAAATTTTTTTGAATTTTTTCATTGTAATAACTATCCTTGACATTGCAATATTTTATTTTTCAATGCATTAGTTTAGTTAATTGTTGCAACAGAATTCACTTGTCAGCAGGAAATGTTTTATCAAAAAGTTTAGGATTTACAGCAAAATCAATCTGTAGACTAAATGAGTGCCCTAATAAAATTAGGGGTAATTAGTTTACTATTAAAGTTCTGTCAATTTTTCATTCCAAAAGCAAATGCTGAGAATTTGGAAAGCAATGAGTTTCCCTATGGATAATATTTCAATGGACAACATCTGTATCACAACACAACGTGACTGCTCCAGCGCATGGGCTTTGCTTTGTGATCCGCAGAGGGTTGCTGTTCATTGGATCGAAAAGCTGTTACAAGATACCACGATTGTGAAACATAAGGTAATAAACATTTTGATAAAGAAACAATCATTATCATTGGTTTGTTTGTACGTTGTAGAAAAGGGGCAGAAATTTTCTTGTTTCCATTATCCTTCAAACTATTAGTATTAAAAAACTAACATGAAAACTTTTATTTCGAAGCAGAGTGCTTCCATACCAAAGCTCTGTTTTTGAACAAAAATAATATATAAAGATTTTATCATTTTTCGTTAACAAAGTATTCAAAATAACGAGCAAAGGCGCGGTTAAAAGTATATTTTTTAAATGATGTTAAGCGTAGAGGTTTTGTCAAAGGGCATCTTTAACGAACAAAGCAACAACAACAGTGACCAAACCTGTGATTTTTAAAAACGCTGCCCAAGAAGTGCCACAACAAAACTTTCGGCAAAACGACGGAAAATAATTAAAACTTACGCTATGCAGTTTTTCAAAAGGGCAGCCAGGCAAATCTGAATGCCAAATCTGTGTTGTGCTACTTGGATGAGGTCGGGGTTTCTTTAAAACGTTGCCGAGGGAAAGCAAAGATGAGAAAACCGTAAAAACTAACGTAGTTAAAGCGTCGATCTTTTTTGGTCTTTTAATCTCATTCCTATCTGCACCCAACTAAATGGCAGTTTAAAAACTGTTAGAAAAGTTGTGACCCACGAAGACCAAAGTTTACCGTCTTCATTTCTTAGATGTAGTCTTCCCCTAAAAACTTGCCCTTGCTTATAACCTTATTCAGCCTTTTGTGAAAACATGATCTACCTAAACTTGGGGAAGTTTACGGTGTTGTTCTCAAAATTTTTTTTTGCTATAGCAGCAGTTATTTTTAACTCTTCTTAATATAATTCATTTTTATGCATCATTGACTGAATTTTCCTCACACAGGAGCTCAGAGGAGAGCTTGAAATGTGCCTCACAGAAGGACGAACGTTGCTGATTTCTGATGTTGACCTAAAGGCCTTGGCCACTGACGACAAGTTTAATTCATTGCTTCGGAACAGACCGGCATTTATAAGAGCAAATGCACCATTTAAGCTCATGGTACGTAATAGGTTACACAAAATACTTTTATTACATGAAATTACGAATTCATGGCATTTTTTAGAGTACGTGGACACTTTAAGTGACAGCGTCCGGGCATAATTGATGGGCTGTTTTAGTAACAAAAATCCACATCTTGTGGTCAAATACGATAAGTGATCTTTTGTTGATTACTGCCAATGCGTAAAAAATCTACCCTGACTTCTACGATGCAAAGAATGTATGCTACCACAAGACTGTACCATTGGTACCAACATATTTACTGTCTTATAGGGAAATCCTGTATGCGTACATTATTTGAATTTGTCAATGGTTCCCATAAAAAGCTCAAGCTAAATGCATTACCCAAAAGCCTTACTTCGTTCTAATAGCCGATTGTATTTTCAGTTACGTTTATTCGATATAGAAGTAGCCATTATGGTTTTTGGGTTAGGAAATAATGTTGGTTCTTTTCATTAGAATTCATTAACAAGTCCTGAACTTAAGCGGAGGCCAAGAAACTTTTTTGTTGTTTAATCATTTCACGCATACCGTCCATTTTTAGATTGGTGATGAGGAGATAGAGTGCTCACCATCATTCAGGTTTGTCCAGACTTTTCTAGCAAATCTTTCTGCAATATCAAAAGCATAAAGTTTCGTTCCGTATTTGCAACTTTTCTTCAAAGTAATCTCTTCAGAGACAATTCTTCAGAGATTCCTTGATAATTCGCCTTAAAGTAACAATTGACTTGATAATGAAGCATGTTTCGAAATTCATTTACTTTTTCTTTGTTTACTGTTTTCTGTGTGTTGGCAGTTAAGGAATTTCTGACGCTCAAAATTCTTAATATGCAAAATTCACCCTTTATTTCTTTAAAGGGATGATTCCTGATGTGTTTTTAAGACGATGGTGATTAAAGAAATTGAGATCTTTTCCGTAGCTTTAAGTAATCCCTATGCAAAATTTTGAATTCTCCAATCATCAAAATGCAAGATTATTTCTTCAAACAACATATTACAATCTTTGGCTTTGTTCGCCTTTTGCTTTAACCAGAACTATTTCTTATTTTATAAACTTAAAATCTTAAAAAGAGGAGACAGTTCCATTCCTTACCCAATTATGTCAGTCAATCCTAAAGATAATTATTTGTACTTCACAGGTTGTTCCTAATCACAACCAACCCTGCCAATTTGATACCCGCAAGCATCGCTGCTTACGCCAATGTTATTGAATTCAGTCAGTCACGTGATGGACTTGCCGAGCAGTTTTTATACCGATTCATTAAACTCGAGAAGCCTAGAATTCATGATACTTTGTACCAAGTTGCACAGGTATTTTCAACTTTCAGCACTGATTTGCTGGTACTCGTGTAATGTAAGCTTTTATCAGCTACTTGCTTGAAATTTATACAATTTATTTCTTTTTTCAAAGGAAATTGTAACTCATTTGACAACAAAAGACAGAGCTGAAGAGCAATTGCTTCAGAATTTAAGCAGCGTCGATAACCCACTATCAGACTTTTCTTCAATTAAACGAGCATATTCTATCAAAAGATTCTATGATGAGTCTCAAGAAAGGTTTGTAGTCAGCTCTTTGCTTGCCTTTTTATTCAAGTGGACGTTTTAAACTCTTAGGATAGGCGAATTCTCACTCGCTCATTTTCCTTGGCTTTATTGTGGAACCTTTTCTTAATTGCTCTTTAATTTTACCTACAGCTTGTCCAAAGCCACGAGTGCGGAGAGGTCTATTATGAATTCAAGAGAGACGTATCGCTCGATAGCCGTTTGTGCCGCTGTTTTGTTTGATGCGTCACTGTCAATGTCGGTTGTAAATCCGTTGTATCAGGTGTCATTCAGCCAGTTTGTTTCTGTCTTCGATGCATCAATCAAGCACTCTGACAGGTAATTTCACGGATAGACACCCAAGTTAAATCTAGAGGGGCTCAGGATGATTCTCTATTTAAACATCGTTATTTTGTTATTGAGGGCGTTGACTGAAAACGACCATCGTTTAGGCCCAAACATTTCTTGATGTAACGATAAGGTGTGACGATGGTTTAACTAATAGTTATGTCCATAGACTACAAATCCAGTTGAGTCCGAGGTTCGAATCCCGAGCATGACGAAACTTTCACTTAGGGTGAAGTGAGTCACAGCTCTGTTTAATTAAAGGCGTAGGAATCCAAGTATGGTGACATTGAGAGGAATGCCTGGCTTCTGCTCGATAAGCATAGCTTCTCAGTGTCCTAAAAAGTACCTTGGAAAGCTAGGTAGAAGCATTTTCATAATACTATAGCGATAAAATGGCATCGAAACAGTCTACAGAAGCTAATACAAACAGGTGTTCGTTTTGCTGAGCCCTCTAAACACTCCATTATTACAGTATGAAATAGATCTAATGACCTGTTTCATGCCTGTGACTGTTATATTGATGGGGGGGGGGGGGGATCTAGGAAATCTTACCACTAACCTACTTCATATAAGTCTGTTTTGAACTTGCAAGCGCTCACTATGCAATAGACAATTTTTTGATAATGTCTTTACAGAAATGCCGTCAGTGCAGTCGTCGAAAAAGTGCAGTACAACGCATTTGTGTCTAGATCAATAGGCCTTTTTGAGGAAGACAGACCGCTATTTGCCCTTCTAGTGGCATTGGAAATAGAAGATTCGAACGGGAAGATCGCTGTTGGTGAGAGAGAGTTCCTAATAAGCCCACCTTTTGGAGCAGCGGTCAGACAACTTGCTTACCCTAACTGGGAAGTACCACCTAAAACTCTCACGAAAAAGCCATTTGATTGGCTATTGGATGAGCAATTTCATAATATGCAGGTGTGTTTTAAGATGTATATTTATGGGGAATATTTCAATGGCTAGTTATATTTAATACAACAACAAAAGTTTTGGCTTACGCTATTCACTCCGGGACACAATTGCATTGATATATCTTTTAATTGCAGTTTCTTTGTCTTTTCACATGACGTAATTTGTTATCGTAGCTTCTTGCGCAATATTTTGATTGGTTTTTGGAGACATTTGAGAAAATGCCCAAAGATGGCAGAGAAACGCAATGGAGGCAAATCGCTGAGCATGAGAGACCAGAGATGGTAACATTGCCCGACAATCTAGATGACAGGTTTGTCATATTCAAGCATATTTCGTTTTTCGGCTGAGACCAACAAATATTTTCCGCGTTGCAATTTTTCACTAGAAGCTTCTGATTTCTCCTCCAAAGGAACTTGTGCACCCCTATGAAACAGCAGATCAGTTTAGGGAAAATCTTAAAAGAGTTATTCAATAGATTGTCCATATTATTAATAAGTGACATAATGTAAAACAGGGAAATGTACCGCTGTAGGTGGCAATAAAGAGCTATTTCATTTTCCTGAGATGAAGAAATCACACAGATTTTTACGAAACCTAGAAAATTGCTTCTTATATAAATCATTTTAAAATTTCTGGCTTTAAATTCAGGTCTATACTTTGGTCAAAGCCTCAATTAGCATAACATCATTTTAGCGGGCCCTATTGTATTATAGATCACTTTTATACTGCGATTTCTCCATTTTAGGTTTTTGCCTATTCATCGGCTTCTCATTATTCGGTCTCTGAGGGGAGATCGCCTCTTGCAAGCAGCATCTGTATTTGTAACTATGTCATTGGGTAAAAGGTATGTATATTTTGCATGTATGTATATCTATGTATATGTATATTTTCCATAAAGGCATAATATTTGTTATGGAAGGTTTGGATACATTTTGCTTCCATTGGTTGCACGTTTTCGCCCTATTTAACGTAAAGTGATGGCCTGGCTTGACCCGGCCCATTGACCTTCCATCCCCACGTTTGACCTTCAAGATCAACTGTTACAGATTCATGTCATTTCTCAAAATTCTTCGTCATTCTACTTCCTCCCCAGCAGTGATTAGGCTGGTACCTAGCTCCATCGTCCCTAGTTTGTTCCGACCCATGTGGCTTGACGCAAATCACCCACAGCCTACTTGTCCGTCTACAGCTTGCCATTTTGTATCCTTCTCCTTAGACTGACACGAATCACTGTAGCCATTGCGCAACTGCTTCATTGACCCTAGGGCACTCGTGCTCGCTCACAAAAAGTTTCGTATTTAACATTAAATTTATGCTTCTTACATTTTAGACTTTTAATTTGAATAGAGCAACTGCATTTTAATCCGCTTTATTTTCTTTCCCAGGTATTCTGGTCATATCGAAGTAGACCTTGCTAGTCTTGTCAAACAAAGTACACCCAAATCACCAATCCTGCTGTTCTATCGAAAGGAAGCCGAAGTCACTGAGAAACTACTTACTGATTACGCCGAGGCAAAACAGGTAACTTTGAAGCCTCTATTCAGTGCAGGGTGCAAGGGTATGGTGGCTTGCATTTCATATAGGGAACAGACCAGACTAAAATTCGACGCAGAGAGCGTGTCTCATTGAGATATGGCTTTATAAGATAGCAAAAATGCAATGGTTACCTAGGAAATGCCATAAATTGTTTATATCTGATGGAAGGTTTTGTCCGACGTGTGATTTTTCGTGAATTAAATACAGATTTCAAAGCTGATCCACAACCTCCTGCAAAATCTCATGAATAGCGAAAATATTGTTTTGTGGCTTATCCTTAAAACTCAATCTTTTTTGTCAGGTTGCTGCTAGGTGGACACTTGCAACACCCTCAGCCCACTGCCCCCCCCCCTAAATCGACGCTCCTGCTTCATATAATCATATATGCTTCATCAGATAAGGAGAATTTGGAGGTTTAAGCTGTGCAAGCATTACGTTGCCCTGATTTTTCCAAGCGAGCTGTTATGAACAATATCATGTAAAGTCCACCCTGGATGATAATAATGTTGCCTGAATAAATCTTTCAGCGATTGCTATTTAGACTTGATAAATTCTCCTTTTCTTGGGCCTTGATAAAGTCTCACTTTTGGTTTGTTTTCAGGAACTTCTGCTTTGTAAAATGATAAAATATTTGAATTTGGCTTATTAAATTCTAGGCTAGATTGGAAATCATTCATTTATGTGGCATGAATGGAGAGGAAAAACATGCAAAGAAGGTCATTCGCACATGCATGAAATCGGTAATTTCTTTGGAAATATTTTATGTGTCTTAATCGGTTCTTGATACATTGAATACAACATCGGCAATACGTTCTTTTACTTTTATCGAAAGTCTTCTTTCTGCATATCTCCCTCAAAAATTCGAATCAACAGTGTTATTACTACTTATGATATTTCTATTTTGTTTCAGGGTGACTGGGTCCTTATTCTAAATGGACACAACTGTATCCAGCTGCTGGAGGGTCTCGATTCTTTGTTAAATGAGACGGCAAATATTGATACCAATTTCAGGCTCTGGATCTCTTCCATTGAGGAACCTTCTTTGCCATCTTCTCTGCTTCAGAGCTCCGTTACTGCGATCATAGAAAGCCCAAGAATGGTAAGTCTTGTCGACTTTTTTTCAAATGACCCACCCTTTGTCATTCATTTTTACTTGATCTACCCTCAGCGCTTTAATCAATTTCACATCGATTTTATTTGATAGGATTTTTTAGTCAAGTGCTTTATGTATGATTTATCAACCTTAATTTCTTTCTCATTATTGGAAAAGAGATATACTAAAGTAAAGGAAATTATGTAAAATGAGCTATGGTTTTTGAAATATGCATATTGGTGCAAATTCCACATAAACTTGCCACAGACATGCGATTTAATTAGTTTACTATACATATTCCGCACCTGATTTGAAAGTATCTTGATAAAGCCATTACATTTGATAGAAATTACATCTGCTTTTAAACGGCATTCTAGTTTCATCTGAGCTTGGAAGTAAATAAGATTCATTAGCGTTTTTTTCATTGAGGTAAATTTTGTTTTTCATTAGAACTTGAAAGCTGCTCTAAGCCACAACTTGCAGTTGATTGACAACGATGTTTGGAAGCAGTTCAATAGAAACGAGTGGTTGCCGCTGCTTCATAACGTCTGCATGCTGCACAGCACATTGCAGATGAGGAGGAGATTCTCTTTTGTTGGACTCAATCTGCCATATGAGTTTGACTTTGGTATTAAGTTCCTTTGGGTGAGTTTTGTGTGGTCTGTTGTTTCTTAAGACTGTCCTATCATGAGATATCTAATGTGACTTCAACAACCTTTCAATAAGAAGTTTTAAATCTTTGAATAAGAATTGATTTTAATTCACGTACTAGAAGCACCATAATTACTGAGACCTTTGACACAAGACCTTTTACCAATAACTCTTAATTCATTCGACGCGACCTCTGACCCATATGGAATCTACTGGACGTGTACCGGATGCTAGTATTGCCACAAAGGGCAACTTAAATCTTTTTAGATCTGTTTTTTTGCGTTACCAAAACAGTTTGTAAATTGAGAAAGGTTGCAGGTCTGATCAATAGAAAGTCCAAAATTCCAACCTTAGTCTAACTTTTTTTCTCTAGTGTGGTTTTCTAAATTAACTCCGTTTGAAAAATTTTCTCATGTTGCTGATTTGCTCATACTGTTCATAGCAGAAGACGTAAATCTAATTTCTTCTTAGAGAAAAGAAAAGTCGAAAGATGTCGTGCGATGTATATCAAAACTTTCTGCCATCATGTCTTCCTTAGATTTCAAAATTTTTCTAATCTTTTCTGTGCAGGGGTCTCTGGCTTGTTTGGTCAACGAGTTTTTCGATGCACAGATTCATTTTTCCGAGGGAAGTGCTGCCTCTACGCCAGTTTCTGGACTAAGCCAGCGAAATATTCAATGGCATGGGTTAAGACATCTTCTGACAGAGGTAAGATCGATCACTTGACGCCTGAGTCCTGTAACAGCTTGTTTGATCTGCAAAACACATTTAGAATCGCATGGAATCTATTTTTTATGGGTGATATCTTAGTCATACCTGTCATTAACCTAGCCAACTGCCTCCAATTGTGCGATAAGACGTTGATCCTTTGTAAGGACTAGATAGTTCAGTCATTGCATTCTTCTCCTAAAGATTATAGATCATATCATTTATTTTAAGCTTTTAAAAAACCTCCGTAAAGAGCTTGACGATTTCATACTATTATTTTCAATTTCCTGATGTTTATGTCCCAGACACTTGCTTAAGTAATCATGTTAGGGACTGTCAACAGACTAGAAAGACAAATATTATGTATTACATTCTCTGAATATAGTTTTTTTAAAAGGACGCTCTTTTTAATCTAGCTTGTCAGATATAATCTACATCAGTTCGTAGAAGAACTTATTTTTCGTGGAGATACTGCATAATGTCTACATCCTATGGCCGGCTGTTGCTTAAGGGCAAAATATTATTTGTTTAATGTTGTCTTATAAAAAGCTAAGTATTTTTCGTCTAAATTCTGAAACATTGTTCCATATTTGAGCAACTGGAGTTACTGTTTCTACAATTAAAGATTTTTTGACAAAACTTGCACACTGTTGCTGCATAAGTTTCGTCTCACTGTACAATGGCACTACGAAAATCCAGTTTCCTCTCTCTCTCTCTCTCTCTCTCTCTCTCTCTCTCTCCTCTCTCTCTCTCTCTCTCTCTCTCTCTCTCTCTCTCTCTCTCTCTCTCTCTCTCTCTCTCTCTCTCTCTCTCTCTCTCTCTCTCTCTCTCTCTCTCTCTCTCTCTCTCTATGTGTCACTCATTATAACAGATCCTAATACATTTTTGCTGTATTTTTGTTTCAGATAATTTATGGAAACAGTGTAACAAATGAAGTTGATTACTGCGTGCTTGGTGCTATGGTTGATTTATGGGTCAATTCATCTGCAACAAGAAAGGATTTCGAAATATCAAGAGGTATGTGGTGTATAAACTCAACCAATATTTTTTGAATAATACTTCAAACTGTAGCACGATAAATCATCCTATCTTACTCGTTTTCATGTGGGTATCTTTTCTGTTTTGTGAAAAGGATACATGTGTTTCATGGTGGTAGATTTTCAACTGAGCACTGTTTAAAGATTTTTTCTCACTTCACAATCGCTTCACTTTAAATTGTTTGCCTTTTTTGGACATTTAGTCATCTCCGTCCTTTTTTGATAGTTCTCCAAAGATTAATGGCCAATTCGCTAGCAACCATCATTAGATACTGCTCGAAAAATTATCTTTGCACTTTATTTTACAAGTAAAACTTCAATTATATACAAGATAATGTTCTGCAGATCTCTTTCGGTGCAAAAAGCCCTAAATTCGGTACAAAAAGCTCGCACCTATTAATCTCGAACATCAATTTCGGACAGAACTTATCGATTTCTTTGAAAATTAAAAAAATTGCCTATCACTCAACATATCGACACAAAAATGCTCGTAAAATAATTTCTCGGACAACCTTTATGTCCTTAATAGAAAGATATGGCACTTTTTGTATTCAACGTGGTTGAGTCAGTTCTGTCTTCGCTCCCAAATGACTATTTGCAGGCAGTTGCTTTTTGAGAGGTTTGATGCAAGTCAAGAACATACTACTAAACAGATCTATAAATGATATTTACTTTTGATTGTAGTGAAATACAAACTGCCGTCGTCGTGTTTCATCACTGGTGCGAAGCAGTCTTTTGTTATTCAAGCATTAGAGAGTATTTCTGACAATCTGTTTGACTCTCCTGAAATGTGTGGCCTGTACACAACAGATGAGGTAAGAGGGTTCTGAAAAGTTTCACAGCATTTTTGAAAGGTTAACAATATATATAGAATGCAACGTCCGCCCTGTTTACGGGACAGCATCTCTAAGTGGAAGGGGCGAACATGTGATGTTTCAATTCACAGTCTTATAATCATTCCGTTTTATATTATTCTTACTGAAACTAATCATGCTATTAGGAAAAGGTGCAGTGTAATTTCTGTCTAAGAGCTTCTTCCAGCGAACGTAATGAATCCAGATAGCAAGAACGATTAGTTGGGTGATATATTCTCAAAATAACATAACCTGATCCTAGGCGAACGATGATTCGCTACTTCCAGTTTAAAAGCTCCTTGACATGTATGCCAACTAATAATTTAGATTAACTATCCGGATTCGCTATATGGATCTTTGTGGTTGCATACCAAGCTCAATTTCTCATAGCTTTTCTATTTCTGATCTCCCTCTTGTAGACCCCCTTGCCTGACAGTCAATATGTATTCACAAGACTGAATGCCATTTTGGACAGAATGCCGTCAAACCCGACACTTACTCATGTACCACCATCGGCAACCGTCCTCGCTGGATCATCTGTTCCACTTGTTGTGTCCAGCGGGACGTTCCACGCTTCAGGAGCAGGCCTCCTCGCGTTATCCAAGGCCAGTGTTTTTGGCAGTGCATCACTGACTGCACTGAGGACATCAGCAGAAGTTGACCTCTTTGAGATATGCAGCAATGCCCTCGCAAAGCTGCCACGCCTTTGGAGTAGGGTATGATTCTTTATGGAATTTATTTGCTACCTACAGCCTTGGAAGATATTAGTAAAATAGAAATTATCTTGTAAAAATCAGATGTTGCTTCGACTGAATTCCTTTTATGTTATACTAGTAAGAGTAGAATATTATTATTGTTTAGAAGCATGCTGAAACTGCTATAAAGTTTTGGCATTAGCAAAACCTTTTTGATGCGATCAGTTTTATCTCTGGGAGGAATTTTTCTAACAGTAATGGAAATTGGGTAATATAGGATTAACCTTGAAAGAATCACTTCCAAATTGGTCGAATGATGTCATCTATAAGTATCATGCATTGAGGGAAATCATTGCACAAGTATCTTGGCCTGAACCAATCAACGCACAGCTGAATTCATGTGCATTTCATCAACACTTTTAACGTTAATGCACGCAGCTGAAAACCATATGGATAGCCTATCTTTTATTGAAGGCTCTATCTTCTTTGTGTTGACGATCTCTTTTGGAGATAATACTGGCACTCGGACTCTCTAGAGGAGGATTTGTACATTGATTTTCTATAGCACAGTTAATTTGCTGAGGATTTACGCAATCGCCGCTTAATTTTCCTCTAACATCAGATCAGCTGCAAGGATTTCCAGTTTGCGAGTTTGATAGCACCGGAATTAATCATATGGACAGCTTAATGTGGCGCTCTTGAAATTGAATATCAAACGACTTTGCACACATCTGCTTTTCCAATCAAAAGACTAGGAGATGACTGTGTTTAGATTAATACTAATCCTCGGTTAAGTCTGCGAGAACCTCTTTCCTTATAGCTGCTACCAAATACTCTTTAGACACAATAAGAAAGACTGATAGAAAAATGATGTCGCGAGAATATTATGAAGAATATTTAAAAAAGGATTCTGCTATAATGTTCAGATTATTTCAGGAACCGTGCACTTTTAGAACCTTGTTTTGTATAAAACCTTTTAGCTTTTCTAGACAACCTTCCAACTACCTCCCGAGCACAAGGGAGCTCGAGTGGCCTTAAAGATATATTGTAGCGTGTTAGGTTTTTAGGGGTACTTTTTATGACAAAATATCGAATCATGGCTATGCAGAGGTTTTCTGCCTAGAATTATGGGTATACACTTGTGTTGCATTGCATAAACAAAATGGCAAGTACAAAGGAACATAGCTACATGATCCTAATTTTTTAGAAATATTATGGAGGCCTCACTTGAAATCTGCACTTGAAATCTGAAAACTCCATTAGACAATTTGCTAAATCCTGCAAGTATTTATATAAGGCTCTGTCGAGATCAGAGATGAAAAACCTATTTCTTATCGATTATAAAGGTAAAGTGTCAGCTAAGTGTCACAGAGTTGGAAAAAGAGACAACCGGATACCGATAATACTTTGGAAATCATAATAAACGATATTTTGTTTATTTGATATCACAATCTTATGCAGTCCACCAATACTAATTGTGCAAGCATTGTAGCTATTTGTTCGAATCATTATTGACCATTTACCTTTCTTTTTATTGAAATCTGAAAAATTAAAAGTATTGTTAACTTTAGCAGGCACGGAAGCTGCAAATAAATTTATACTTTTGACATTCTTTATTCTATATTTTTTCCTTTTATTTAGGAATTTGTCCACGAAAGGATCCGTAAGCTCGGTGGGGCGTCTCCATTCAACTTGTTTCTGTTATCAGAGATCGACTGTTTTCATCAGCTGCATCAGGAAATAAAAGCAAGCTTACAGGTTTTTATTATTTCTTTTTTTTGTAGTACTTTATATCAATACCTCATAAGACACATAATTGAGTTATAGTATCTCCAATTAGCTCGCTAGGGCTGCGTTTTGTTTCCTTGTAGGGCGTCAACCCAATATTTTCTCTTTCTGTTTGGTTCATGGTTCTGTCTAGCTTGAGTGTATTAGGTGTAAAGAAAGCTTAGTTACCCATAGAGTCTTCATCAAGATTCATTCAGATTCTGGTACTCCTCTAAAGAATTGCTTTTGAATGTACATACAAAATATTTACTTTCTTGTATTTGCTGTAAACACAGAGATGTTTTGAAATTGATCACAATTTTAAAAATCGAGCAGTGAAACTTGCAGTGCTTCAAAATGTGTCTCACTTTTAATACCATCTTTCAGACCATCAAGCTAGCAACAAGCGAAGATTCTTTTGGAGACAAGCTATCGGACCAGTATCTTAAGGATGCTGAAGAGCTGTACCACTTGAAGGTTCCAGAACACTATCGATCGTTGGCAGGCATTAGTTCACCCCCAAACTCATGGTCTCTTGCAACTTGGCTGTCGGACCTGCAAGCACGTTTTAACCACATGGAAAAAATCCTGTACCAAGTATGTTGTTAGGTGCTCATGTTGTTAACAGTAAGGTTAGGACCTCAAGCATTCAGGTAGACAGCATGGTTTTAGCTTATGATTTCTACATAGACTTGATGGCATCTGTCGATTTTCTGGATGGTATCTTCAGAATCTCTGATCTTCTGCTGGATATGCATTGCAACAGCCGCGCAATATAACCAATCTTTCATTTCAAGAGTTTCCTTACCACATATTTTTAGAAGAAATTTTCCTAAAACGAAATGGAATTTCCCCGAGTGCAGATTTTTTGCTTATCTATTAAAATAGTTTTTCATTCGACCATTCTCTTGTCATAAAACTACAAATTAAAACACTTTTATGTATGAAAACTGCTGTTAAACTATTTAAGTAAAAACTAGAGAAGCTTTTTCTACTGACTGGTTGCCGATAGTCCTCTCTGTTTCCACTCATCAACCATACGTCATTTTCGACGCAGGGTAAAGAGAAGATTCCGGCATATTGGTTGGCCGCATTTTTCAACCCCAAAAGAATGCTCGCGGTTATAATGCAGGTATGTTTCAACACCACAAGTTTTATTTTGTTCTATCAGAATTATTTAAAGATTTAACATATTTGGCACGTCATAATGATATTCATATTTTTTCTTAAGTATCAAATAAGTAAATTTTTTGTACCTCTGCTTGAAAAAATGTAAACAGTTTTTTAGCGGTACAGAAATTGACATTTGCTTTGAAAAAAGTAAACATTTTACAACATATTGGCTAAAAGCTTTTGGTCAATTTTTTATGAAATGTTTGCTTTTCCAAAGCCATTTTCAGGTTGGTTTTCCTGAAGTACAATTATTACAAGTCAAATTAACCGAAAAAGACGATTTAAAATACAATTTGATATATGATATTGTAAATAAATAATGATAAAAGATATGAATTAAAATAAGATAAAATTAATTAAACAAAAAATGAATCAAATTGCAATATAATACAATACCATGAAAACAACTCAACATACATCATAACAAAAAGCAACACAAAACAACACGACATTGAAAGTTCAAATCTGGTGGTTGTCATGGACTTTGATGTGATAAAATACAAATTTATTTGATAACAGTATTTTTTTGCAAGATACCTTGTCATTTTGTAAAGTTGTGTCTCTAACTTATCTTTTTGTTGATAGGAAGCAATACGCCAATATCAGATGCATAGCGTTGTGTCAGAGCAGTTTGTTTTAAAAACTGAGATAACAGGCAGGGATAAAGACCATGTAAGTAGATTACATTTAAAACGTTGTACACTATCCTTCTTCAGACAACGATGATTAGACTCGAATTACCTTTTTGAGTTGTATAGCCGCAGGTTAGAGGTTGAAAGCAGCTTCTACTGTTGAATTGCAGCATCAGAATCGTCTAGGCATTGTTTCTTACAGTATGAAGTAAATTGAGACATTCTAAGTGAAGACTTCATGTTTGTCTCAGACGCACTTCAACTCTATAATTGACTGCGTTGCTCAGAAGTACATTCACAAATTCATGAAGTTAGAAACTAAATATATTTCAAAACTGCAAAGGTTGTTTTTATCAAATATAAATATTCTGGATAGCTATTAAATAGTTTTGATCCAATTTCGTTGCTGCTTGTTTCATTTCTTTGGTTTTAATATTTCTGCATGTTTCTACATTCTCTTCTCTTGAATTTTTTCAAAACATGCGTGAGATGCCTAATAGTGGCAGCCTGTTAATTGAAGAACAAATATCGGCTAGGCTTCTAAAAAATTAGTCCTCCATTGTGCATATTTTAAAGTGATTTGGACAAACAGAGACCATGTGTCTTTGTTTGTTCAAATTAAAGATATGATATCTTTTGACGATAGTGGCTGATTACCACTAAATCACCGAACTGCAAATGTTTATTGCAGGTCCTTAACAGCGTGGTAAATGTTAAGCTCTAGCTTATCAAACTATATGAACAATTATATGTTAATCCTTGCAGAATCAGCATCGTCTGTTTCGCTAACTTTTTTACCGTGGAAGCGGACTGTTATTCCCTCGCAACTAGCGATGTTTTCAAGTTAACTGCTGACCAGGATTATGTAGTAGGCTGCTATGCAATGATCGTTATTCAGATGCAAACAGAGGATTTTTTCTTCTGTTATTGCTTAGACCAAAATGCATAGACCAAAAATGTTTGAGTTAGACATTTGACCGAAATGGCAGTCCGTGTGGACTTTATACCACAATGAACAGACGCAATTGCATCTGTTTTTCGTTTACAACCTCTTTGAAAATTCTCCGTTAAAACTAGTTTATCTCATCTGTTGATCAAGTGTAAGAAACTTTACTTATCCTCAGTTTCTATATCACGATTCATTTTGAGTCAGTTCTGTGAAACCTGCAGCATGAAAGTGTCAAATTTCAAGGTCGTGCAACCAAAATTGTAAATGGCAGAATAGTGTTTTTCAAAGTCCAAGAAGACATCGTTGATTACGAGCATTTAATTATCCTCCTGACCTGAATTTTTTTCGAAGTTGTGCGGTTTGTATTTTTATATCCAACACACTTTTTGAGAGTGGAACGTCTGGCAATGCACAAAAGTTGAAAAAAGAGAATTTAACTGATATCGTTCAAGAAATTATTTATTCTGGTGAGTTTGGGAAAAAACATCGCTTTCATTACATAATTAAATAGTTCCAAACGATTAAATATCGACAGTATATTTTACAATTGTGCAACTTATATTTTAGCTCCGTGAACCTGCAGCTGATGGGGTGTTCATCCATGGTATCTATGTATGGGGGTGCAGCTGGGAAAAAACCACTGGGGAATTGCAAGACGCTCCACCGAAGGCTGGACCCAGTCTACTTCCTGTTATCCATGTGACTGCGATACCTTTTTCTGAGAAGACGTCACTAGCTGATCCGCAGAAATCACAGTTTTTATACGAGTGTCCATGCTATGCATCCCGCGTTTCCACCCGCGAGCCAGTGTTGCTTGTTGATATTGAACACAAAGACTTCCCGGCAACAAGATGGCCCCTAAGAGGAATCTCTTGCACCTTACGTCCGTTCTAAATCCGTTAAGTTGTACATATAGCATTCACAGTTTGGAAATATTTTTACTATTTTAAGATAGAATCATTGTAAATATTTTGAGGCGAAACTCGATGGTAATTCTGCAGATACTGGATATTAGCAATTGATAAAGTGTTTCTTGTAATTGAGATCTTTTGGCACTGCCCGTTTTACTTGCAAATTGTTCCAAATTAGCTTCTGTGTTAATTTTAATAAACTTTATGAAATAGAAGGTTCTTTACAGATATTTAAACCCAATGCCGTACATATTCTTGGCAGCTTTGGAAATAATGCTCTTATGAAATTATTCCTCTTTGATATTCATCAGTGCTCCCTTCTGAAAACAAAAGTTTTACATTCAGCCCACCACAGGGCTTTGTACTTGCTTTAAAGTCTTTTGACTGAGCCATTTTGCAGCTATTCTATCATGGATCAAGCTACGATACTATTTAAACTTATAGGGGAAAGGTTAATATTGAGCCATTTCAACAAGCGAAGTTCCCTCAAAAACCCTTAAATCCTTCTTATTTTTAAGTGGCCTGAAGTCTCAATATTTTTTAAAAGAACCATATCTTTCCGCCTTTTACCATGCCTGCTGCTTTACCATCGATGTTTACCAGTTGTATACAATAACATGGTTAAGATTTAATCCTTGACGTTGTATTTTTGTAATGTTAACCCATGCTTTGATGTTTCTTGAAATAGTATCGTCATTAGTAATTCTCAGATACATGATAGCTTGTATATTTATGACCTTTTTTCTTTTTGTATTTTAAAGACAACATCAAAACAAGTTATGTTTCAAGACATATATATAATCTGTTTTCAAACGATTCACAGTAGTTACATTGTGTAATTTTGATCAAACAATTTAAACCGTGGTACCTTAATCCATGGCAGTTTCATTATTTCATTATGTTGGAGACATGACTTCCTTAAAAAAAAATTGTCAAAACAACAAATGTCATAAGCTTTGAAAACATTGGAAAGATATTTAGATGACAAGAAAACCAAGCAATTGCAGGTGCTTTCGCTGGTGCTCTTTGCAAATGCGAGATGCAAGCTCACTCATATCGTTTCAATTTTGCCAGATGTAAGCAAGAACTTAGGCTCTCTTTATGCAGCCCTGTAGCCACAATTTTCTTTATTTGAGTCAAACTCTCAGCGTGAAAGTCACTAGTTATCAGGAAGCCAATTCCATATTAACAACAGGTCACTGGGCACTGTGCCCAAGGTGTTTAGCGTTAGAGGGGCATCAATTGTTTACATGGTGTAATTTTTCGGAAAAGATTTAAAGCACATAAATAAAAACCAAATTCTTGGACAAATACATTTTACTTCAGGTCCATCTGCAGCCTACAGCAATTATCACATTATTAGGTACTTTCATTCGCATTGATGTAGCTCACATATCAGAGACTATCATACTTTGAACACAATTTCAATATGGCACAAATATCACTTTCGCTTCGACTTCGTCTTTAATCTTAAAAAGCAACTGCGCTCAACGAATGCGTCGTGTTTGCTTATCATTTATATGGAAAAAAGATTTGATTATTTGATAATTTATGCAACAAAATTAAACAAAGAATCAGCACGTTGAAGAGGGTCTTCCTTGAGCCTATAACTCATCTTGTGAACTGGAAATGGAGGAGTTTAAATTGTAGATACTGGATAATAATATACATAATTTTATTAACTGTCCTTTAAAACGTTGCGTTTATACAGAAAGGGCATTCTTCTGCGAGAAAAGGAATATAATTTTGAGAAGAAGCTATACACTTTCTAATATTAATTTAAACAAGAAGCTACTATAAACTCTGGTTTTTCTGAGCATGCAAAGAATTGAAGGTAGCCTGTCAAAGGCTCATTACATGCACAAAATATTGATGCGATGTGATGGGAAAAGTAGCACAAAATATGTCAGAAAGACAACCAGGCAAAACTCTGCTACCCTATCTTTGGCAGATTATTAACACTCTTTGACGGGCATGGGGCACATGTACTCTCTTAAATGTTCGCCTCGACCCATTCTCTACTGGCGATTCTGCGTCACTGTCACACGTTTTCGTTGCCCCAATAGACATCGTAGTAGTAATAGTCCTCTCGGTCTATCAGGTGAATGCCATGGGCCTTCTCTCTCTGGCTGTTCAACTCACAAACCAAATGTGAATGCACTTGACCAATATTAAACGACTTGCACAACTTATTCTTCTTGCATCTCTCAATGCATTCGGACAGACTCGTTATGGTAATCCATCTTTCCATTACAAATCCCCTCAACGCTTTGTTGGCGAATCTTATTGAGGTATAAATCTGCGTTGGATACTCGTATCTTTCTTCTCGATGTTCACTGGCGATGGTAGCTGAAAAGCAGATACATATATGAGTTGATCAACAAATAGCTTGAACTTACCTACTACAAATATTTGACTTTATTTGTTTTATATGAACCATAATTCTTGCCGAAAATGTTGGAACACTTACACAAAGCTAAATCTTATTTTAAAAACCCCCCTTCCCACACCCATTGCAATTTTGCTCAATTTGCCGAAAGATAAACATTTTGTTACTGGAAGTTGTAAGAATGTATTGAGAAAATAAATCAACACTCTTGATTGGGTCAAAATTATTGAAGCTTCAGTGATATATCGATAAGGTAATCTTTAATATGCTTATTCTGCTTGCATCCCGTCAGTGCACGGTGTTCAATTTTTTTAGCAAGGTTTGTACCACCTCAAGACGCTGATGTTTTTGCGGGGAAAGTCCATGTATGATATCATTATTTCACGAGATTGTTAGAGGCTGTTGAACGAAAAGAGTGTTCCGTCCTACCGTACCTAAAGTGTTTGCAGTATAGGTATAACAATGCATGGAAATGTGTCAGGAGATGAAAAGCGATAAAAAACTAAAGTTAAAGTTTAAATTCAATCTAGAGGCTAGCCATTGATTTTATCACACACAGCCCTGCATTCAGCCTTTTCGCCACTTATTCTTCTCTTGATGATTATGCAAATCCTTGCTAATTCGTGTCTGGATTCCCCCTTCAAGTATTAGAGACTTTAGAACAAGCAAACCTGGTGCTTTGTTATCTTAATAGCAAAAACTTTGTTTTTATATTTACATCATTAGCTACCAAGAGTGTTTGTTGTCTTGAATCAAATCAAAATATGCCATCTCTTGCATGACTCTGATCGTCTTTGTCATTGTATCAAACAACTTAAAATTATGAATGCTCCTTGAACAGCCATTCTCAAATTCAATCCTGATTTTACTACCGCACATCAAAGAGGATCTTAGGATGAAAAGTTTTGTTACTGGTTGCAGATTTGCTTGATAGCACCTCTCCACTTTAGGTTAAAAATAATACTTTCCCAAAACATTTTTGAACCATAGCTTAAAAGTTCGGGCCATATTTTCTTATATCGGTTAAGCCTACAAACCTGTTAAATATGATAAGATATGATAATTAATGTAACAATTCAAGTGTTACTCACCCCGTATGCAAGCCTTTTTTGACTCATTTCTTCGTATTGCAATGTTCCAAATCTTTAGATCGTCAAAAAACATTTTTAGACAATTTACTGCTGATTTCGTGCTGGTTCCTATCAGTATTTGCCTCGGAAGAGCTTCGTGTGCCATAGAATAGTTCGTTCTCTTACTTCCGAATTTTGAAAGGTGGAATTTTGTCATATTAGATGATACGAACGCTGCTAAACTCCGATTTGAAAGTAACTGCAGCGTGAAACGATCCCAGGAAGCGACAAAACATGTCCAGCCATATTTTGTCGTGTTCCTCTTATAGACAACATGCCACTCGTGAGATCCATTCCAAAGACTTGTGATCAGTTTGCCATCGAATGTGCTGTAAATGCTGAAATTTGCAGAGGAAATGACATGGCCGACTCCTGTTTCGTTTAGGTATCGAGGCCATTTTATGTGAAAACTAATTGAAAATCCAGATCGACAAGATTCTGGATTAAGAATACAACTGTTTGTCACATTTGAAATTAAGACTCCTGAATAGTTTCCACTGAAGTTTGCAGCATACCATTTTTCGATACTACTAATCTTTGTTCCATTGAAGAGATACCCAAGGTTGATGGTCAATGATGACACATTTTCTTCTCTTGTAAAGCCTTTAGACGTTGCCTTGTCAAACTTCCAATGTAAATCTGGATTTTGAAATCCTACAAGATATCATATTCTATACCAAATATGTTAGGAAGAAGGCAACATAAGAGAGGTGATACATACATACAAGCTCTTAAACGAATTAAAATTCTTTATCAAGATGTTGAAGAAGTTTTAAAAGTGCTTGAAAATATCTATCACTTGCACAATCGCACTATACTATATACCAGTACACATGGAAAAGATAGGAGACGTTATAACTAAGATTTTTTAACGTACCTGCAACGCATACAGTTTGAATCAAAATCACGAGGCTGAATACAAATATGGTATGCATTTCTGTCGACTAAGATAGCAACAGTTCGCGACGAGACTTTAATCGTCAAACATCGTCTGCTGTTCTATAAACCCCTATCTCAAGGTGCAGGTTGTTTGAACTTCATTTGTCACGCGTGCAAAATTTAATTGGATGAAAGCTTGCTCTTTCCAGTTCCCTAAGATAAACACCATTCAGTGTGTTATTACAACATATTATGTTGGTTTGAAAAAAAATTCATCAGAAACAATGATTCTGTTGTGTTAGATCTAGTTTCAATAGTACTCTGGCAGAGTGAAATCATTAAGTTGAAGTGATTAAAGCCAGTCAAGTAGATTAATACAGTGATTTTAACCATATCGGGTTTTTATCCGGAGAACTGCGTTAATTAAAGATGTGAAAGGCAACATTCTTATTGCCAGGAAACGATCCCGCACAACAACTCGCAAATCAATTACAGATATTAAAAAATGCCATTTTCACCGTTGGTTGTCAAGGTACAGATATGAGTATATACTTAGCTTATAGTGTAGTGGGATTAGATATAAAAACGGTCCAACCCGGATAAAAATAAAATAAAGCTGTAATTTGGCACAGATGTTCTATATAATTTGGAAATGACCAGAAAAAAGCCCCATCAATTGGACATTGGGAATTCCTTATTTGGGCAAATACCATAATGGCGCACTGACCAGTAGTGGTTCAAAATTTTAATGTTGCTAAAACCACATAGTATGTACATCTTTTGAAAGATAATTTCATGCTGAATAACTTTTATTTAACATACGTACCCTTAGAATATGCAAATTTAGTGGTGACTGGGCAGAAACAAAGTGAGACGAGTGAATATTGAAAAGCGCGCGGAAAAAATGGCTGATCCTCTTGCTGAAATATTTTCATTTTATCTCGCAAAATCTATCGATGCAAAATCATTGAGTGTGTGAATAAAATAAAGTATGATAATACCCACTCAGCCCGGGCTGACTCAACCCGGGCCCACTCAGCCCGGGCTGACTCAACCCGGGTCCATTCAGCCTGGGCTGACTCAACCCGGGCTGAAGATTTCAATTCTGACAGTTTTTCAACTTTTTCATTGTCATCCTCCATCTTGGTAATTTTTGTTACTAAGACGTAAAAAACACTGCCATATTCAGTGTAAATTCAAAGTGGCTGCACAAAACTACAGCTTGATGCTGGGCCAGTAATATTTTCTTTATGCCCTTCTTTACAAGAACAAGAGATAACTTCCAAATTACGTATATTCCCAAAATGCAAACTTTTCAATTGAGAAGTGCGTACATGAAAAAGAGGATGTTTTGAGAATACCTAGGACCCAAAACCCGGAAAATAGTTATGAAAAACGGAAAACCCGGACTTGGAATTTGGAAAATCCTGAGATAAATATGTATAATTCAACGTGGTTCACCTTTTCCCGTGTTCTGCATTAAAAGACCTTCGTACCCGCAGTTATTACCGGCAAGAATATTTGTCTCCAAGGAACAGGGTAGATCCTTGCCTTTTTTCTCCAAATGAAGATGTCATCAGTGTTTGCGGAAGAACAGAATTTTAGGGAAATTTGTCGTAGATTGCGGAAATCTGGCAATTTATCAACGGAACGAGAGAATTCTACACACTTGCCGGACGCAGATTTTCTCAAAATAATACACGGATTGCAGAAATTTCAAAATGTTTAGCGGGATTCTTAACCTGCTCCTTGTTGGATAGGATTTCATCATCGCATTTTTTGATCTTGTTAATATATAAGTTGTTCATAAATAAACTTATATACATTCAGAGGTGGCGCCAGAAATCTTCCGACAGGGGGGTTTGAGCTTCCAACAGGGGGGCTAAATTGACTATAATATGCAGTTTTCGTACGTTATTTTGTCAAATTTGCTCCGACAATAACCTAAAATTTTCTTCCGATAGGGGTGCTAGATGCTTCCGATGGAGGGACTGTAGCGCCCTAGCCCTCCCCTGTCGCCACCACTGTATACATTCTATTGCCCAGTTGCCCTCTATCTGCTATTTTTGACCAGAAAGTACTTATTTCCACATTGTAAGGGCGTGTATTTTGAGTAAAAGTTGTTCAGCATGTAACTGTCTTTCAGAATATGTACATATAATGTGGTTTTAGCGACATCAAAATTTGAACCCCTGCTGATCAGTGCGCCGTATGGGATTTGCCCAAATAAGGAAATCCAAATGTCCAAATGATGGGGCTTTCTGGTTATTCCCAGTATCGTATGGAACCCATGTCCCAAATTACAGCTTTTTACTTTTTTTGCCCGGGTAAAATCATAATTCCACCACACTATTAGCTTGCAAATGGTAATAAAACGAAAATATTCATCAACTCTTTAAACCAAATTTTTCAAGTCATTATTGCACCACGCTCTTTGAAAAATTGCCTTAAAATATGTGCCTGTCATTGGAAAAGATAAATAGGGTATCTAGCTGTCATGGCTTTTTCTTTTCTAGTTTTACCTCAGCCGTACCCCAGTTAGACCAAATTGTTTACAAGAGGGGGAAAATTTACCATTAAGAAATTTTAGTGCTTATATTAATGTATAATCCCTTTTTCAACCCCAATTGTATTTCTTGCAATATGATAAACTTTTCAATGCTTCAATGTTAATCAAACTCTAATAATTCGTGTTTAATCATTACTATCTCATCAATTCTAGTTTTTTGTTACATTTTATCAAAACTTTCCTAAAAGCTGAGAAGGAAAATCAAATTAAAAAAATCGTTAATAAGGACGGTTTTAACTTTTGTTTTATCTGTTTGATAGTTTTGTCAATGTTTAAAAATGTCCTTTGAAGAAAGCAAATATTTTTAGACATACTAGGCCAATCAGAAACATGACAACTGGCTAAAAATATCACGGCTTGTATAGACAGAGTGAATTCGTTTTCTCTCTTGAATCTTCAACTAGGTGGGAGGTTGACGGTCACTACTGATTGGTTAAAAGCAAGGAACTTATCAAACGCGTCATTCTTCCCCTTACGTAACTCTTGATCCACATCTGGTTGCAAATTTCCTGTTTTCATTATGTGAAGTTTATACTCTGAATGGTGTCACACGAAAAGCTTCAGTGTGTCTTAAATATTTCCTCTTTTCATAGCCATTTTAAATTTTGTACCATAAAAAAATTTGCTCCATTTTCAACAATGGATAGCCTTTTCAGGTGGAATGAATGAAATATCATGCCAGACACCTTCGCAGCGTCTGGTGGAAATGGCATATTTATGCTTGATATAGTAATATTGATTTTGCTAAAAAGCTATTCTTTCGTTATACAGAGGTAAAGAAGTTCTAAAGTTTCTTTATCAGGAGCTTGGTTTGCTTTGAGTCGCAGTAGTATGAAATGTACTTATCCAAAAGAGCTTCTGAGCTGAACCAGACCAGTTACAGTCAGGGGCGTAGCGTGCGGGGAGTGTTGGAGGGAGGGGGGTGAAAACTTCCAACTTTCAGAGAACTCGTCGGTAGAATTAAATTTATAGCAAAATATTGATGTAACAAAGGAATTTCTGTCGGTAAAATATGGTTTTGCATCTCTTAACCCCCTAGCAAGAATGGCCACGCGATGCCACTGGTTACAGTAATCAGAGACAGCAATGAGGTTTGTCTTGCTAGCAATGAAAGTTCAATCAAGTATAGTAGACTTTTCTAACAGAGATTCTTTTTCAACAAGCCATATGCAAAATTTAATATTGACACTTAGCAAAATTGAAGAAGATAAAAGACAAAAATGAATCTATAGTAAATGTTTGATGAAAATATACTACTTTATATTTCAAAGCAAGCGGAGAAAATAACTCTTTGATCATCCAACATAGCCAGCTGTCTAGAAATTCGTTTTTTCGTCACGTTATGATCTTAAAATAGAAGTATATCTCAAAGAAGCAATTAGACTTTTTCGTTAGGCTAACATTTCTATTTGAATAACTATTACTATCAATGTTCTTTTGGTTTAGGGAACAAGACGGGACAGTCTGTGTCGTGGGAACGATCAAATGGTTTTGAGCTAAACGCAAACTAAATTTTCTGTTATCATATTAAAAAGCCTTAAGATAACGTCCAGATTTCTTCTAAGTCAAATATTTTGGAAATGCTGGTTGTCTTCCCAAGAATGTCATTCCTATAAGAAAATGGCTTGAAAATGCTAAAATATTTCCGTATTTTTTTTCATATTTTTCATATTTTTCGTATTTTTCATTTCAGTAATCTTCATATTTTTGTGACTCGCTTCTCAAGAAAGCCTTCCGTCGTGCGAGAAGCGCAAGAAGCTTACTTGCTTTTAATTAAGATTTCGAATAGATGCATTACAAAGTATTGATTTTGGGTTTCTAAAATTGCAAAGCATGCCCCTTTTTGAGCATTTGAGACAAGCTCCAAAGAAGCCGATCTGTCCGGGCGAAATAACAGTATACAAAATTATCTTTTTAACTGCTGTTTTTATTCCACGTCACCATATTGCGGTGTTTCTTGTTTTCTTTTCCACATCCACTTTGCTGGAAGAATTTATTTAGGCTTTGGGGTCTGTTGTGCAATCCTTCTACCGTGGTCGTTGAAAATGTTTCCTGACTTGTCTAGTTGGCTTATCGCAGCTTTATGAGATTGAAGCTTTATTACAAACAGCTTCCATGATAGCAATGTAAAATATTCCCTCGTTTTCTCATACTTGCGCATTTATGAATTTGCCCCAACCTGGAGATTTTTGGGTATGCCCGCTGGGCCCCTGGGCATTATCCTCTGTTGCCACACAATCTCTTTTATGCGGTTGCCAGGTCTTTGTTTATATGTTGTTGCTGCAGTCGTCATGACTGGTGGATTCTGGGATGCTCTGCATTTGAAATAGGCCTAGTCAAAACAGACGAGGAATTTAACTACAGTGTCTCAAAATGTTGAAAAACCTACATCTGGTTGGTGAAAATGAAGAAGATGACCTTTACAGTGAATACAAGGAGTTAGATACCGAGGTAACAAAGTGTATTCACTTAAAGTTTGATCTGAAATGTTGAGACGTGCATATCAAGATCTGCTGCAAGCTTGTTCCAACAGTTCAGTTTTTACTTTAAAATTCGACAAATTGAGATGCATTTTTCACTTTTCTGGTAACGTGTCTAACCAGAAGTTTTGTCATAAATCATTTTATTGTTTCTTAGGAGCTTTATGCAGATGAAGGCTTTCAACAAGCTTTAAAAACAAGCTATGGAAATAGACCAGTCCCGGTGAGCATTTTCTATCAATTTTTTTAGCCTAGATTTTCTACTTCTATGCTGCTTGCCGCATATTGAATTATAATGTGTTCTGCTGCTTTCATTGTAATACAAATGCAATTTCACATAAATTGAACATTCTTTTTAATTCAATATCGTATTAATTCAGCTGGTGCCAATATCGTATAAATTCAGCTGGAACATGAAGCTTTTGTATACTTGGTTAAAATCAAAGGAAGTTACGACGTTCCCCACCCTTAAACTTAAAGGAGCTGTCCATTATAGCAGCAAAAATCCTGCCAGTTTTTCGATCTAAACTACCAATTAAAGAAGAGACAACCTTTACTCGGGTGTTTTTAATGTAAATGATATATTGCAGGGGTGTTTTAGCATATCACTTGTTGACTTTGATAAATGTTGAATATTTACCCATAAATTTACTATCTAGGTTTCTTTCCAGACAAAAGGGATCCAGTCCGTTTAATGAATTCATTTTTAAGTGATATAAAATCACTTGTCATGTAACACTATATTTATGGTTACATTCTTGCACAATGCCTGGTTCATGACAACTGTTCATGAAAAGTAACCTTTTCTTCTGCAGGGAACAGCAGCAAGAGGCGGTGGGACCCTTGGGACTGCCATGGTAGGTTTGCTTGCTAATTTGTCGTGAGTTTTGATAAGGGATTTCTTGTTTGTGCCAGGGTGGTACATTTATAGCAGGCTCACTTCTTATTAATTGAATTTCCACAATACTAAAAAGCATTTTTATAAGTAAATTACAGAAAGTTCAACACACACAGAAGCCTTTGGTTATTTTCAGTTCTGTTTTAAGATGTTTTAATAGCATTTCAATCATATTGTAAAAAAACAGACAACATCAGAGTTTATCAATAATATTATTTCAAGAAAATATTATGTAATTCAGCCAATGAGTAAAAAATATGTTTTGCCTCTGGGTCAAAGAATTTTCTATCTGATTTCTAGTTATTATTATTTTGTTTTATCACTTTTTTGTTAAGAATACCCTTCTTTAAATGTTGGTTTTCAAGGGAAATGGGTCATAAGAACATAGCAATTAATATATTGAAAGCTGTGACAAATGAATATTTCACAAATCAGTATTTATCATGTTCAGGGAAGAGGTAGAGGGGGAGTACCAGGATCTTCAATGGGAGGAAGACCAGTCACTGGGCTAGCTGCTGTAAGTGTTTTATAACATATTATTTGTTAATTGTTGACCTAGTATATGCATGAAAAAGTTTTTTGTTTTGTGGTTTCTCTTGAAGTGACTGATAATCATTAGGCTATTGTATTTTGTTGGTTTAAAAACACAGCTGTTGTCTGCAGCTCTTTGTAAACTGTCTGGTGATAACTAATATTATTATCATTAATGCTTGGTTGAAATGTTATACATTATCTGTAATATTTTTCCACGATTAACAGCTAATTTCTATATGAAACATTTTTTATGGTAGTATTTCAAAATCAAGAACTTCAGAGCACAGAAAGTGCAAATGTATGAGTTTTTAATATTCCACTTAACAAGATGATTATGCAAGAATACAAGAATGAAAACCTCTTGTAAGATTCTGTGTTTTATTAACAAAAATATTACAAAAATTAGAAAATCAAGTTTTGATCTATTTTGAATGGCATTGCCATGTAAGAATATGCTTTTTGCATTAAAGAACTGCAACATAAAGAAGCATACCTCTATTTGGATTTTTATTTATCTTGCAAGTTACATAAATTTTTTGAATTGCTTTTACTTCAGGATGGTAGTCAAGCAAGGCCAATGACAGCTGTAAGAGCTGCTGGTTACTCATCTGCTGGTGGCAGAGGTATGGATAGTATCTGCAAATGTTGGAATGGAGATTGACATTTTGTATTATTTTCCAGCAGTCCATACACCCCAGTTTGCATTCCTTGATTTCTGCATTGGAAAGCCCATTACTGTCTCCTCAATCAGGCCCCAACCTTTGAATAAGCGCCCCTCGATTAGGATATGGATAGTATGCTTGAATAAAGGTTTATGCACATTTTGTAATAATTTTTCAGCTATCCATTACTAAGTTTATTATTAAGTTGAATGATGCATTTCAGGTCCAAAGAAAAGTTTTACTAGAGCAGGAGGGAAGGGCTTGGGTCTACATCCCTAGAAAGAATTTGTATACCATCCCTTTTTAGACTGGGAAAGATTCCTTTTTTTACAAGCTACATGACAACATGCTTTAGATAATTTGTAAATATAAACAATGATTTAAGTAAAACTGATGGGAGAAGAGCTTTTACAAAGACTTGGCCTAGGTGGGTGTGGAAGCTGATTTAGTGAATGTTGGAAGATCCTCCCCCTGCGCACTACAAATAATGCAGAAATAATATAAGTTGTTCCTTTGCCATTTCCAGTCTGATATGGTGTAGTGAAGAAGATCTTCCCTGTGCACTACAAGGAATGCAGAAATGCTATATATGTTTTTCTTTAGCCATTTTCAGTCTAGATTTTGACCACCTGCTCTTACGTCATTTGTCAATTTTTTCTATAGTGTTTCTGCGAAGAAGATGATTTTAAGGTTTAGTAGGATAATTTTACAAAAAGAATTGCAAGAAAATACGTAAAAGGATACAAGGAAAATATATTTAAATTTGTTTCTGAGAGGCTTGTTTTGTTCTTCTCTATTTCATTATTTTAATTATTATTTACTATTTCATTGGCAGCTTGGTTAGACACAGTCAGGTTTTGATACAGTAGGGCTAAAGGAAATCGTCATTGATATATGAATCTTTCAGTTTTTCTATTATCAACTTAGTTTATGAGAACCAAAACTTTCTCTCTCTCATGGTAGATAACTCAATTCTTTTACCTGTCTGTTAGTTTATCATAAGTATCGGTAAGCAAGGCATAAATATCAGCAATGATCCAAGCAACAATTATTTTTTTAGCAGTGCAGGGAGCAAATTTTGATCCTCTCAATCAGTCAAGAGCACCAGCGCCACCTCTTGAATCAAAATCTGAAGATGCGTAAGTTTTCCTTAACAAAGCATGATTCCCAAGTTTCGCCTTATTTTATCTGCTTTATATATCCACGAAAACTTGTTTTTGTACACGTAGTTGACTATTTCTAAAGTTTTCATTTACTATTTTTTCTAATTTGTGGACAATTTTGCTATCAAATATCTTTAGGGTTATTTACGAATTCTTCAAACGATTTAAAACGGTCAATATACTTGAATGAACTTGAGCTTAACCTTGAACTAAGATAAAAGTCCATACCATATAGGCCCCTCAAACACTTAAAATCATCTTTTGATATTCAAAAACATGATTTCATTTGCTTGCTGGCTCGTTAAATAATACCCTATTCTACCCTAGAGATCCGTTGAGAAATTTTTCTCATATTTGAGCTTTCTGTTATTCACCATTGCTCGTTTTTAATCCTCCCTTTCCCTTCTACAAATGAAAGCATTCATTTCACTATTTCAGGCCAGAAGAGAAGATACGGCAATTAGAGAAGAAAGTAAACGAGCTTATCGAAGAGAGTTGCCAGGCAAATGAAGCTGGTGATTTCAAACTGGTATGTAAATATTAGCCGAATTTTCCAGCTGATGTGTCCAATTTTGTTAGACAAAAACCACACGTGCATAATCTGCATTGTCTGATAGAATAACTCATTTTTTCCCTTAGTAACCAGATACTGTTTTAGTTGAGAATATGAATACTTGGTGATTGTTTCTTTAGCATTTGCATCCAGGAATTTAAAAATTTTCATTTTTGCACACTGTTGACACTTATTTAACGTCTTGTTTATATTATAGTTTTCAAAAAACTTATAATTTTACGAAGATGTAGTGAAAACTCTTCATTTATCGTGAAAGGATGCTAAGTTTGACTGACAGAAAGAACCATGAAAAGGCGAAAATTCAAGGTTAAATTCCTTAATGGTTTTCTAGTTTTTATGAATTTTCCTTCAATAGGCACTAGAGAAGGCCAAAGAGGCTGGAAAGAAAGAGAGGCTACTTGTCAAACAGCGAGAACAATCTGGATTGAGTGATCAAGTCAATCTTGATATTACTTATTCGGTAAGAGGAGATTCTATCAACACTATGTTACTCAACGGCATCATTGTCTCTGCCATTGAGATGCTGTTAGAATATGACCAGCCTAATGATTTTGGTAACAAATTTGTACTCTGCATGAGAGTCTGTGGCTCTGTGAGTTTAATACACTAATGTTGAAGTCAGTGTCAATAATTTTGCAAATAAATTCAATGTATGCAGAATCTAGCGATCTTTGTACCAGTCCTTGTTTTAAGAAGAACCATAAACACAGAATTGATGTTTGGATTATCAATTTAAGCTTCATAAAACATATCGTTGTTTGAAAAGGATATATCAATTTCATTGTGTGTCCATGCTAATACTAAGAGTTCATTAAAAACTCATATGCATTGTGTATTTTCTAAATTTCGGCTTTGGTTCTGCCTATCTTTATTTTGGGTCATTGTTCTGACGTTTTATACCCTGAAAAGTGTCAGACCTAAAACTTAGTTGTTTGCTTGTATCAAAGCCTCAAATTTTGTCCTGTCTAAAAACTCTGTGGCTAATTTTGTTGTAACGACATCATGCAAAGCTTTGAAAACGTACATAGTTCAGTCTGTTTGAAAAGCATCTTACACCAAAATGAAAACAATCGTGATCTTCTCTGGCAGGTTCTGTTCAATTTGGCCAACCAATACCATGCCAATCAGATGCACCAGGAGGCGATAAACTCATACCAAGTGATTGTCAGAAACAAAATGTTCAGCAACGCAGGCAGGCTTAGGGTGAATATGGGTAACATTTATTTTGAACAACGCAAATATTCCCAAGCTATTAAGCAGTACAGAATGGCCCTGGATCAGATACCAAATACCCATAAGGAAATGAGGTAAGTGTATGCTTTGGATCGTTGGTTCGAAAATTTTAAAGACTCATTGCTAACAATGAGCCATTACGCCACGCAAGCATCCCATAATGCATTTTTAGACAGTCTGAAATCAACTTTGGTTAATCCGTAGAAGTTTACTGCCATTGTTTGGATCGTCGCCACGCTCGCAAAGGCCCATTGTTAGCAACGAGTCTTTAAGAACTTTATTCAAGGGCCACTTTTTTAACTGCCTTCCTCTGGCTGGTTTTGTTGATTTGTCACGCTATGATGTTGATCAGTTACGTAACTTTTCAAGAACACTGTTCTATCTGTCCGCATTGTAACTTTTAGCTTTTGCGAGGCAACCATACTACTTTTAAATTCTAAGCCGATAAGTATGATAGTAGGATAAAAATGATAATAGTATGATAACACGATTATTTTAAAGGATAGAAGTTTCAAAAGATAAAACTATCGCTGCCCTGTTATCAATGCTAAACCTGATTAAAAAAAGAAAAGTTTTTTCGAGAGTTAATGAAGGCTTTTCAAAAGTTGATCCTCATCTACTCAGTTTATTTAGCGACTTTGCATTTTTCGTTTTATTTTTTCGAAAAAAAACTTTTTTGTGTAGAGATGGAAATTGGTACGCTTTGTCCAAATTTCATCAGCATTTCCTTATTTCATACTCAATTTTCCTAATTGTTTTAATGATGTTTTGTATTGTAGATTATTTAACGTTAGTTTTTACAATAGTGAATACACACTAATTAAGACTAACATGAAGCAATTTCAAGGATTGCATAAGACAGCTCATTTACTGCAAAACGAGCATGCGCACTTGTTTTCAAGGAACCATGTTTTGATCAAATTCTTAAGTTGTCTAGTATTTTGTGCTGTCTTTATTGATTCCGGGAGTGAATTCCAGATTTTAGGCCCTTGAAAACTTAATGATCTGATACCATTATTGGTAGTTCTGGCTTTTGGAATGTCAAGGGGGTTTTGAGTCGAAGGTTATGTCCTGTTGTTTTGGGATCTGATGTCATCAATGACGCAATGTTTTGTTTTTAGGATCAAGATTATGCAGAATATTGCCTTGGTTTTCATTAAACTTGGACAGTATTCTGACGCTGTTACGTCATATGAGCACATCATGGGGGAAAAACCTGAAGTAGAAAGTTGCTTTAATTTGCTGCTGTGCTATTATGCAATGGGTGATCGAGAGAAAATGAAAAAGACGTTCCAAAGGCTTGTCCAAATCACTGTTGGCCCAGAAGATGAGGAGAAATACAATCCGGTGCTAGTATGTTTAGATTATCATTACTTGGGTACCTCCTATCCAAAAGGGATGCTCATTGTCTGTGCCCTAGAAAAGCCCTGAAACTACTAGTAAATTTAGTTTAATAAGGTTAACAGGTGAATACGGCACTACATGACTTTTTTTTCGTTTGTTTCTAAGAGGAAAAATTTGAAATTAAAATTTGATGGCATCAAAAAATAAGACAAAATGAGAATATTAGTTATAGCGTTCATATCAATCAACTTGCATGTATATTGCAATGACAATGAAGTCATCAGGCTAGCATTTGCCCTGAATATTGGATTCATGATGCATAATTGAATTCGCAGAAACGGTATTGCGCATTAAGTATTTGAAATCTTCCACGCGTTTTTTTTCTTTCTTTATTTAAAGTTGGTACAATTTCTAGCTATGCATACAAGCTAATTAAAACCAACTAATTTAAATTATCAACGCTTAATATAATATAAATCAAATATAACCGATGTTGCTAACATATTCCTTGCAAAGATTACAAGTACAATTAAACGATGAAAATTCTGAAATTTTTTTCTTGAATATTGATAAAGTAGGAGACTACTTTATCTCATTTGGAATTGAGTTCCATATTTCATTCTGTTTTGAATTGGGAGTTTCTTAAGTAATATGGGCATTCATTTATGGAAAATATTTCATCCATAAAAGGTGGATTCAATCCGTTAAATGTTTTGTAAATTTCTATCGCAAGGTATTGTAAATTTTTCTTATGAGAAGTTATTGTTTTATTCGATAACTCTTCCTAACATTCCATGAACATTCATTTTCTGCAGGATGACCCACATCAATCTCTGATTGTCGAAATAATAAGAAACGATCCACTGCGACAATGGGAAAAGCAGAAGTAAGTACATAGTTATTAGGAGTTGACCAACGACGATAAAGAATTATGGTTCAATTTATTTTTAGGGCACTTTATGCACTCCCCTCTCGTGTTGAAAAGTTTCGATTATTTGGTTATACATAGCCTGTGCTATAACGTAAGGATTCTGGAACACCGGCAAGTTTTCTTGTGGTGAAAAGATTTTTAGGTGCACGGTGATCCTCTACTGTTGAGAGCCTTAAAAACTCAAGATCTTCAAATGTCGTGTCATGCTTGTTTCAAACAATTGCAGTTTCACTCTGTCATTTGATTTCTCTACTTAGGTAAAATAATCTGTTGCCTTGGGTTATAAAAAATAGTGGTTTCATGTAGAAAAATTCGACTTTTTAATTGCTGTTGTAAATGCATAGTCTTACGTTTCGTAATGCCATCTTAAATTGTTGATACAACAAAACAAAAAGACCCTTAATCTTAAATGTAGCTAAAAACTCTGCTTTTTAGTTATTTCCTTGAAAACCATTTTCGTTAAAGCTGTATTATCAGATCATTGTAAATATTATCACGTTTTTCAACGCACCCTTCGCTGATCATTAAAATATGGTCCTCCTACCTTTTTATATAATTTTTTTCTATAAAGGCATATTTTGTGGTTTCTTTTTTACAGCAAATCGACAGCTGACAGATGTATTATCGCTGCTTCTAAGCTGATATCTCCCGTCATCGAAGTTTCTTTTGACTTGGGATTTGACTGGTAAGGTTTTTGCTATGAAATTCCCAATTTTCATCAGCTATTGTGTTTAGGAAGATATGTAAAGCAATAGATCTCTGATATTATGTGTCACTAGCAAAACATTGCCTCGGCTGTATGAAAGCTTATTCTCAATGAAACGAGGCTGCTTTCATGAATAAATAATTTCGATTGTTGATCGACTGATAGAAAAAGTAAATATGTGAAATAAGTGATTTTAGTGTTTAAATAGTCAGTTACTTTGGGTAGGTAGCACTTCCGCCGATAAGAGCATTCAATCTTGAAACAGTCAATTTTCTTTATTTTATTATAATAGCCTTTTCTAGTGAATTTATCTGCTTTTAAACTATGAGAGTTACAAGCCTGAATTTAAATTACACAAAAATTAAGCTCATGGAATGCAGTGCACTCACGTTATGCTAATAAAGTTATGAAATTGGGAGCAAAAACTATCCCCTGGCTACAAAAATGATTTAATGTTTCACAGTTATATGACTTTTGGTGGCCAAGGGGTGGTTGATTTCAGATTGCTAATCAACTATATCGGCTGATTCCCCCTTCATATAATTGGAATCTTTGTATGATAAAAGTTTAGAGTGTATTACGGGTTTAAGGAATCGTCAACTGTTCAACTACTCCCAGGTTAATTTGCTGATTGAGATGGGAAATTTTCGCTTTTGATCTTGTATTTCGTGATATCTTTTTATTTTTGCTTATATTCCTTTTTTTATTTTATAATTAATTTCTTTCTCATAAAGAATATTATCTGTAAACTTGTTAAAGATTAATTCGCCAAAGTCTCTGTAAACTAAGACCTTGGTGAATGTTATCTGTAAACTTTCTTTCAGGTGTATTGAAAATGTGAGAAGTTCGCCTTACATAGAACTGTCAAATGAGCTGGAAATCACCAAGGCCATAACATATCTGAAAATGAAAGACTTCACCAAGGTTTGTTTGCGTCACGATTTATGCATCATGATTTATTTATTTTGTATGTAGATGACAGGGGCCAAGATTTTGCGCGCTAATATTTAATCACGTCAGAGGCCGAGTTACAGAATGGATTCAAGCGACAGAAATAAAATTGCTCATTAATAAGCAAGTTTGTAATACTTGCTATATAAGCTACGCCTTGTTTCATACCCGGATAAATTTTCAGAAATGATTTCATCATTTTACAATAGTTTTTAAATTTATCATAACTGAAAAATATATAATAAACCCACTTATTATACCCATAGAAGTTATTCCCACTTATTTTTAATCACCATTAGTCGTATATTTATGTTTATGTATAAAGGAAGGTATTTTGTTCTCTTGTTCTTTTCAGGAGAAGGAACCTAAAAATGTTTAAATTCTCTGATTTCCTGCTTTGTGTTTACAGAGAATGAGTTTTTTTAGTTTGTCAACATAGCAATTGTAAAATCAGTTTGTGTGGAAAGTTGTTAAAAGGAATATGTTTAGAATACACTCTCTTGTTTTTAGGCTATTGAAACTTTAAAGACATTTGAAAAGAAAGATTCAAAGATGGCATCCCAGGCTGCTGTTAATTTGTCATTTCTCTACTTTCTGGTAAGACTATTTTAATTTTTATCTATTTATATTTATCGACGAATTTATCTTTGCAGTACCTTGGACTGTATGGAGTTATCACCAATGCTATGCTAGTCCCACCCGTAACTATACTCCCCCCCCCTTCATACTAGTCTCCATGGAAAAAATGCTTTCTGATTACAGAATGACTATGAAATCGTACCTTTGCAGGAAGGGGACACTGCACAGGCGGATAAACATGCAGATATCGCAATAGAGGCTGACCATTATAATCCAGCAGGTTTGTGACTTGACAAGTTTTTATCTGTATACCTATTTAATCTTTGGATTTATATAGTAGCCTTATGCTCATTTTTTTTATCCAGTATAAAAACTTAAAATAAAAAATTACCTGGAAAACTACATACTTACTACTAAACTGCATTACAAGGACGGAACCAAGGAAGAGAAATATATCATGACTGCCCCTTGAGGTTGGAAATGAATCTTAATACTAATAATAACACAATTAAAACACTCCATATACATATGCAACGAATACTTAAGCTGGTTTCAAATTGGAGGCTATATGTAGACACTGTGTGAGCCTATTTATTTGCTCAAATTAATGCAAATAATCGAATAGATTGTGAGTTTAAGACGGTATTTAAGCCAATGTTTCATCACAAGTTTCTAATTGTCTTTTGTTAAGATATCCTTTCCTTTTCAATCACCTGTTGTATACTAAATCTTTTTTCCTTTTAAAAATCTAATTCTATACCTTCTATCTCCTAGATCATAGTTACTTAAGCTATCCATTGCTTGTTCTTTCTCCTAGCTTTGGTCAATAAAGGGAATTGTTCCTTCAAAAGTGGAGATTTAGACAGAGCCAAAATTTCTTATCAAGAAGCACTAAATATCGAAGCATCTTGCACAGAAGCGATTTTTAACCTTGGTCAGTCATCTTTTTTTTTCGAGCATACGAAGATTAAATCTTAGCTGTATGTTGGCTGAATTGCTGCCCAACGTTTGAGAGATATACGAATTCTTAAAAGTTTAGGCCTATATTAACTGATTTCAAGTGTGTGTAACTTGCTGATGCATATGTCTTATCGATGTCAATCTTTATAAGACATTGTTTCTTCCTATTTGTTATCACCCTCAAAATTAACTCCGTAGCTCAATTTGTTTAACCTTTTTAGAATTTGGCCTTTTTTGATTTATCCTCATATAACTTATTTTCGTCGCTTATTTTTTATTTTGTCTTCCATTAATCTTTGTCTGTAACTCTTTTCTTGAAATTTCTCTCGTTTATATTCAACTGGTTTAACAAAAGCAATGATTTATATTTTTGTGGTCTCTAGGCCTTGTACACAAGAAACTTGGAAAGATTGACGACGCTCTGGACTGCTTTCACAAACTGCAAGCAATTATTCCAAATAACCCTGAAGTTTTATACCAGCTTGCAGATCTGTATCATTTTCATTGAATGTTGATTTTTTAAAACTTCTGCAATCAGGAATTTTTTATGTCGTGTTATGTATAGGACCCATACAAATAAATGTCATTTTTGTGAGCTTGGTGTCACCGTAGTAAACTTAAGTTGATTCATAACAATCTTGATTAATAAACCGATCTTGTGCCAATAGACTTACAAATTTTTGTCAAAAATAGATCTGTGTTTGTTTTCTTCTTTCATTTGAGTTTAAGTCAATCACATACGTGACTTTTCTGCTACATCATCGTTTCTCTTCAAATTGTGCTATTAGTTCTTGTTTTTCATTAATAGAATGTTAATCTGTTCTTTGTAACAGTTTGATATTTTCCTTGACGTTCACCAGCTACGAAAAAGCTGAAAATCTTCCAGAGGCGATGGAGTGGTATTAAATTTTTATACTTTATATTTAGCATCTTTGAAACGCAGGACATTTTTTTGCCGAGATTTTAGAGACAATAAATGCCACTCGGTCAAAAATGTTCCCTTTTGATTATTGCATTAAAGAGTGATCCCTGATTAACCGGTTTGTTTTCGTAATATTAATAAGACTGTATTCGCAAACTCTCCAAAATATTTCTGATCATTTCTAAGTTTTACTAGTAGCAGCTGTAGTTTCGTTGCTTTCCGTATCTCTACTGCCAACGCTTAATTTTTTGGCAATACGAACTAATATATCTAAAGCTATTATCTCTGATTGCTATCCTCTTGTCTCAAGGTATCACCAACTGTTATCGTTAGTTCCAAGCGACCCAGCTGTTCTTTCCAAACTAGGAGAAATCTATGACAGTGAAAACGAGAAATCGCAGGCCTTTCATTACTATTTTGAGGTGAGTTATGTCTTTATGTCATCCTTAGTCATAATTCTTTGATAGCAAGTCGTTTTTTCTTGGTGGTTGGCAGGTTATATTCAAAACACGCTCTGAATTTTGGTGATATTTTTCAAAAGTCCTGATAAGAAGAAGCTTTTTCCTCGACATTTTATGTTTCAAAGGAAATTATCTGTATAGCGTCGAAAGAAACATCTCGATAAGCTATATCGATTATCAGCTGGATAGAGAAGCACGTTTCTTTTAATTGGTTGATCAGGCATGAAGAACACGTTGGAAGCATAGCACAAAATTATCTTTATGCCCTTTTGCCAACCCCTGAGGAAAGAAGTAAAATTTATGCTTAAAGTCTTTGAAAGTAGCCTATTTGCACAAGATTTTTTAGGGTTTGAAAACCCACTCTTAATGTGAAATATGGCTGTGCTGCGAAATTCTACTTGAACGTTAATGCGAGTTATATTAATAATGGTACAGGCAGAATAAAAGATTTTTTGCTAGAATTTTATTTGTATTTGTTTCAACCTAGCTTCTAGGACACTGAGAAGCTCATGCTTATCGAGCAGTGTCCTGGTCCTTCCTCTCGATGTGACCACACCTCGTGATTCCTAAGCCTAGAATTACAGAGAGCTTGCAACTTTCCTCACTCTGGGTGAAAGTTTGGTCATGCCAGGGACTCGAACTTCAAACCCTTGGGTCTGTAGTCAGCGCCCCTAACCACTAAGCCGTCCTCGCTGGTCATGTCATACCTAGCATAAAGCCGTCTCATAAAATAGACCTTAATAGGCAATATTAGCATGCTTCACACATGACACATCAGATCCGCACAAAGAAAATCCCGTGAGTTAAGAACCTAAGACTATGTCTTTGGTACAGTTTAAGAGCACCTTGTGTTTACATACTGCTTTTGCTTTTTCTTCTATATATTAACGATATGCCGTTTTCGTCAAACATCCTAAAATTTCACCTCTTTGCTGATGATACTAGTATCTTCTTCTCGCATAAGAATCTAAGTCAATTAGAATTCATCGTAAACGATGAGCTCAGCAAAGTTTCAGACTGGTTAGTAGCCAATAAACTGACCTTAAATGTTGATAAATCAAACTTCCTCATAATCTCTCCCTCGATAAAAAATAAAACAAATGAAATAAAATTAGCAATTAATAACAAATCAATTGCTCAAAAGGATTGTATAAAATACCTTGGTGTACTCTTAGATAAGGACATTAGCTGGAAACAACACATTCAACAGGTAAATCTAAAAATTTCTAAAGGCATTGGAATACTAGCTAAGGCTAGGCATTATGTTCCTCCACAAATCTTAAGGAACTTATACTTTTCTTTTATCGAGCCTCACGTCAACTATGCTTTAATTAACTGGGGGAGTGCAAATCTGTCCTCCCTAAAACCTATGGGCCGAAATCTAAACAAAGCTCTACGAATAATGAACTTTGCTAAAAACACAGCAAGCTCCAAACCAATTTACCATAAATTTGATATATTAAACCTCAATGATAGTTACACCCTGCAATGTGCAAAGTTTATGTATGACGTAAACACAGGCACGCAAATGGATTTTCTTTGTCAGCTCTTCCAAAAAACAACATCAAGACATAGCTATGATACACGGCAAGCTGCAAAACAAAATTTTGCTATCCCCAAAGCAAGAACTAACCTTAAAAAGAGATTCATTACGTTCAATGGAGTTAAAATCTGGAACGAAATCCCACTTAATATTCGCTCTAAACCAGTCAAAAGACTCTTCCAAAAACATCTCCGAAATTGGCTTCTGCAAAAATATTTATAAAACCCAAATGCACTTACTTTAAACCAACCCGAATATCTCATTCTTCGATTTCTAAACTGAAAACGAACAGAACTCTCGTGTCACCCCCCCCCTTCGTTTATATCCTTGTTCTCTCCTCTTGCCCCTTTGTATTTTGTTCTTTTTTTCTTAATATCTGTATCTTAATCTTAATATGTTTCTATTCTTCTTCTGTTATATGTTAAATTCAAATCAAAATTATTAGTAATTAGTTTCTACTTGTAATTAACTTTTACTTGTTCCATTGTTACTGTTATACTGCATGATTAACTATTACCAACTTAGGGCGCTAGGCTCGAAAACCGTTTCGGTTCCTCCCAGCGTCCTAGGCAACTTATTTGTTATTAGCTAAAATAGATGTCATATATTCTGTATTAACTACTATAATAATTAATTTAAGTACCCTGTAATTAGTTGCTGAATGCCAATGAATTTGAATTTGAATTTGAATTTGAATTACATTACTATTTCAGCCTTTCACAAAGTAAGTCTTTTGATTTATTGCCGTTGTGTCCCGAAGCATATGCTGTCAGGAGACATCCTAATCTTCAAGCATCGCTGGCCAAATTCATCATCAAAATGTACTTTTAGAAAAGAACCTTACATAAGAGCGTCTGGCTTTATGCAGCGTTGCCTACGGAACGGATCCCTAAAGCAAGCTTCTTTGCAGTGATTTCCTATAACTCCAGTCTTTTACAATGTCCAGCAATTGCTAAAGTCATGTTCATTTTGCTATACACACAGGTACCAAATTCATTATCACCAAATTCAATATAATTTTGCCTATGTTAATCTAGTCATTCAAGTACCATCCATCCAACATCGAGACGATTTCCTGGCTTGGTGCATATTATGTTGATGCTCAGTTTGTGGAAAAGGCCATGCATTATTTTGAACGAGCTGCTCTTGTACAGTAAGATATTTTGGATAAATATTATCTCACTTCTTTGTTGCAATTGTCTATGAAACGTTGTCTACTTGATGCTTTGTTTTTCAAAGACTCAAGTCTTTAAGTCTTTCGCTACTCAAGTCATATTACTCCAATAGTTTCAACGACTGTATTTTCAACATAGCAGACCTTTTTATATGCTTGAACTCAGTGTTTTTCAACCACTATGCCGTGACATATTAGTGTGATATGAGATTTATCTAGTGAACCGTGAAATTTCCAATTTCTTCTAATTGGTCTAGAAAATATGTCCAGATTTCACATGGAGTGAATAAGAGAAATTATTTCATTATAAAATACTTTTTCTTTTCGTTTATTTGATTTCTGCTCATGAAACTTCGAGTAAGACAACTTTATATTATCGCCATTTAACATTTTCTGTTGGTGATGTGCCTCGTGATTTTTCAATGAATATTAACTAATGATGCTATGGTATTCTTAGAAAAGTCTTATGATTTTTTAAATCATTGAAATGTGTTTATGTTTTCATCATGTTGAAGGCAAAGTAACTTTTAAACAAATCTTTGAATTTTTAGGCCAAATGAAGTGAAATGGCAACTCATGGTGGCCAGCTGTCATCGAAGAACTGGAAATTACCAGTTGGCTCTGGATGCTTACAAAACTATCCATCGAAAGTTCCCGGAGAATATTGAGTGTAAGATATTCATGTCATAAAGTTGCAGTAAAATATTGAGTTTACTTCCATGTCTTATGAAAAGTCTTATGATTTTGTATATCATTGAAATGTGTTTATATTTTCATCACGTTGAAAGCAAAGTATCTTTTAAACAAATCTTTGAATTTTTAGGCCAAATGAAGTAGGCCTTAAGCCATGTTTATATTTTTAGGCCTTAAGCCATAAAGTTGCAGTAAATATTGAGTTTACTTCAATAGCTATCACTTTTATTTTTAAGGTTTGAATGTATTGCTAAGTATTATATTCGGCTTGATTTCATATGCTGTTTCGTTTTAGGTTTAAAGTTCCTAGTGCGTTTATGCACTGATCAAGGCCTAGACAAAGAGGTTCAAGAGTTTGCAATTAAGCTGAAGAAAGCTGAAAAAGCAAAAGAATTACGAGAGCAGGTTCGTTAAGATTGCTAGTTTACAGTATCATAAAAACAATATTATTTGTGTTGTAATTCTATCAATGATATCCTATTCTAGTATTCGATGCCTGCCTATGAAAGGTGAAGTAACAGCTAAGTTGAGATCACCCCGGCTACGTTCGACCAAGGGGCAATAAAGACATTTAAACTTCAAAATAATATGCAAATTATTTGCAATTTCTTATCTATGTATTAATGCTTTTTCTTAAATGATTTCAAAATTAGTTTTTCCATGGGGTATTGCGGTAATTTTCTTTGTTATCAAAACATTTTTGCCTTTTTTATTAGAGAGCACAAAGCGGAACCAGGCGAGGCAGCGGTCGAGCCAACTCCGGTCGATCAGGATCAGGCCGGGCTGGTTCCGGGAGGAGCACAGTAGCAACTTCTGAAAACAGTCTTGGCAGTTCAGCCGGTATGAATTGTTTTTTTTAAAGTACCCTTTGTGGATTCTCATTTCAGGGTTGCCTCTTATATTATCCTGTTGATGTCCATCATCAATGCAATGGACTCCGATAAAAGTGGCCCTGTAGACGGTCTACCAGATGGTGTAATCAGTCATGCTGATTATTGAATTATCGCTCCATTCACTGCCGCTTTGGCTGCTATAATTTTAATATAAAGCAAAATATTCATTTGCCAGAACTTGCAATAACCGCTTTATTTTTTTCAATAGACTTTTTTCTGATTAAAGTATCATTTGATTATTAATCCAACATAATATTATGTAAAGCTTGATAGCTTTTTGCATCAGTGATATATTGTTTTTCTTCTTTCACGCTTGTCCCACTTGCAGCAGGGTCCGCCGCCTTAATTTTCGTTCGCCACTTTGCTCTATCTTGGGCATCTTATACATGTAGACCTTTTCTAGACATGCCATACGGACACAGTCTAGCCATCTCCGTCTGGGTCTTCCCCTTCCTCTCTTTCCAGGAACTGTATCTTTCATGGCTCTTTTTGCAGGGTTGTCTTCTTCCATTCTTTCTACGTGGCCAAACCATCGGAGTCTCATTTCTCGGACATCATCAAAGATTTCACACACTCCCAACTCTCTTCTTGTATACCTTTGACATATATGTGATATATACCTTTGGTACTTCTTTCTTTCCGAGAAAAAAATCAATGCATACCTATTATAGCACAGCTTTAATAACACTTGAAAATGAAACAGATCAGTGCTAACGCAATTTTCAGTCCCCATCGAACTTCTCTACCCAATTCAAGTCCAAAGACCATTTCCTTATTTCCTTACCCCCCCCCCCCCTGCAGGCACGACTTAACAGAATTCAACTGTAGTTTCTTTTCATTGAATGCGAAAATACTGTCAGGAGGCATGGAAATCTTACCTTTTTGTAAATTTGTCGTATCAGTTCCTCAATATTATTGTCATTGTTACAAATATGAACATAATAGCGGTAATTACTCGATATAACTTAACTTTAATTTCATGTCGTCTTATGGATCCAAATCAACATTTGAAATCTAATTCTTGTTTCATAGAAAACGAAGAGGACTCGCTTTTTCCAGTGAACACAACGCGGAAGAAGGAGGGTGGCAGAAGAAGGGAGGTAGAGAACAATGGAAACGATTTCAACTCTTCCAATCGAGTTATAGGTATGAGACTGCCTGATATTGCCTTTTCCCTCCTTTTTAGCTTCAGCAGTAAAAGTGAGATTACTTTAAAAAAGGGCATCTTCTTTTCTTTAAATCTGAAGCAATCAATGTGCCATGGCTCCATATTCAAGTCAAATTCTGATGAGAATCGTTTTTTCATTAACATAAATAAAGAGTTTGTTTCACATAGAACTTGTCCAATTTTATATGGGCTCGTTGTATTTGATGTTTCATAAAATAAAAGTGCCAATGAACTAATTCAATCTATCAAATAATCACGCTAAACCATCAAAATTTTCATTGTCTCAAGTTTTCTTGAAAATTGAGGGTACATCTTGTGCTGCCGATTTTTTAATGAATTCTGGGTTGAACTTTTATACTGCATTGATAACAAAATCTGACTTGGTGTATTATCTAGAAATGTAATATTTGCATGTAGCTAAGGCTTAGAATTTTCCAAGTTAATGCTTAAATTCTTACAAATTGAATAGTCTTAGAGCTCTTTGTCAAACGTCTTGCATGGGTTAATCCGATAACTGCAATTTGATGTTTCACATGGCTGACTTTTAGCTCTCTTATCTTTAGACGCTTCATATGCCGACCCACTAGGAGAGGCTCCTTCAAGGCCCAAAACAGCTGGTGGAAATAAGGCACCGCAAATCGAAGATGAATTCGGGGATGAAGAACTTGGAGATGATCTTTTGCCTGAATAAAGCCAGTATGTGTAAATAGATCAATTATATGTAAAATAAATTATGAAAGTAAGTGTGAAGTATTCTAAAATCTACTCAAGTCGTATGTTGTAAATTTGTTTCTTGTGTTTAGATTAGAACATTAAAGTGATGTTTCTGGCCATGACTATGAAAATTTTAAATTTAAAACAAAAGATAGCGACAAAATCTAATGCGTAAAACTTTACAAT